TGCAACTGCACCTTATGTACATTTTGTAGTATTCATTCCACCTCATTCATTTCTGTATTTTATGTATATAAGTTTAGATTCGTTATTTATAGTTGGTTTACACAGCTTTGTGTATGTATGTGTAATGTGTGTATATATAGACACGTGTGTGTGTGTGTGTGTGGTGTGTGTGTGTGTGTGTGTGATTTACATTGCTGTGCTTGAGAGCCACCATCTACCGGAACCAAATTCCCTGTATGTGTCTGCACATATACTTGGCCAATAAACACGATTCTGATTCTGATTATAGGGCTGGGCTATATCATACCGTTCACGGTAATACCGGTGTAATTTTGGGCAAAGATAGGAAAATGAAATATCGCGATAGAATATGGGTAAAACGCGCATGCGCAGTGCCTATGTTTACATAAGCGCATGGCGGCGACGCAGAATGAGAAGAGCGAAACTGGATCGTTGAATGAAACGGATGAACCAGAACTGGTTTGTAAAAATGCTACAACTTCAGTGGTGTGGAACTGGTTTAGCTTTCATCCGTCAGATACACAACAAAGCACTATTTCTGGTAGAGCATGCTAGCGGGCCGTCGTTATTACCGTGTTTTTTTTGGAAAATACGGCACACTTAAAATCAATCCTTTGATTTTTCTGAAAATCGACAGTGCCCCTTATAATCCTGTGTGCCTTATGTATGAATTCTGGTTGTGTTTACTGACCTCGAAACGATTTTATGTCGTACACGGCGCTCGAAAATCTGTCAAATGTTTTAGTATGACTTTGCTAAGCTATGAACCCGCACCGCTTGATGGATTGTCGGAGCATTACGGCTATCGTAGGCAGGAGGCTCGTGGAGTGATACGTACTGTGCTTCAACATAATATTACCGTGTTGTGTGTGGATAACCTCTTTTTAAGTTTTGTGGATATTATACATGGTTATGCTGAGGATATGTCGGCCAGTTTCCACTGGAAATGCCTTTTGGTTAAACTATCAGCAAGGAATTTGCATTTGCACTGTTACATTTTTATATAACTTTAATGCACATAAAAAACAGCTGCTTGTTTAAGTGAAAATACATTGCTGGTTTTTTTGCACAAATAAAGTTGTGGAGTTGTAAAGTATTTTGTCTAGTGTCAATTATATCGTTATCGCAAATTTTTAAATGTATATCGTAATAAATATTTTTGGTCATATCGCCCTGCTCTAGTATGTTATAATGTACACGGTATGAAGTATGTTATGAATATGCTATAACTATAAGTATGTACAGACTATGAACAGGATATAAATATAAAAAACTATACAGAAATATGAGATATGCAGGTTATAAACAGTTGTTGAATTAAAATTTATTGTATTGTACAGAATGATTATTTACACAGAACTATAAAGTAGTGCAGTTAAGATAAGTGAGATATGTGGATAATTTCTACAGAGGCTATATAAAGTGTTAGTGGTTGTGAGTGGTGGTTCAGTCCATGTTGTTATTATTGTGTGTATGAGGGTACAGTTGTCCATTTTGTGTGTGTGTGTGTGGGTGTGTGTGTGTGTGTGTGTGTGTGTGTGTGTGTGTGTGTGTGTGTGTGTGTGTGTGTGTGGGTGTAGGTGGTTGTGGGTGTAGGTGGTTGTGGGTGTGTGTGTGTCCAGTCCATGTGTTTAATGTGAGTCAGGTGTCAGGAGGCAGAGTTCAGGAGTCTGACAGCTGTGGGGAAGAAGCTGTTCCAGTACCTGGTGGTCTTAGTCCGGAGGCTCCTGTAGCGCCTCCCAGAGGGCAGGAGGGTGAAGAGTCCATGTGATGGGTGACTGGGGTCTTTGGTGATTTTCCCAGCCCTTTTCAGACACCGCTTCCTGTAGATGTCTTTTATGGCAGGAAGTGGTGCTCCGGCGATGCGTTGGGCAGTTTTCACAACCCTCTGCAACGCCTTCCGGTCCGAGGCAGAGCAGTTCCCGTACCAGACTGTTATACAGTTGGTCAGGATGCTCTCGATGGTGCAGCGATAGAAGTTCACCACGATGTCTGAGGACAGGTGGTTCTTCCTCAAAGTCCTCAAGAAGAAGAGGCACTGGTGAGCCTTCTTGACCAGCTTGGAGCAGTTGGTCGTCCAGATGAGATCCTCGGAGATGTGGACTCCCAGGAACTTGAAGCTGCTCACACGCTCCACAGCCGTCCCCTTAATGTAGATGGGTGGATGTGGGTCAGCATTCCTCCTGTAGTCCACGATGAGCTCCTTGGTCTTCTCGGTATTAAGCAGCAGGTTGTTTCTGTCGCACCACTCAGCCAGACGATCCACCTCCTCCCTGTACCTCATCGTTGTCGTTGATGAGGCCAATCACCATGGTGTTGTTGTTGTTGTTGTTGTCCTGGTGTGAGAGGACAGAGTGCAGTGCGATGGAGACTGCATCCTCTGTGCTCCTGTTCTGGCAGTATGCGAATCGGTGGGGGTCCAGAGTGTGTGTGTGGGGGGGGCAGGATTTGAAGTGTTATGTACCTAAAGGCTAAAAGACCCCTGTATTTATAACAAATGTTGGCTTTTCAAACAAGAAAATAAAAAGTTCAGATGAACCATTAAACAGGTGCTAAACCATATCAGAGCAAACCAGAGCCATCCCCAGTCGGCTTCTTCCATACCTCATAAAACATCTTCGGACTTTGACTTTGAAATAAAAGAATTTTATCCACTCAGTAAAGTTATGTACTGTGTGAATTTTACCTGCTATTTAGGTCAAAAGAGAAAAAATAGTTGCACATTCACATAAAAAAATGAGGCAGGAAGAACTGAGTGAACAACAGCTCAAACACCGCAGGACTCCAATTTATCGCACGCTGAAAGCTTTAAATTTTGAGCACAACTGTTTCACAAGAGAATAACACACTACTCTGTGCATTATTGTCTGAAACCGAGAACTTTTCCACAGTAAAAATTTCTAATGCTGATGATTATTCAATTAATCAACAGAAACTGGAAACAGTTTTTACGATCCTTTCTTTTAGTGAGTTTTTAAAATCAGAAATCCAGGTTTGAGCTTTATAAATGTGAGGATTTTATGTTTTTTGTACCACATAACTAGGTACATAACCCGTCTTTAGATGTTTTCCCACTTGTTTATAGTCATCAAAATAATAGATTATCTTGAAAATAATTTTAACAAATCAAACCAAAATTGGATGAATCTCTCAACTGCTGGGTGTTTTTCATGTAAATTGTTCATCCTTCAGTGGCCTGTAATGTGTCTACATGTCTTTAGGGCATCATCGGAAAAGTTTGTTTGCAAAACTTCCACAGTAGAGGTCATAACTCTCATGCTTCGTAATAAATCCTTGAGGTCACTGATGAAAATATTATTTTGTGTTTCCCTGCCTTCATTTTTCATTATGTTTTCACAGCTGTAAGAACAGCATTTGCAGGCATGGTTGAATTTCATGTTATAAAAAGGAGAATTCACCTTGGTTTCTTTCAAACTGTCCCAAATAATTAATTGGCACTTATGACAGTTGAAGCTCTGAGTCCATTTACTGCCGTTTCTTTAGCAGTGCTCATTTTACTTGTAGCAGAAGCCTCCAACTACTCCTACGGGTTATCGAGTTTGTTACTCTTCTCTGATATTTACTGAGATTAATTCAGGCGTTTTTCTTGGATAAGTAATGACTTACAGGTGTGGGCTTTATGCCACAAAGGTAGAGACACTGTGTACCAGCGACTGAAGACAGACTCCTGCCATTCAGGAATGATTAACTGCTGGATTTGATTCATCAGATGTGGTAAGAGTAAACCAACGTGTCCTTGGGCTGCACTGTGGTGCGTTACTGTGCACTCGCACTGCATTTATTGATCTTTCAGGTGTTTCTGTCCACAGGGCATCATAAATCACAATTTCTTTTTCCTCTCACCATTTTTGGTAGATACTGCAGGTGTTTTGAAGAAGCAAGTGAAATTGTAGCGTCTACTGATCGTTAGAGCTGACATTTTTATATTTTTTCATCGTTCTGATGGTCACTGTAGTGGCTATATTAATTTCTTAAAGTTCTTCCTTTCTCTTATATGTAATATAACCACACTACTGACGGACAAGCGCCTGTTTTTATGCGTTGTCGTTAGTAACAGCGACGATAACACCTTCGTGTGTGGCTTGTTTATGTTCCACATACACCTTTCACAATAAAGCTCAAGATCCTGTTGAGACTTTTCAAAATAAACTGAATCACGTGAAAGAGCAGATTATTTACAGATGAGAAGTAAAAAATAAACCTTAGACTCAAACGTTAGAACAGGCTTTCCCCGCAGCACGCCGTGTAATAAATACAAAGAAAACGGCGGCCTTTACAACTTGTGTCTATAAATGTATAGTTTCATGCATCGGTTAAAACACTCGACTCCGGGTAAAGGACGCGCAGCTGGAAACACTTCACGCAAGTCGAGCTGCCCGAGATTCACAGAATTTACAGACAATGTTACATTTTTGTGATTTATATCGTTATCGGACGATAGAATTCTTATATCGGGATATGAGATTTTGGTCATATCGCACAGCCCTATAAACCACTACACTGTGCAAAAGTAAGCTTCCGCTGAAGAGTGTGTGGGCTCACTCCTAGAGATGGGGCGAGGGGCTCAGACAGTTAGAAGGGTTCAATTTTGCACCAGTTCCAGTGATTCAGGAATTTCACTAGAATTCCTCCTATGTGCATGCCACGTATAACCCTAGTATGTGCAGTGTTTGGAGAAATCTATACACCCTGTAGCTTCTCTTTGTGGAGTGGGAGTGGTAGGCTTAGCTGGGACTACTGCTCCCACTCTTTTCGTTCTTTTTGATTCTACTTTTTTCCTTTTTTTTCTGTAAACTGATTGTACTCCGATATTATCAGGGGAGCTAAGTATGAAGTTTTACCAAAGTTTAAAAGAAGAGATTGTAAATGAAATATATTTATTTCATCTACAATCGCATATTGAAATACATGCCGTGTATTTCAATATATCAACCTGTCCCTTCTTCTTTCTTGTCCAGGTGGAAAGTTCTGCTGCTTTTACTGATGAAAAACCCATGGCAGGACTGAGAAGGAATAGTGAACATCCCTCCTACCCTGTCTTACACTCCTCTCCTGTAAACCTCCATCTTCTGGACTGTTTCACGAGGATATTCAGTTATGCCGAGCAGAAAGCAAAGTAAAATCCATTTCTCAGCTTTGACCATGTGAGCTCTGAGGTAGCTCTCTTAGCTCTGTTGTTTTTTGGCGACTCTTTCCAGTTGCCGGTAATGTAGTAATTCAAGTGATATTAGAAGCGTTTGGTGTCATGATGGCCGCTGCCTCCTCGCCTGAGAAGCTGCTGCAGCTCGAGGAGATCGACTCCAGCCGAGCTGGTAGCTGCATTCTCTCCCCGATCCTCGGCTCCTCTTCTCCTGGTCTGTCCCATGAAACAAGCCAGCCCATCTGTATCCGCTCACCATATACCGACCTCGGCCATGACTTCACCACCATACCTTTTTACAGTCCAACTATCTTCAGCTACGGTGGTCCGAGCATTTCTGAATGCTCCTCTGTCCATCAGTCTCTGAGCGCCTCTTTATTTTACAGCCGTGTGGGGACGCCCATTACGCTGCACTGCCCCCAGGGTCGATCCCAGCAAGGCCAGTCAGCCCAGACTCCGTGGGACAGTGTTATAACAACCAGGTAGGACTGGGCGCAACACCTTGACTACGCTGTGCTCTTTAATCAGTAGTTGGCCAGCTAATAATTATTCAATTAGTACTTAACCTGTTATTTATTGAACAGCTGTTTTTAGTAACCTTTTTCTCCAGTTTTTTCTTTTTCAACTAAAGCTACAGCAAGCTAAAAATAATCATCTGTAATCACATTACTGATTCAGTGATTTATTACTGTGTATTACTTTTAATCAACTGTTTTGCATACTTAATCTACATGTTTTTGTCTTGGGAAGAAATCATGACTCAAAACTGTCTGTTAGCAAGAGTGTGAGGAGGCGCTCCCAGGAGAGCGAGGAGAGCATGGCGTCTTCAGGTGGGAAGGCAGACCTCCACTACTGTGCTGTGTGTCATGACTATGCTTCAGGCTACCACTATGGAGTCTGGTCGTGTGAGGGGTGTAAGGCCTTCTTCAAGAGGAGCATCCAAGGTGAGACAAAACATACATATGGTTCGAACAATTGCTTGAAATCTTTGAAAATACTTGAATTTTAATACACTTTTCAAGGTTTGAAAAGTGCTTGAATTTCAAATGTGGTGCTTAAAAGTGCTTGAAACTGTATTTCATTCACAACAAATAACTGTCTGACCGAATGGTTTTCTTATCAGATAGAGAAATAAAATGAGTCGCAAAGTTGAAAAGCTAATTTTCTCAGTTGGATGCCTGTTTATTTAAGGGAGATGAATATTACATTCTAATTGTACCTAATTACGGAGCCCCGCAGGGGACATGGGAGAAAAAAAAATTAGGGAGAAAAAAAAAAATTAAGACGGACTTTTGCGAGATCTCGCAAAACAAACTCGGGATCTCGCAAAACTTTTGCGAGATCTCGCAAAACAAACTCGGGATCTCGCAAAACTTTTGCGAGATCTCGCAAAACAAACTCGGGATCTCGCAAACCTTTTGCGAGATCTCGCAAAACAAACTCGGGATCTCGCAAAAGTTGAATTCGAACAATAGCGGCAGCTACTTAGTTGTAATATTACTCTTTCTGGGTCACAAAATACACTTTTAAGATATTTTGAGGCGTGAATGTAGTTGCGTAAACGTCAGATACCTGCTCGGTTTACAAGACATCACATATTTGCAAAAGTGCTCCGACGTTTTTGGAGATCTGACACCCACTAGCTCGAAGCTAACGGGAGGTCGAGACCTACTACAGCTGAGAGGAACACCGCTTTCCCGGCACATCGTGCCTCGACCTCCCGGTCGGCTTCGAGCTGGCGGCCTCCGAAGAATGCGGCTAAAACTTTTGCGAGATCTCGCAATACTTTTGCGAGATCCCGAGTTTGTTTTGCGAGATCTCGCAAAAGTCCGTCTTAATTTTATTTTTTTTTCTCCCTAATTTTTTTTTCTCCCATGTCCCCTGCGGGGCTCCGTACCTAATAATATCACAGATGATAAATTAAATAAATAGATTTTAAGTAGATGCTTGTGCATTCTGAAAGTTGAACTGAGTATGTCATCTGTTTAAAGCCTCTCCCAGTCAGTGCTGCTCTCCATGCCTGTCTCGTACATGGTGTTATTAGCACAAACACTTTAAAGGTGATAATTCATGACTTTAACAATAATTCAGACAGCAATGTTATTAAACAACTTACAGTTGGTTTTATTGGGAATTAACTTTTAACCTGTTAGGCCCCCAGGGGCTTTCTGCTTGAAAATGAAATGACCAAAATAAATGGAGTATTTCTCTGCAATTACAAAGTCTGTGTAAACAATCTTGGTATGAAAATAAAGCTAACACTTGTGAGACGTCATCAGAGGTGTAAATATTACTGCAGATTGATTGGTAGAGCAGATGTTCATGCACTACTTAAAACTGTGTCACTGTTGCAAAGTCCTGATTGCTTCTCTCAAATCTAAAGATGTGCAACTTTGCTCTTGTTGGTTGGTGTTTCACACCACTTCTGTTTTATTTTGTACTTTATCTAAGTGTCTTTTTTGTGCTTTTCTGCGCTTTTCTTCACCAGTTTCATATTAATGTCGACGTAACTCCTTTGCGCGTACCCATCCAAATGTTATGTTTATGCCTTGCTGACTTATTAGTAAAGAATAAACTAATAAGTCCTCTAGGATATAACCTTACACCCTAGATCTTGGTGGATTTTGGATGCTCCTGTTTTAATAGTTGGTAACGCTGACACTGAGTCACTACAGCGCACTTTCTGTGCAGTATTAGCAAGTCTGCGCAGAGCTCCACACGCGTAAATGATCTGATGTCCTCCTGCTGACCTTTGTCTGATGGCTTTGACTCATCCCTGCTGGACCTCGTGGCTCAGTTAGTGGATGTTTTGTGGATAGTGGTCACTATAATTCCCATCTTTATATCTATTATATTAGTACTAGTTCTGCTCTTTTATTCCCATGCTTAATAAAGTTGATAATATTCCACGTTTAAGTACAAATTTGTGACATCCACACTGTTCTCACACAGGCTACAAAACAGCTGGACAAAGAGCAGTTTCCCTGACTTTCATGTGTTTTGTGATGGTTTTATCTACCCATCCAAAACATCATTTCCCCAAACAGCCTTCTTTGGCTCATAGCTGTGTCCTACATGGTATAATTGCTCCCATCTCTATTTGGGGGAGACACGCTGGAGCTATTATCACTTCAGTACGAAGCTTTTCTGGTTGTCACCTGGAGGATTCTACTGATGCTTATCAGGGAAAACTTTGTGCACTTAAACGTCCAGTTTCCCAGAGCTTTTTATACTCGCTGCCTGACAGATTGCCTAGTCAGAGGCTTGCCTGGAACAAATCCACATTCTGTGGTGTCAAGTCATTAACTTCCCATTATAATCAAAATTTATTTCATAATGATAATTTGAAGCTAAAACTTGTATGTTGTCAATTTAAGCTTTATTTTACAGGTGTTATGACATAATCTTGTATTACACAACACTTTGAGCTTTTGAACAAATATATTCAAAACTAGACCATTTAACCATTGCTATACATTAAGGCAAACCAGTATGCGTATATCATGCTAAACTGAATTTAGATGGTAATTTTGGATCACAGTTGACATTTTTCTGAAAATACCACTGTTCAAACAATATGTCTGCCTATGCAAATTAAGTCTTTGAGCAAAATGGCCAGGGTACGGAGAGAGGACTTGAACTGACCACAAAGGACTGCTTGTCATCAATGATTTTTGCTGGAAGCTGCACAAGCTGGAAATTCTCAGTCTGCCTGTCTGTTGTGCAGGGATGCAACTTTGCATTGTATTTTTCTTCATACAACTCATTTTTCATTTTTTCTATCCAACTTTTTATTTTTGTCTCAATGTCTGTCTCTTTGTGTCTTTTTGTTTTAGGACACAATGACTATATCTGCCCGGCAACCAATCAGTGCACTATTGACAAGAACCGCCGCAAGAGCTGCCAGGCATGTCGCCTTCGCAAATGCTATGAAGTTGGCATGACCAAATGTGGTTAGTATGATTATATGTATACATTGTTTCATATTTCTGAAAGATGGCTGGGTGGCTGTAGCTCAGGTGGCAGAGCAGGTCAGCCACTAATCAGAAGGTCGGTGGTTCGATCCCAGGCTGCCTCCTGGCTGCATGCCAAATATCCTTGGGCAAGATACTAACCCCATGTTTGCCTACTGGTGGTGGTCAGAGGGCCACCAGTGTCCGGCAGCCTCGCGTCTGTCAGTGCGCCCCAGGGCAGCTGTGGCTACAACGTAGCTTGCCATTACTAGTGTGTGAATGCGTGTGAGAATGGGTGGATGACTGAATGTAGTGTGAAGCGCTTTGGGGTCCTTAGGGACTGAGTAAAGCGCTATACAAATGCAGGCCATTTACCATTTAGTTCTGATAGAAGTTTTTGCATTTTGTTTTTCTGAATCCAGCCAACAGTAACTTGATGTTCTGATTATTACCTAAATAACTTGGTCATCTGATGATGTTTGGTTTATTTTATCTAAAATTTGAATGATGTGATTACTAATTATACAGTATTGATATTATACATATGCTTGAATATATTTTTCTAATGTTCTTGTTTACTTGTAAGATCAGTTAATTTCTATTTTTTCTGTAGAATCGTACAACAACATGACAGAACTATGTTTCATTATAGGCAAGAGCAAGAACAATATATGTTTTAATATTCCATAATGTTTTAGTATTTGTTTGCCTATTAATTCACATTTCATTAAAGAAGTCTTCATTCCTGCATTTGATCTGCTCTTGTAGTGTTTTGGTTAAAACGTGAAGTTTTAATTATGGGTATCACTGCAATGATGCAGGGATATCTGGATAGAAATAAAGTTTAATCCAAATGTTGTTCTTTAATATGGTTCCAGCGCTTTTACTTTAGTTTTTTTTCTACATATGAGAAATGTGATCTGGCTCTAAAAGCCACCACTGGCTCTATTAATCATTTCCACACAAAACAAATCTTTTCAACATCTGTTTGCAGTAAATAGGATTCCCATACTCTAAATTTGGATTTCAGTTTATTCCGACATTTTGTTTTCCAAGTAGGAACTACATGGTGCCAGATCTTGTAGCCTGTTCAGTGATTTCTGTCTGTAACTGATGGACTTGCTACTTGCCATTTTTGCTTTACCCTTCTTAACCCCCCAAAATTGCAATCTTATATAGAAAACAACAGCAAAATTTAACAGATATGGACAGTCTGGAACATGGGTTAAAATTGGCTATAATTTAATGCTTGCCTTGTTACTCACAGGTATTCGAAAGGAGCGTGGAAACTACAGGAATTCGCAGGCAAGGCGGCTAACCCGTCAATCCTCACAGTACATAACAGCTGAACCAAAGGGCATAACTGGACCAGCTGAAGGTTCATTAAATGAGCCGGAAAAACCTGCACTGACCCCAGAGCAGCTAATTGAGCGGATATTGGAGGCGGAGCCGCCAGATATCTACCTCATGAAGGACGCGAAGAGGCCGCTGACCGAAGCAAGCATCATGATGTTGCTCACCAACCTGGCAGATAAAGAGCTGGTTCACATGATTAGCTGGGCCAAGAAGATTCCAGGTGTTTGTTTTTGTGATATTTCAAAAAAAAAAATTAGATGAATTTATATAATTAAAAATTTTTTTTTATCTTCTTCAGGTTATTCAGGTCAACAAAAATTCTAAATGAATGTGGAGAATCAGACCTTCCATTTTCATTGGTCAATCAGAAGAAAATGTATGTGCAGTGTCCCCATTCAAATCTAATAAAACAAAACGGGTCCAAAAATAGGGTTCAAATATCACTTTACCAGCAGATTTTCTCCGACTGTGCATGTGCAAAGTTACATAGCAATGTGGCAATACCACTTAATTAATGGTTCGAGCCAGAGTGCTGACACAAATAAGTGTTTCGCCAATAGAGCAATTCATGTCCTGAATAAATAAAGTGTAGTATACACTGATGAAGAAAATATACACTTCTTTTTGTAATTTTTAGGCAACATCAATGTGATTGATTGTGAGTCTCCTATTCAACCAAATCCCAAAGATGTTCTGTTGGTTTAAGATCTGGTGACTGAGGAGGCCATATGAGTACAGTGAGGTCATCGTCATGATCAAGAAACCAGTTTGAGCTTTGTGATGGTGTGTTTGCCTGCTGCAAGCAGCCATGAGATGACGTTGTAGTTAGTACATTATAGTTTCAGTTATGAAGGAATATAAATGGTCAGCCACAAGACTTGGGTAGGTGGTGGCATTTAAACAGTGCTCAGTTGGTACTAAGAAGCCCAAACTTGTACCATTACACCAACCTGAACCTTTGATAGAAGGCAGCATGGATCTGTACGTTCTTGTTGTTTACACCAAATTCTGGCTCTAGCATCTAAAGTTTTGACCAGGAAAAGTTTTTCCAGTCTTTTCTTGTCTGTTATCTTGTGTGAACTTTAATCTTGGCCTCGTGTTTTTAGCTGACAAGAGTGGAACACAGTGAGCTGCTGTAGTCCATCTGCTTCAGAGACATATTGCGGATTCAGAGATGCTCTTTTACATATCTTGATTGTAACGTGTGATTTTAACAGTTGCTGCTGACTTCTTTTCAGATCACAATGTATTTTCTCTCTTTCAGACTATTTAGACTAGACTAGTGTGGCACCAACAACCATGCCATGTTCAATCACTTACATAACCTTTTTTTCCCCATTCTGATTTTTGGTTTGAACTCTCGCATGTTGACTTCTATACTTTCTTAAAAGCACTGAGTTGCTTCCATTTGAAAGCTGATAAGAGTCAATATTTGCACTTGACAAAAGAGCTGGTGAGTATATAGCACAACACACACAGTAACAAAGTTGCCATCATTAATCGTTAGTTCTCATTTACAACATTTTGATTAGTTGAATCTTGTATTAGATGAAAGCTTTTCTATATAAAACAAGGGCATTTCAAAGTGCTCCTGAAACAGCTGTTATTATGTCTAGTTTTCATGTTTGCTTGAGTTGAGAAATGCAATTGGTTTGAGATTATACAAAGAGTCTTTCTACAACATCAGTAAAAATTACTTTAATGATAACAGATCTAGGTATTTTATTCTTCTCGCTGAGCAGTTCACTGTCTCAAGACAGCTAATGATGTGTTTGTGGCTTGGCACAGTCATTTGTGTCTGCTTTATTTAGCGTTTGAGCCTGTAAAACACAGCAGCAGTGATGGAACTGGAGTCTGGCAGTGAGCTGTGAAATAACAATGTATCACAAAGGGTGGATTTCTGTAGCCTTGTTAATGAATTCTGACTGCTTGTGGTGAATTTAACAAATTTAAGCCTGAAAAAGTGAAATAAATCATTATAGCAAAGAAAAGAATTTAATTTCAAGCGTGAATTTCAAAGTGAATTGTCTGAATGCTCATTGTTGTCGTAGCCTGAGTCAGCAGCACAGGCCATACAAGTCTGTGGCACTGAGCAGTTTATTGGGAATGCGTGTTCATATGTATGCATAAATGATCATATTGAACGTGAGAGTAGCAGTACAATAATCTTTGTGTAATTTTGATTCTGACATGATTGTCGGTGCAAGTCGATTTAGTTTACTTGGCGTTTTGCAAAAAATAATTTAAAGAGTGACAGATCTTGTCAAAGCTCACAGAAAGCTTACGGTAACTTCACACCATCAGAAGACAACTTTCCTTCGCTAGGTGATCACATCGGTGGTCACCCAGTGGGAGGGAACCTCCATCTATCCATCCATTTTCTACCTCTTATCTGAGGCAGGGTCGCAGGGGCAGCAGCCTAAGCAGATGAGCCCTGACCTTCCTCCCTGGCCACCTCCTCCAGCGTTTTCTGGGGGAACACAAAGGCAGCACTCCCATGCCAGTTGAGAGATCTAATTTCTTCAGCGTATCCCAGGTCCAGGCATGTCCCACTTTCTCCTGGTGGGACATGCCTGGAACGCCTCAACCAGGAGGAACCCAGGAAGTGTCCTTGTCAGATGCCTGAAACACCTCCGCTGGCTCCTTTTGATGTGGAGGAGTAGGAACTCTACTCTGAGCCCCTCCTGGATCGGTAATTAGTGACAAAGGGCAGCCCTGGCAGGCCCTGGCACTGTTTGTCCATCGGGAAAAACTCCAGTGTACAGGCAACAAGCCGAGGGGATACTAAGATACCGACCCCAACCCACCGCCTTTCAGCAAGGGCTACTCCAGACTGAGACACAGTCAAGCCCTGTCTCGGGGACACTGGTTCCTGTTTTTTGGGTCTTTTTCATTTATCTAACTCTTAGTAAATTGTGAGGTGCCTCGTAATCAGTACTTGTTATTATGTTTTTTAACCTGTTTGCTGAGACGGTGCCGTGTTTTTGTTTTACCTTGTTGGTTCGTTAATCAGTATCAAGTCTCACATTGCTCTTAATGGCACTGCCTGTAAAAAGGTGGTCTTTTTAGGGGTTTTGCTTGTTTTAGGTTTTATTTTATTGTTTTTTATTTATTTATTTATTTTTTGGTTTGGATATTTTTAGGTCGGCATTCTGTTTTTGCATTTACGGACAATGAGATGGAAAAAATTGCTTCCAACCAAGTTGTTTACCTCCTGTTTCTCTTCATGCTGCTGCCTAGTTGCTCATTAGACTCGTTATTCAGGTTTCTGTGATATGCTTCATCTGCTCACAGCTATGTACTTTATGATTACATCCTTTTCTCAGGGTTTGTGGAGCTTAGTCTTGTAGACCAGGTCCATCTGTTGGAGTCCTGCTGGCTGGAGGTGTTGATGATTGGACTGATGTGGAGGTCAGTGGACCATCCAGGAAAACTCATCTTCTGCCCTGACCTCAGCTTGAGCAGGTACCACCTCCTAAACCTTGTTTCACTCGCCTGATTAGAAGCACTTGCTTCTAAAAAGAGTTATTGGTGGTTCCCAGTGTACTTACACACAATATCTTATGATAATACACCAAACCTCTGTATGTTTGTTTCTGTGTCTGTCAACTCCTCCTAGACCATCAGGGCTTGAGCAACCAAATCTGGCTCCTAAAGGTTCTTAGCTACATCGCATATTACGATGGCATCATGTTGCCTGGCAACCACCTAGCAATAGGCTACAACAACCCATTTTTAGCATTTAAGAACCTAAAACACCTATTCTGGGTTTTTTTTTGGTGATCTTTTCTGCCAGCTGAGAGACATCACTAATGTTACTCTCCTTCCTCTTGTGTAAAGTGCTTCAGAGTTAAAACAGCAGATCATCTTTTACTTCTTGGTGGGAGTTACATCTGTGTTATGTCTGGCTAATTTGTGGAGGTAAAAATCAAGAGTGTGATGCAATTAAATAACATTTTTGTCTTTTTAGAGAAGAAGGAAACTGCGTCCAGGGCTTTGTGGAGATCTTTGACATGCTGATAGCTGCCACAACCAGGGTGAGAGAGCTCAGGCTGCACAGGGACGAGTACGTCTGCCTCAAGGTCATGATCCTCCTCAACTCCAGTGAGTGAGCATGTTTGTGTGGGCGGACATGAGGTCCACTCTCAGTGTCATGTGCTTAATGTGCATGTGCGTAAGTGAGACTGAGACTGTTTGTTTGTCTCCAGAACATGAACCCACAATGGGGTGTTAGATTGGTATCTCAGCATGTAATCTTGTGAGCCTACACATGGTAAGTATGTCCATAAACCAAATAACTAGCAGTGAAGACTGCTAGTTATTTGAAACTACACAGTGTTCCCTGTGTAGTTTCAAATAACACTGTGTAGTTTCAGTCTGTGCTATGAGGACTCAGAGGTTCTGCTAAAGTAGCTGGAGTAGCAGGTGGTACATAAGTGAAGATGAACACGGTCAAGGCCTCTCTGGTGAGATCATTAATGTTTTCTTTTTAATTGCCTCCACAAGCGAAGTCAGACTTTTGTCTGACTTTGCCGACTACAGAGCTGTTTCACCTTCAGCCCCAGAATATAAAAATCAAATGTTATTAAAAGTTTGTTTTTATTAAATCAGAGCTGACTAAAATGGCCAAGACTACAGAATATGGTTTAGATTCAAGTAAAAGCATTTACTGTCACATAGAAGAAAACCACATGATTCCTTGTGGGACCTAGTCACCCTAAATACATTTAAGATGATCAGATCCCAACAAACTAAATGTGAGGCATGGTGTGTTTTTGTGTAAGAAGTACTCTTAAAGTGTCTTTGAAATGGATCTATCTAGCATTCTTGGACTTGGACACTTAGCAAAAAGCACACTCATGCAATATGAGAATGTAATCAGTGTGAAAGTGTGATTTTTATTTATTTTTATTTGTTTAGGGCACTCAAGCCTCACGTTAGCTGGGATAATGTTAGCCTTTAACCAGCTGCTGTTGTTTAGCTGGCTTGTTGTCAGGATGGATGCATGTCTAATCTGTTGACTGTAAGTAATTGTGACAATATCGGGAATAAAAGAGCATGTTTATGCACGTTTTTGTGTTTTAGCACCCTGACTTTAGTTCAGGAGATGAGGCTTGAGGTGAGTAGGAAGAGGATTAGGTGACAGAGGAGAGAGAGCAGTGATGGAGGAGGAGACATGATAAGAACAAAATGATGAAAAATGTATTTAAATGTTTAGTGTTCATATATAGTTTAAAAAGAACTTTGTGACCTTTAAAATGAACTTATAATGCATGCTATGTATGTGTCCACTCATTCATTTTATTTGTTTTTTTTTTGGGGGGGGGGTTGGTAGTTGTGCATCCGTACAAGAGCACGCTGCTTTTGGAGCTCAACATTTGTTTTGTAAAAGGAATGAGTAGGTGTTTGCAAACTATATTAAAGGCATTATGTTACGTTGTTACTAAGAAGTTCAACGTCTGGCATAGTTTAAAAGGAAAAAAAGGAGTTTACTTGATTAGTCAGTGGTTTGGGAGAGCAACCAGTTAAACCACCCACCCCACCACTAAGAAACACCTGTGGGTACTGTCGCGTTTTTTGTATGCAGTAAAACTAAGGTGTGTCATCCAGATCTTTGCACTGTACACTCAGAATACACACACACACACACACACACACACACACACACACACACACACACACACACACACATACACACACACACACACAGAGAAAATGATCAACAAATGCATGGAGTTGAAGATCATACTACTTTATTTAGTTAATTTAAAGCCAGTCCCTTTGACATCTGCTAATTCAATAGCATGAAAGCCCCAGACCAGAGCCCCTGTGTTACTTACTAACTCTCAAACAGTGGAAAACCCCATGGTGATGTTTTGTGAATAATCTTTTTGTAGCAGTGGAAAAAACTAAAACCAAAGTAGCTCAGAATGTTCCAAAAACAGATTTAAAGTTCTGCTGCCAGAGATAAAAAGCAGAGAGATTCTAACCAAGCAAATGTTTAGACGAGATTTTAATGACCCTCAAAATGAAAACTACTCCTTAAAGACGGAGACAGGGCAGTCCAGTGTGTACAGACAAGGCACCATCTGTGAGACACTGTTCTGTACCCTACAAATATTTGAGCAAACTGTATATTCGATGCTTTGGCAGGATGTTTCTAAATGTTTGAGCATGTCAGCCCTTTTCAAACTGTATTTGCAAGCACAACAAGTGTTTCTTTAGTGTTGAACAAAACACGGGGATTTTTCAGACTTCTGCTACCAGAAAGTTTCACAGTAGGAAAAGGGCTGCAAAATCAAATCAGTTTTTTTTCCCCTGGCTCATAATGCACCTCTGGGCGCAGACTACATGCGTAAGCACCTTTTGATCCGTTTATAGTTGAAGCAAAGAGTCGATGTTACCTTACCAGAAGTCTTTTGCTTCTGTCCTTTGTATTTTATGCCAAAGTAAATAAAAAAAAAAACACTTGAAAAATATTTGTATTTATAACACCTGGTTACAATCCTTTGACGGAAGGCCAGTGGTTATTTTCGGGGGTGTTAAATCTTTTGTATGCATTTTAAATAAATTGTGGATAAATTCCATTTAGCTGGTTCAGTCTGATGTTACCGGTGGTGTTGCACATGCTGGTTCTCTGGGTCATCTGTCCTTTTCCTGCTGTGACCGAATCAAGATGTCTGCATGAAAAATCCAGTTATGTTTTTGCACAGTTTACAAAGGATAATGCACTTCAAAATGTTTTATTTACTTTAGCTTCCAACATTAAACTCCTATATTGATATCTGTAATATAGTCTTTACTGTGTAGACACACTTAAAGTGTATTTCTTCCCATTTGCTTTCCAGACATGTGCCTCAGTTCCTCAGACGGCAGCGAGGACCTGCAGAGCCGGTCCAAGCTGCTGCGCCTCCTGGACGCTGTGACAGAAGCTCTGGTGTTGGCCATCAGCAAAACCGGTCTCACCTTCCAGCAGCAGTACACCCGCCTGGCTCACCTGCTCATGCTGCTTTCACATATTCGTCATGTCAGGTAACAGGACCCAACATCATGCTATTAAAACCTGGATATTTTTTAAAAAGGGAGACAGATCTGTAAATGAATTTATTTTACAGCTCAGATTTATTCAAAGCCCTGCAGTGTTATGAAACACATTCATCTGACCAGATTGTTCCCATCAAAAGTCATTACGTTAACCTCTCGCCCAACTTTGTTTTCAATGTGCAGTAACAAAGGCATGGACCACCTCCACTGCATGAAAGTGAAGAACATAGTGCCTCTCTACGACCTGTTGCTGGAGATGTTGGATGCCCACATCATGCACAGCTCTCGTCTGCCTCCTCAGCCTCCTCAGCAGGAGGAAGATCAGAGTGAGGCTCCTGCCCGGCTGCACAGCTCTGCAAGCGGACCTTCAAATACCTGGATTCCCAGTAGCGCTAGAGCTGGAGGTGAACCCCAGTAGTCAGATCAGAATTCCGATGCGAAAGAATTTTCACTGCTTTGCACAAAACTAGTTCACGGGAATGATGAGTATCTTCGTAGGAACGAGAGCTGGATTCTCTGATCTGTCACTGGTGAATCTTTGACACGCTGTGCACAGTTTCTGGTGAACTTTCAATATCTTCAAAGTTAACCGCATGGAGCACAGATCACGCTTTCAGGATTCTTTGCTTTTCCACTATATTGGCAAAAGACTAAAGCGAAACAGGAACAAACTGTCAAACCTGGTCACTCAGCTGTACTCAGATATGTGACAGGACCATTAAATCAGTCAGTCGACCAATGAAAACCCATGCAGAAAAACAGATCACAACTGATTTGATCACACCTCCCAATGACAGTATGTCTTTTTAAACTGATTAATCAGAGCCTGTACAGTTTGCTGGAACAAGCAGCTTATGTGTAACTGATTCCCAAAAACAAGCACCTGCAGAAAACTCACACTTTAACTCTGAGTTAAAGAAATCTTATACTGTGAAACTTACAGTGCTCACTGGCGTGTTTTCTTCAACAAATCTCAGTTTGTGTTTCGACTTTGTGTGTGTAGATGTTTTAATGCTTAAGTGGCTTTTCTATACACATGGACTTTAATGTCGAGGCTGCAACAAAAGACTGTTGTTACTGATTATTGCTGATTACTTAATCAGTTTATTGTTGGGTCTATGCACTAAAACACTTATGATTTCCCCACAGACCAGGGCCACGGCTTCATCTGCTAAGTTTTGTCCATCCCACAGTTGCAAATGAAAATTTATTTAGTCGATGAATTTCAAAAATCCATTGATTTTTATTCTTATATTTATTTTGAAGATGGAGATGCATGAATAATAATAAAAATGCTGTTTGTACCCATGTTTAGACAACCCAAGGAATTATGACACATACATAAGATAATACTTTATATCCTCGTGTAAGGGATTCAAATTTCATCAAGACTGCAGTATATCATCACCTTATAACACAAAGATAGTTAAACTTCTGGGATATCAATCTGTCCACTTAAGAAGCATAAGCCATTGTGAACATCATCCACTTGCTTTGGTGCAACCAGTTGCGCTGTCTGTGCAACGATGCAACCCCCCCAACATGAACTGGTTTGGCATGTGGTGGCCTTAGACCACTTCTCTCTCCTTATGCCTCCTTACAGATCTTTCTCTGGTGTGACTTTTTTCACTTGTGTCACTGCTAGTGACACAACGCAGCGCCTGCTGCACAGGCAGTCTAATTCCTCCAGGATGGCACATTCATACTCGCTGTTACAAGAAGGTTTGCCGTGTCTCCAGGAGGATGAATACTAGGAGACGGGCAATTACCCAAGGGGAGCTGGACAGGACAGTAAAAGGGGTATCAATGCAGCAGCTGAACTGATATAGTCTTCTTATTATTGTGAGGAAGAACAGGAGGAGCCCTATAAAATGACCTCCACTGGACTATTCGAGAGCATGTTCCTGGCCAAACTGTCAGATGGTTGATAACGCTCATGCCACCGCCTGCAAAACCATTCCCTTCTTGCAGGGGTTGCCATTTACACCAAAGCAGGTGAAATAGATTGATGATGGATTCTGCTTCCTGACTGAACAGATTGATGTCCCTGAAGTTTACCTGACTATCTCTGATATTGTGATTATTGAGCGTTACCCTCATTTATTTTTTGAGTAGTGTATATGATCATTAAAGGCAGTATTTGCACAAAGCAGTTACTTTGTTAGCATCTCATGTATTTGTTGAATCGCTCACAGAGTTGTTTCATCTGGGTTAAAATTAACGAGAGAACTCCAGCTAAGAAGGTGATTTCTAGCAGAACTTAAGCTAATTGGCAGTGAATGTGGCAACTCTGATTTTCTTCTTTAGCTTAAAAAACAGACATGAAAACAATTCCTCAACTGAATGCTGATTTTTTTTTTTGTTTTGTTTTTTTGTTTTTGTTAAATACAGTTATTTGAAAAAGAAAAATATCAAGCTGTGTTGAGCTGGTGCCTTCACTTGCTCTCAATGTTTGTGCTTTATTGTCAAAGATGCCTTACTGTTGCTCTTATGCCAACGTAGCACTTCAAAAAAATTTCTATTTTTGTAGTTTTGAACTTGCTACAGTTGCTCTTTGTGACATGATGCAGCTTCAACAATCAGGATCACTGCAAGGTTCATCAAACAGAGGCCTCTGGACCCTCTGGACTCTGGTCTTTCTGTACAGCCTGTGCTTTTACTCTCATCAGCCTTTGTCACCAAACTGTTTAAGCACTGCACAGATACTTCTTGTTCAATTCTGGGGAAAATGTTTGATGAATGTATAAATCAGTAAAACAATACGAAAGAGGAGCCTTTGTCTTATTTGTTATTTATCAAACGCCGTGTTTTGCCAGCTTGCAAATGATCAGCAGAAGTAAATGTTAATGACTATTTAATTTTGAACACTATCTTTAGTCTAGACTACAAAATTATTTTTTGATAAAACAGAGATACTATAACTACCGGTAGGTAAATTTTAATTTGGAAATTTTTAAAAAAGTATATATAAAATTCACAAACTCGAGAAAGAAAAGCACCAATTCATTTTCTTTAGCCAAAAGTGATTGGTGATTTTGGGGCAAACAAAACGAATCCTATACAAAGGGTAGTGTAAGTCACAGAAAACAGATGCCGGTGCCACTCGGATGGAGCGGGTCATGTGTAGCACAGTGTTCTCTGAACCAAATAAAATCTTTTAAAAGAAGGTCCCTCGAGTAGACTTTCCAGAACTTCCAGTCCTAATCTCTAACTGCGATTAACATTGATGTTATCCCTGAGGGTTTTGTTAGTGCAGCAGAGTACTGTGGGCTTGGCTTGATAAATGAAAACGGGTCCTTTTCGGGGACCCCTCTTTAAATCCAGCATCTGATCAGCACTGCTTGAACACCGGCAGAGGCCTCAGATGTAGGATGTAGAAGTAAGAACATGGCAGAGAATGCGCCCAATGATGAAAATAGCAAATAGAACAAAAATGAGTGAAGTGGCCGTCTAAGATGCTGGGTTTTTTTTTGTTTTTTTTTTTAAACAGCCATGTATTACTTCTGCCAAGTATGTTTTCTTTTAGATAGGATTTGCAAGTGTGCACGCGGTTTGAATGAATTCTAATAAAACTTTGACCTCAGCTGATGGCCTGCCTCTGGCTCCTTGTTTGCAGCTTCTCATCCTCATTACAAAAGTACATTTTGTGACATAAACACACATATGCTCACACCTACAGTAGACAACACAACAAGATTGTTAGTTTGTGTATCCATGTTCGTTCATTTGGTTTTTCTTACAGCTTTGGTAGTTGAAGACACTGTTGTGTTCTTCCACTTGTGCTCTGTCCACTCTATTCTTATCTTATTATCCATTTTCTCCTTTTCCTGTACTCTTTCTGCTTGTTAGCTTGGCACTGCCATAGCACACATGCACTGGGAACACAAACAAGAGGAGCCTATAGAGTCTATAGAGATTTTTAGAAAAGCAAATATGTTTGGCACAAAGGTGCATTCAGGTTCTGATTTAGATTGCAAAAAGCTGACAGACAAGATGCTCTTATAAAAAAAAAAAACTTGTGTAGTTTTTCTGTAGTGTTTCTAGCCAAGGTTTGGCATTTCCCCTGTTTGGTAGCATGGATACCTCAAAAAAATAAAATAAAATAAAGGATAAGCCAGTTTGTTTAAATCAGTCAACATTTACTAGAGGAACAAAAAAATGATTATAAATCCACCTTTCAAGTTATAAATAAGCATTATATTATTGCTTTATGTACATAAACATCATGCTGAATCTACAGTGTTTCAACAGTGCAAGGAGGCGTGGAAATGTCCACTCACAATCTAGTCAAGACAAAATCACATCTAAAAAACTCAGTATACAAGAATGTGTTTTTTCTTTTTTTTTTAAAAAAGACTTTCAGCTGGCTTTTTATCAAATACATTCAAATTTAATCAGCGCTGTTCTGCAGAGTTCAGTCGAGCAGGCAGGAAAACATTAAATGAAATGTGAAGAGTTCATGAAGTAAATGAAATATAAACATGCAAATCTTAAAAACACAAGAGTTCAGTGTCTGGCTGGATTAAAAAATAAACAAAAAAAACAGTTTAGTCGGTGAAAAATCAAACTGTATGTAAATGATGGCTGTAGCCACCCTATTGCTTACTTTTTCTTGGTGTTTTGAAGTGGAGGATGATGAATCGTCATATGGTAGCCACTTGTCAGTGACACTGCCCTAATCTGTACTTTAGTTGGGCCTTTCTGTACACAATGAGCATCATGTTCTATTAAAAAAATGAAAACAAAATGAAAACAAATGAAACTCATCAGAAAAGTGTTTACTGAGATCGCCACTCAATAAGACGTAGGGTCGTTTTCTCATGCACTTCTATATAACCTGACTTTTTTTTGCCACCATTAGAAACGATTCAGGTTTAAGGCACTTGTGCACTTGCTTCACTTTTCAGACTGAGTTTGAAAATCCACTGTGGCTTCGTCATCTGTCGAATGAATCATTATTCATAATACGTAGCTTTTCTTTTTTTTAATGCTGTGATTTACGTGTTCTTACCTAATTAATAGGATAATTACTGTACCTCACTAGAAATAGATTCGGTGACTCGTCCCTCATCTGATGATAATCCTTGTGTTGGAGGATGGTCGGTGGTCTCCGAGTGGCAAAAGTGATTGATTTCCTGAATGATGTTAAAACCTGGGGGGGTTTTTTTGGCATGGTGAGTTTTTTCTTGATGGAAAGACAAAAGAGCTGCTGGCAAATCTTTACAGTTTTCAGTCTTCGGGAAACTGAACATGACAGCATGGTGACATACGTTCATCCGTTTCCTTTAGAAAGTTTCTATTATCGCATGAATATTACAATCAAGTGGGCGGTGGGCCGTTGGTGTAATGCAACATGGGGTAGAAGGACCGGGCGAAGTTATTGGTAAGGGTGCAGCTGGAGTCACTTTCCGACATTGGAATCAGGCAGGGCAGGAGCAGGAGGAGCAGTAGCAGGAGCTGAAGAGGGAAGGCGGCACGCAGGGCCCGGTAGAAGAAGGATCGAGGGGGAGACGATTCCCGCTTCTCTCTGCAAAACACATCATATTTACTGCAAGAAGACATGAAATACAAACAACGTTATCTGCGCTGCTACTTACCTTTGAGTGGAGGAGCCTTTCTTTGAATTTCCAGCCTCCTGAGAAACACTTTGACACTGGGCGGCTGTAGCAGATTCACAGTCCTGAGGTAAATAAATCGTCTACGTTAATATGCTGTAAAAAAAACATTCATGACAGCTCTTGGATGTGCAGAAAGAAAATATTTTGAGCTTTTACCAGACGTTGCCGCAGGTTGCTGAGGTCGCCGTCCACCTGCTTCAGGAGCAGCTTCAGCTTGCTCCCCGTCACGTGGAGTTTCTCCCGGGCCTCGTTGCTCTCCTCTGTGCCGTCTTCAGGCTGGAGTTGAGACCACAGAGTCTGAAGGGAGGCCTGATGAGCCTGCCTGTCCTGCAGCTCCTTTTGCAGAGCCTGCAGACCACAACCAACAAAAATAGTAACTATTTCTAGCATCAAGCTGAATAAATGACTGGATAAAACTTTTTGACTTCACATGCTCAGTGTAAACACAGCGTCAGCAGCAGATCTGTGAGGACAGTACTTTTTTTCAATTTGTTGGGTAACCAAACATGCCTCTCTGCTTACAGTGAGGGTGTTGCTGTGCTGTTGCAGCGCTGTGAGAGTCGTGTCTGGGTGGCCGATGTCCACTGCGTAGCGTCTGCTCTCTGCGTGAGCGAGCCACAGCAGCAAAGAGTGGAGGCTTTCATGAAAGTCCTGTATGGGAAAAAGTTAAAGGTCATTTGTTACAGTGAAGCAGTTCAGCTGAAACCTCAGCTCATGTCATTTTTGACATTTTAATTTCTACTTACATCAACTAGATTTTTTTCCCTTCCAAATTATGGTAGGAAAAAAACATTTTTGCCATCTGCTTTTCAAAAATAGTTTTCCTCTTTAACCTCCTAAGACCCGAACTCTTCCATGGCATGCATTTTTAATTTCTCTTTGATACTTGGGCTGATTGGGGCCCGATGAATGTAAAAACAAAGAATTACCAGATTTTTGTTTACCTCATTTTTGTTTTTAAGAAAAATAAGAGCAGTAGATAGAACAGTAGCAGTATAATGTCCTCGTAAGTGGATATCAGGCCCTTGTAGAGCAAAATTGAGTATTTTGGTCTAAACAACCCAAAATGTGATGTCCACATATGTGGACACCAGGTCCTAGGAGGTTAATACTTTGCACACTGTATGCTTTACATGCACCAACTTCACCAAGACCTCACCAGCCACTATATTAGGTACAACTTATTATTAACGCAAGAATCTAATGAGCCAATCACATGGCAGCAAGACAACCTGCTAAATTTCAAAGAGGGCATCAGAAAGGGGAAGAATGGTGATGTTGCATGGTTGTCGGTGCCAGACAGGCTGGTTTCTTGAGTCTTGAAACCTCAGTCTTGTTGCTGACCATGTTCACTTATTTATGCTTTCAGCAATAACCCAGCATGCCACAAAGCTCAGATTATCTCAGTCTGCTTTTGTGAACATGTCAATGAGTTAACTGTACAAAACTGACCTCCACAGTCACCAGATTTCAATCTAAGAGAGCACATTTGGGATGTGAAGCCGACAAATCTACAGCAAATGTGTGAAGCCATCATGTCAATATGGAGCAAAACCTCTGAGGAATGTTTCCAGCACCTTGATGAATTTATGTCATGATGAATCAGGGCGGTTCTGGAGGCAAAAGAGGGTCCAACCCAGTGCTAACAAGCTGTAACTAATGAAGTGGCCAGTGACTTTATTTGCACCAGCATTTGCATGAAAGTCATTACACAATTATCACTGCATAATTCACAATAACACTTAATACTTAATTAAGATAATACTTAATCTTAATTAAGTATTATTTATTAAAATTGGGAAATAATAATGTTATCAATAAAATTCAAGTTGAAAATAGTTTTGTCACTTTTTTCTTGTCACTTGTCAAAGATTCTGCAACTTCACAAAAATCAGTTACTTGTGAAAGCTTGTTTGAACAGTGAACATTCATCAAAGTGTTAATACTGCTGTTATCCTTAAGTTTAGAAAGGTTTTAAGATGTGAATAAAATATTTTTCAAGTCTTAAAACAAGTCTCGAGTTTTTTTTAATAGTCTGTTGTGGTATTTCCTCTTACCTGGCACTGCATGAGCTTCTTCCTCAGGCTGAGGTCCCACTGCTGGAGGCCAGTACACGCTCTGCTCCAGTCTCTGTTCATACTCGTCAGTCTCTCCTGTGCTTCTGGAGCTTCCTCACTTCGCAGGTTGACTGACAGCATGATAGACTTGTAGTGAGTAAACACTTTCTGCATCTCCTGCAAAAAAAAAAGAAAAAAAAAGCAATCATCCATTTTTTTATTTTTGCTTTTTTTAATGATCAAAACAAATTCCTCTTTTTTATGTTTAGTATTAAATCTTACCTTTAGTTCTTTAGCTCTGGCCTCCATCTCCTCAATACAGGCTGCTGGGTCAGGCTCCTGAAGGCGGTCCAGCTCCGGGATCACATTTTTTAACCAGGAAGTAATGTTGTCGAGATCACACCTGAGCTGCTGAGGCTCCTCAGAGCTGTCACGCTCACTGCATCTGGACCGTGCCTTGAGCAACTCCCAGCGTTCAATCACACCTAAGAGTACACGAACATCTTTGAATGTAAACATATGCTGAAGATGCTCAAGCTCACAGAAATAAACAGCAGCAAAGGGGCCAGTTAACAGAGGAAACAGAGACCAAACTTGCATTGCTTTTTTCTGGATGCACGTCTGGGTTTAAAATGCTTTCACTGGCTAAACTGCTGCAATGTTTATAATTGTTTCCTGCCAAAGCTCTGCAGTCTAAGCTAATGTTCGTGCACTGATATTAAAGCACTAAACACCACTCAGTGACTCTTGTCCAACCCCTCCCTCTTTTTTTAAACTACTTTCAAGCATTTCTTCAAGTTAGAGACTTTATAAAAAAGATTGATGTAGCTGAAAAGGAAAGCTGATGTGGAAGTGCAAAAGAAGTACTATTTCTAATAGCCAGTAGGGGGCAACCTATTCAGTTTCAAAATGAAGCAATAGTATTCCGTGAGAAAATGAACCTTCTGCTCACTTGATTTATGCGCTAATGCTTCTGTGTTTGGTTTATGATGTCACTATTTTGGTCTTACTGAAGACAGTACCAAGCTTATTTATAAATTATGGACACCTCTGGATAAAATAGCAGAAGAAGCAGCATACAATACAGGGCGTGGCTCTAGTCCAATTGCTTACTGATGCTGCGTCTACACAGAAAGTGATTGACAATGAAGTGATGACTCGACACCACAGAGCATTTAGTGATATTTGGCAACTTCAAGTGACTAGAAGCAGAAAAATACACGGCAAGTATTGAAGCGACAAGAAATGAGACCACAAGATACTGCTGACTCACTTAAGAAATGGTAGTAAACACACCCTTTTTAATGAGAAAATAGTATCAAGTCAATTAAACTTCTGTGATACTGATCAGTTTCCGCTGCTTCGGTGTTAATGAAATTACCCTCAGTTGCACTGAAGGGGCAACAATGAGGCAACCTTCAAAAACAGGAGTGGTTTTACAGCTGGAAGCCACTGACATTTTTCCTTCCTCAACTTTTCTGACTGTTTTTTCACTAGTTTTGCACTACTGGTAACATGAAGTGATACCTGGACCCTACACAGGTTACACAGGTAGCTTAACTCCTCCGGGATGGTACAACAATATGTAGTTAGCACAGCCCAGAATGAGCCCTCAGCCATCAAAGAGTGCTAATAATATTATTTAAAAAACAAAAACGCAAACCTGCTTTTGAAAACAGTGTGATGTCACGGTTACTATGGCCTACTATATCCATCATTTACATACAGTTTATAGTTTACCTGATGTTGCTGATTTTTGCAAAGCGTTCAGCATCTTTGAGGCTCACCTGACTGTTTGTCTGAGGCACTCAGTCCCATGAGACCGAACTCCTCCGGCTGCTCCACGTCATCCAGGATCAGCGACACTCTGTTGATGCTCTCTATGCTCCTGCTGCACTCAGACATGAGACTCAGCTGGAAACAAAACAAACACACTTTAAGTTATTACATCTGGAGGAGCACACGGTCTGCATATTTTGTCTCAAATGCATTCCCAAGAGTGAGCTATTATTAGTTTAACTACTAGAGAGAAGTTTTTGAAGCGTACATATCCCGGCTTTAGAGGGGTACTGGTCAGAGTGGGTGTGGCCTCAGTGTGTCCCTCTGTATCAGACTCAGTTTCTCTGTCTCCCAGTGCCTGCCATCTCGGAGAGTCTTGTACAGCCACCGACCTGCTTGATGCTGAGATGCAAAAATAATAAAAAATGAGTCTTTGTCAGTATTTTCCAGTAATGTTACATTTAGATATACTGTATTCTCAATATTATTATAATATTTTTTATTATCTTTTACCTATTTTGACATATTTTTTCAGTGTTGGATGTTCACAGTTTTAGATGCTCATTTGCAAATATGCACACACAAAAATGCTCAGGTCTTTCTCAGACTTCTCTTTGGAATAAAAAAAGTGGAAACATGCTATTTTAATGGAACTGCAGAATAAAAAAAAGGGAGCTGGAAATAAGCATTAGGTCTCCTTTTAACTGCAGGACACCAGCTTTCTGCTAAGAAACCATTTGGTCTTAACTTTCCTTTGTGGGAGTTTTTGGATTGATTCACTGTAAGATCTGCATCTGGCATTTACTACTGTCTCTTTAGCTGATGTGTCTGGTGTGATCAAGCAAACATTCGAGGTTCAACTACAGTGAATCAGATGTATTCAGATCTACTAAATTAAGTACATCTGGAACGTAACTCGAGCAAAAACAAACAAATAACCCTGCAAACAACAAATCAAAGATCTGCATGGTGGTGTTTACTCAGTGCTTATTTCACATGTTTGAGCGGTAAAAAGAGGGATTACAGCACAAAGAGCCAAGTAGGCAAGGCCACAACTGGAAAACACCTGCATAGACTGGTAGGAATTGTTATTTATCAAAGGAAATTGATAAATAACAATAATGTTATGGATGACACAGCACAACATTTTCCTACCTCCTAGCGTTACATGCACTGTAAAGTTCTAGAAACTAGTGGAGGACAGTGAGGTGGGCAAATGTGAGTGTGTTGGAGAATTGCAATATAAAAAAGAGACAAAGATAAAAGAGGATGTTGGAAGAGGATGAAAGGATGAAATGAAAGAGGCTGAAATTAACACAACAAAGTTTGGACCGCTGAAAGTAAGATGTAAAAGAGAAAAAGGGAAGACATAAATTCAGATAACGATAAAAAATCTCCTGAAGAAAAAAATAAACCCATTAAAAGTGCAAAAAATATTAAGACCTCAAATAAATCAATCATAAGCAGACCAGGACTTTGAAGTGTAGAGACTTTGGGCATTTATATTACAAATATACAAGAAAAGGACACTCGAGGTGTTTTTTCCTTAAACCAGTAAAGTATCCAAGTGGAAGAGACAGCACAACAAGCATTTGGATGCCAAGTGATACATGAGCAGCAGGAAGCTATTCTCTGGAAATATTTCAGCATGAAGAGCAGAGCGGTGAGTGCTGAAGATGCTCTTGAGCCTACCCAGTGACGAGGCGAGCGGGGCCTCTGAGGCTTCGATAAATTCCTCCAGGGTCTCAGTCAACTCCACCTCTGCGAGGAGAGAGGGGTCAGACTAGAAATCTCTTTAAAACAAGACATCCTTTCTTCCAGAATCCAAACTAAAAACTGAAAAATGAGAGGAAAAGGCTCAAACTTGTCCAAGTCTTTTGGTCTTTTGGATTTCTTTCTTTGTCTGCTTGCCTCCTTTTTTGCAACATTGAACATTGGTCTGCTTTTTAGGGCTCCGATGGATGATGCTGTGGATCGTTTGTCTCCATGCTTATGACTGAGCTGTGGTTTATGAGTCAGTTGTTTTTTGGTAGTGAATAACATTCATTTTCAGCTGGTGTGAAAACTAAACAACCAAACAAAGAAAACTTTACATCTCAGCAACCTGACATTTTTATAATAATACTGATTACTGATTTTTAACTCACAGCCTAAACTACCGAGTTTGAACTGTCAAGGCAGAAATGTACATGTTTATCCTCTCTAATTTATTCAGGACATCTGCAGATTTTCCCTGTTTTTAAAAAATGTGCGCTGGGCTTTCGTCTTTGTCTTCATTGGCAGTTAGTCAAGCAAGTTTCACACAGTGACTCATCACAAAAACGATGCAAGTTAAATGCTGAGTTGCTCTCAGTCTCTAGAACTTGATTTGGCTCTTTGTGATTATGCAGAATGACAGCAGGAGTTACTTGTTAGTTGTATGTTTTGTACCTCTTATTAACTCCCTTTTTAACTTTTATTTTACAGGTCTGGGCTGACCCAGGATGTCTGTCAGCACGACTCTTTGGGGTTAAATTGTTAGAAATAACACTGTAACACTGTTATTTATCTACTACTTATTTATTTTGGTGCTTTGGTATAAATGGGGTTGTCTTTATCTGTGATCAGAGCAGCTGCCTCCCAGTGGCCAATATTGGAGCCTGTGGTGGGCCAGTTCTGCCCCCCGGGCCTTATGTTTGACACCCTTGGAGGCAGACTTTAAAGATACCTGACAGCGCACTGAAGTAAGCTCCCTCTTCCTCGTTCTCTTCCTCTTCCTCATCATCCTCATGTGATGATGACCCTCCTACGTCTACGGTGTGGTCCCACTCCAAAGCCAGTGAATCCGGTGTCTCCCGCCCTGAACGCACCAGGGGTGAGGACAGCAGGAGAGTGGGTGTGGCTGGAAGGCTTCCAAAGCTACGCCCAAGCCACGGTCGGCCAATCAGCTCCAAGCTTGATTCCAGGGAAAAGGTGGTAGAGGGGATCTCTGGTTCTTCTGTGATCTAGGACAGAGAAACCAAGCCAAGTGTGAATGATACATACCTGTCCTTACACTGGTAACACACACCAAGTCCTTGTTAGTTTTAGAACTGCCTCTCACATGTTATGCATAATTTGAAAAAATTGCATAGAATCAAGCAATAAACACGTGCGTATGGATCGGTGCCAAAAACTATGAACATATCTGGAAAATATTCTGCTGGATATTTAAAATAGGTTTAAAAACATGGAACAAAAAACTGCATGCATGTATAAAAGTCATACAAAGGAAAATCTATAAAATGATAAGGGATATTTTTTTATTTATAATATGTTAGACATTTTGTTATATCTGCTTGAATTAGACTGGAATCTGAAAAATGTGTGCGCCTAGGCTTACAGGGGGTTGGCTGAGGCGCTGATGGAAGCGGACCAGTCTCCTGAAAACTTCCTGGCAGTAGGAGTGCAGCTCCTCCAGCTCCTCCTCTATCTTCGCCGCATCCTGCGGTGAGCTCTTCTGGATCAGGCCCTCTCCAAACACAATCAGTCCATCAATGCGCTCAGTGTTCAGGGTGATCTCCTTCTGGAAACTCTGCAGGAAGACGAAGGGATGAATGAGTGGACAGAGATTGAGCCTTTAAACGCAAAGGAACAAAACGCAGCTTCTGATAATATCTGTAAAAGCATTCAACAAATAATTCTTTCCAAAATATTGCCATAGCTAAAGCCAAGACCTTAAGCATCTTAACATGCAATTCTTATAATCACTAGGAGACATGGTTTTGTGTGTGTACAGTACATGAGCTGTGTCTCACATTGAGCTGCCGTATCTTCTGATGGACATCGCTCTCTGAAAAGTGCTCAACGTTGGTGAGCTGCAGATCGAGGTTGGTCAGCCACACCAGCAAACTTTCCCTGGTCCCTTCAAATTCCTCCCTCTGACTGGTGAAATACTGTGAGAGAAGAAAGCAAAGCAGTTCATTACATCCTCTAGTGAAAGCTTGACATTAATGCCAACTTATCAATTTAAAATAATAAGCCGGAGATTTACAGTAAAATGTGCAACACAAGACAATTTCAGCTTTTATAAAAACAACTGGAAACATTTGACTTTTAAAACGAGGAGAAATCACATGGCGTCAGAATTAAATGTATTTATGACATTTATTAAGAGAAACAGCCCGTTTCATAGATCAACACATTAGCAGGGGGCCTTTTTACAGCTTTACTGATTACACAATTATTATTTCAAACTGTTCTGAACAATGCTGCAACCGAGCAGTCGCGTTACTATAATTTCAGTAAGGACGCACAAACGAATTTGCCTATTAATTAAATGTCAAACAAAGAAAGTAACATTGCCTGCGTGCATCATGTTGTGATTTTGAAATTAGAATAAAACAAAAATACACTCAATGAGTCAGTGGCCTTTATGTGAATCTGACAAACACCAGCTCCATATTAGGACCAAAAATTTAACTAAAACTGAAAATGTACTCTGAAAACTGACTGAAATTAAAATAAATTGAAAAGAAATCTAAAATGAGATTTCAAAAATAAAAGTTTCTGTACCTTGAGCCTGCGGAGGATGGCAGCCACTCTTCGGTGCAGTGTATCCCACCGCCGGTTGCCTTCATGGACCATTGCTTTGAGCTGGCTGGCTCGGTCGGTGCGGTTTTCCCTGGCCAGCCGGCGGTACTGATTGTTGACCAGCTCCAGCTGGGTCAGTCGCTCATGAACCTGCCTTTGGAAACCCTGAAGAAGAGAGAGGAAGCATGGACAATTCAGTGTCTTTATTTCCTCAGTGTGAAGAATTGAAACATCCTCGATTTCTTTATTATATTTTTCTAAGAAAATGAAGAACATTTATCTAAGATTTATTGAAACATGTGCAAACATCAATGGAAATACAATATATAGGGCAAAGACAGAGTTTATATTCTTTTAATGACCTTGAAATCCAATATTTGGGACCACCTTTACTTTTATATAGCCTGAACTATTCTTGCAGTGTCTCAAGGACAATCTATGACTGATAGGGTTCTATTATGTGTTCTATCCAAGTCTACTTTTACTGCATTGGCAGCTCATGCGCACGACGATTTGAACTGATACACTTAAAATTTGGATTCATCACTCCATCAAATGCATTGCCACGGTTTTTCACTCCAGTTCTTGTGTAATTTGGCATACCTCAGCCTTTTCTCCTTGTCTACCTTCCTTAATAATAGCTTTTTGGTTAAAGACACAATTTAAAATTGGTACTTTGTTTTGCATAAACACAACACTGGTTCATCCCTTGAGTTGCAACGTCCAACTTCAAACTGATAAAGATTACTGATGATCAAACAGAAACAAATCTTCATCAAGCTAACCTCACAACAACTGACCTCAAACTTCTTGAGCTCCTCTTTGGCGACAGCAAAAAGGACATCAGCTGAGTTGGGGTTGGCAGCGGTTCGCTCAGCCATCTTGAGCCAATCCTCAAATCGGGAGTAGTCATTGAGAAACTTACACCAGAGTGTCCACGTCTCCTCAATCCTGCGAGCAGACATCGTGATGGAATATTTGTTTCTGTAATGTTCAGACTCTGCGTACGTCTAAAGCATTAACCTAAAACTTTTAATCAACATGAATTATTATTTAGAAAAGAATCTGTGTCGTGACATCAGTTGAACAGTAACATAAAGAAGACCCCGTGTTAAAAATCATGAGCTTCAAATCGACATTTGGGTCCAGTTTGTTTAATATTTTGTCATATTTCATTTATTATATTTGTGACAGTACAGAAAATTACAGTAACAGACATAGAAGTTTAAACATCAGTATGTTCTTTAGCTCCTACAGTACCTGAGCTTTCGATTCAGAGCCATAGCACAGATGGTCCTCCAGCGCTGGTCCAGGCTGCGGCTGGTCTCCTGCAAGGAGTCGCTCTCCGCCTCAGTGCCACCAGTAGCATCTTCATCCCGCAGCAACACATCGCACAGACTGAGCACGGATGCTACGCCCTCCGTGTGCTTCTCAATGTCCCTCTGCAGCTCCTGGACAGACATAAGGACAGGTATCACATTGGTCCATACTGTGCTACAAACCTCATTTATTAAACATCAGTCCACAGACAGAGGACAGTGAGGCACTGCATGTGACCACCTCTCCCCAAATTAAACAAAGGACAGATATGAATTATTAATCATAAACAGACAAAGAGTTGCAAGGAGTGAAAAAGAACCTTTAAAACAAACAAAAAAGAGAGAAAAAGGGTTTACAAAAAAAAAGGGAAAAAATTAAAAATGTCAAATTGCTTGTTTGACATTAATAATAATAATGTCATAAGGTGTTGTGAAGTCCACCTGCTGCTCTGCCAGCCTCCTTTGGATCTCCTGTTCGTGACAGACGCTGTAGGTGATGGGTCTCGACAGCTCGGCCTCGATGCGAGAAAGCCATGAGCGGAGGTTACTCATGTTTTTATCCAACTGCTGGATCGTCACCAGAGTTTCCTTCAGCTTCTTCACCCTGAAAGGACACAACCACATCAATGTAAAAAAAAAAAAAAAGATAAAAAATCTCTTTGAACGCCTTCATTTGATATTAACAAATAACAATCTGGGGGTTTCAACCCTTATTAAGGTTTAAAATTAAGTGATGAAACTGCTGAACAATCACCTGAGTTTAAAAAACAAAAACCAATAGAAATAAAATTGAATAAAAAGATGGGAATACAAAAAAGTACAGAAGACCACAGAGAATAGTGAAAGAAAAAAAAGGATATGAACGAGAAAATAAGGGTAAAGAAAACTAGTGAATGAGAGAAAGACGGAGAAAAAAATGATATATAATACAATAAACCTTACAGTAAACAAACTAATTACAAAATTAAAAAAAAAATGTGAATAATTAACCTCCTAGGACCTGGCGTATGTGGACATCACGTTTTGGGTTATTTAGACCAAAATACTCAATTTTGCTCTACAAGGGCCTGATATCCACTTACGAGGACATTATACTGCCACTGTTCTATCAAAATTTTAAACGAATATCCTCAAATGTGGCTCTCATTTTTCTTAGAAACAAAAATTAGGTTAAAAAAAAAAAATCTGGTAATTCTTTGTTTTTACATTCATCGGGTCCCAATCAGCCCAAATATCAAAGAGAAATTAAAAATGCATGCCGTGGAAGAGTTCGGGTCTTAGAGGGTTAAAGTAATCAAAGTACTAAACTGATGATTGCTAACCCTTTAAAGTGTATCATAGTTATTAAGAGTTTTTGAGACTTCTACATCATCAGGACTATTTTTCCCCAAAAATCTTAAATAAATTGCACAATACATTTTAGGAAATAAAATACATTTAAAAATGCCTGATGTAGCAAATATGATAGAAACTAAAATTCATATATGCACATTTATATTTATTTGTTTATTTATAAATTTCATCAGGAGTTTCAACATTCCCATTGCGAATTTCTAGACTTTTTCTGGTAATTATTTTATAGTCCTGCTTTTCAAGGGTTAAGCATTAACAGTGTAAAGAAGGAAGGAAGCAAAGAAGGAAGGAATGAAGAAGAAAAAGAAGGAGTTCACTAGCCTTCAACCTTCTCAGGTATCCTTACTAGAACTTCTAAAGTAACCATGGCAACTAACACCCGTATGAAAGAACACACACACACACACACACACACACACACACACACACACACACACACACACACAGAGCGCCACAGTGACTGGTGTCATAGCAACGTATGGAACAATAAAAGCTCTCTTCTGAGCATTAAAAGCCTGAAGTGTGCCCCATTTGGGAGTTTGAGTTAATTTACCCATTTGATCCTTCCTCCTCTGCTGACGAGGTCCAGCAGAGCCTGTCAAGGGTGAGAGTGGAGACGCTCTCCACCGAAATAATAAGCACTAAAAAACCAGCTGCAAGTGTGATTGTCTGCCTCAAGAATGTATGAAAGGGTCCCAACAGATAACGGAGAAGTGAGAATGTAAACGACCGGCATATTTTGAAAACCTAGTTAAGAAAAAGTTGGGATGCTGTGTCAAACCCAAATTGTATTCACAACAGACCGTAGAAAACATCCTAAATATTGAAATAAAACATTTTAACATTTGAGGAGAGAATGTTATGGCAGCAACAGGCCTCAAAAAAGTTGGGAAGTGGCCAACAAAAGGCTGGAAATGTAAGTGGAGCCAAAAAGAAGAAGAAAAAACACCTGGAGGAAAATTTTGTTACTAATTAGTTAAATTGCTGACAGATCAGTAACACGATTAGGTAAAAAAAGAGCAGAGGTTCACTAAAATTATCAGGTTTGCAAATCAATGAATTCATTTTTATTTACATTTTACAAACTGTCTCTTTTTTAAAAAACAGTTTTTTTAAGTATTTGGAAATACATCAAAGTAGTAGTAGAAATGAAAGTGACCTACAAATGGGTCATAGAAACCCATTGTAGGTGGTTGCTAGATAATATGATGTTGTCATTGGACATGGGTGAGGACCTTCATTAGTACTTCTATGCCAAGTTTGTTTGGTCAATTAATAAAGGAGTAAGAGGAATACATGGATATTATTGGGCCAACCAACGTAACGTTTAAGGCAAATATAAAATAACTTTATATTTTCTCTAGTTTATCTAAAGGTTAATGAATCAGTATGAGCAAGCCCTATAATCAAAATAATATTTTCAATGCTAAAATATAATTAGTCATGTCAAATTTACTGTTTTATTAAAAAGCACATTATTAAATAGACACACTTACTGAATGGATTAAAATGGAAAATTAAAAAGAAAAAGAAAAAACCCAAACTCAAACATTTTCCCAGCTTCAGTCAAAACATTAATGTATATTTTGATCGTTTATATGAGAAACTACTGTGGCTTAATACAGTCAGTATAAATTCTGTTCAGAAACACATTCTTCCACTTTGCAGATGCAACCAACTCGGTCCACTAACCAGTCTCTTTCTCCCATTCACTCCTTCTGCACCTCTGACAGGCTAACAAAGGCCAGCAGCTTCACGCCGAGGCCAAACAAAGAAACAAAACCCGGTCAGAGGCACTCGCTCAGGAAAAGGACACGAAGAGAATGGATAGAGAAAATGAAGCAGAAAGGAGCTGGAGGATAAGAGAGGATGCATGGCTATAAAGTACAGCTGACCACAGGAGGGCTCAAAGTTAGCCAGACACTGACCTCCAAAAGGCATCTACTGTTCTTACAGTACTTGTTTAATCCAGTATGATGTTTTTAGATAATTATTCCCTGAACTAAAGATTTAGCTACAAACACGACTATTTAAATCATGCCTACTAGCTATTGAAAATAAAACATAGATAAGGAGCATGAATGCTCCTCATTCGTGCAGAATTTTCACTTCTACAATTTACATACAGAAGTGTATAAAGAAACCTCATAGTTTCACACTTTATTTCTATTAGAAGCATCTAAATTAATTTAGGCTCCAGGACTTTGCTCGGTTAAGTTCACTAGCACACGTTGGCTGACTGTTCTGGGGTTAAAAAGTACATGCCATGTTTCTAGCAGAGGCAGACAGTTAAAAAAACAGAGATAGTGTAGTTCATCTATTGGCAGACTACAGGATGGCAGAGAAACTCTTCTCCATCAAGAATTCTTGGCTCCCATCTTGTCTACATGTGGTCAAGCCAGCTTAAATCTGCTCACTGGGTCTTTTGAGAGGGCCTCAATTTGAAAATCAGCAATTAATACATACCGACATATGCCTCCCTCCCACCCACCCACCTTCAATAGTTATCCCAGTGACAGGCTACGGGGTGGGGGGGGGGGGTTCAGAGTGGACATATGCTCCCGTCTGAGGCTAGGCGCAGCCAATTTTTTTCATGATAGAGGTGGAGGGGCTAAACAGCAGTGCAAAAAGAGGAGTCTGTATCTCCTGCTCTTCCACAGGACTGTCCATCTGTTTTTAAGGGGTCAGGGGGGGCAGTAACAGTTTACAAACACAGAGGCTTAACCTCTGCAGTCTGAACATTGGAGGCCATGTATTCCTGACAGCTGCAGAGCATAGCTAACGCAGCAGCAGGTGGATGGATACCCAGAAGAGCTGCTGTTTAATTACAGCCTTTTTGGTCCTTAATTATGCCTTTTACTGCTGAGCAGGTTTGATGTGAAAAGTGCTCGGTGGGGGGATAATGATGTGAATTGCTGGTTCTGTACACAATAAACCTGAATCTTCTATAAACCATTGGCCACATGCACAAATACACACTTCATCTTTTATTCTTACCATAACTTTACCTTTAGTCTTTGAAAGGTGCTTCCTGAATGGGGAGCCACACTGTATATACACAATTTGCTTTCTTAAGTGCCTTTTGCAAAGTGTTTAACTGGCATAAATAAACACTTTTGTTAGCAGGTCACACCATGCAGCTTCTGTGGCGGCTGTGGTTGCTCTCACCTGGCTTCGATTTGGTGGAAGAGGTTGTGCCAGCGCTGGTTGACTTCCTGCAGCGACTCGTGGACCTGTGCCTGCTTGGCCTCGTCGCTGGCTAAGAGCAGCTGCTCTCCCAGCTGTTTCAGGTGGCTTTTATTCTCACTAAACAAGTTAATTTCCTCCATACAGTCCTGTAAGGAAACATGAAACGATGCTGATATATGAACATTATATCCTTTGTGAACATTTAGTCCTTAAAACAGCAAGTAACCTTGGAAAACCTGGAAACTATTCCAGTGGTTCTCAAACCACATCAAAACTCATGATTAACGATACAGGGCAATTAGCCAAATGTTGTCTGTTTTTTCTTCATCGGGAAAAAGTTCACACCTAATCAAGTTTTAGTGCAAAGCCATAAAATGGATGAGTTAAAGTCATTCAACCTGCCCATTTCCATTCCCTTAAGCACTGGGTTTTTTACCAGAAAGTATTTTCTTTAGCTACTATCTTAATAAAAAGTACTGACAAGGGGCTCCAATTTTCTCCGGTCATCTACAAGCAAAAAAACACAACCTCAAAAATAAATGAAATCATACTTCATCTTGAGACAGGAAGGACAACTGTTGTGAAAAAACAAAAGGCCTATAGATCATCAATTCTAGGCCACCATCTGTTATAAACACAGCACATGTAGTTCATATATGGACTTAAAATAGAGCTTATATGAATGCCTTAGTTCATGAACTAGTTGTTGGAACACACACTTCCTCAAAGTAATGTCAAAATAATACCCATAAACAATCCCTTTGTTGATTGAGGTGATTATTGTCTGTGAAACTCTAGTGTTGGGCAACGCCTCGTACCTTCTTTAGTTTCTCCACCATTTCTTTGATGCTCAGCTCTCCCCGGTGGCACACTTTGTGCTCCATCTGAGTCAGCCAATCACAGAACTCCTTGTTTTTGTCATTGAAGATGGTCCACGCATTGAGACGATCTGCGATTTCCTGCTTGCGCGATGACACCTAAGAAGAGTCAAAGCAATAAAAGTGGTGTTTAAGCAGTGCTATAAGTTAAAGATTACAAGTGTGAACTACCTATTCTCAGATAATCACCATGCTATGTTTGCACATTGGATATACTGCTACAATATATAAAGCCCCGCTAAAATAATTCACTCTAATAAATCTTCAGTGCTGGCAGTTACAAAGTGCTATGGTGCAGAGCACATCTACTGGTTCTCTAACTAAAACTTTCCAAGATCTTTTACAATGTTTTGTTACAATTAACAAGCAGATCATGGAGAGAAAAATCATCTATAGTTGTAAACGTGGTACTTTCGTTGGCAAATTTACTGTCGACTTGCAGGAAACAACAAAAAGAGTGGTGACGAACCTCTTTATGACTGTCAGCCCAGTCTGAAACAGGGTTAATTGTTTTGACTCCCCTTGGTATGCATCCAAGAAACAGTCTGACCCAAATATAGTGCACAAAAAAGCATTTGTGTGGTTGAACTTGGTGCAACTGGGTGTATAACTGATGAAATTTGTAGGGCACTTCAAAAGCCCCAAAGCATAAAAATGTGTGATTACATGGTATTAAAGATTAAAACGTGGCAAAAATGTTCTCTTGCTACAGTTAAATAGCATTTCATCAGTAATCAACTGAATTGAGAAAAATCCCCAGGAGAGTCTTGATATTTGATGAAATTAACAAGGTCCATTTACCTAATGACAGCTTAATACCATGAAAACACCCCATTTCATTGCTGCGGGGGGTGATAATCTTTTTGAAGCTAAAGGGCTTAGCATGCCCATGGGGCATGTTACATCAGCCATAGTTTATTGCTCAGAGACACTTTTATTTTAAAATGAGCCCCGCTTTGGTTTTAATGAACTGGCATCGGAATGGAGGAGAATTTAGGGTGTATTGTGAGCCGCGGTCACCCTGTGAGGACTTAGTGCTTCCCTGGAACAATAGATCCAGTCCCTTGAATCCCCCTTAGCCCAGCCGAGCCATCTGCTCATCAGACCCATTCCGGTGGCTTCCCCCACCTACCACCTGTTAACTATGCAGAGGAAACTGCAGTGGCTCAGATCCACGCCCCCCGGCCATGTCAGGGATGAATACGGATTAAAAATGTTTGGTGTGATCTATCAGCTGAAACTAACAAAAATTCGTTTTAAGACTACTGTCTAGACTTTTCTATATCAAACTAACAAAAACGATTCAGTACAAAAATCACACACACCTAACTGTGAGTGAGTGGTCTTTACTGGAAGAAATCAGATGGCTTTCAGGCAATTACATGATGGTATTGTGCAAAGTTAAGGTTAACTACTTCAGTTTGCATACAGAAAACAAGAGTACTACACACACAATGCATTCCTGGCTGCTGTTGCTATAACCGTGAAACCCAGTAACTCCTGCCAAGACAGGGGCAGGTGGACTATAATTGGGGACTCTATTAGCATGAGCATAAATTAAACCATAATCCCTGACAAAAATGTATAGAGCTTGTCATAACTGTGTGTTTCTCAAGAAAAAGAGTGATTTTGTGCCTAAGCCGAAAGACTTAGTCGCAGGAATTTGAGCCTGTGTGTATACAGCGGAGCTACTTTCTGCAATAATGTAGTTACAGAATTAACCCCCTGTTGTTTTAGACAGCTTCATGTGACTGCTCGTGGTAGCCTGACTTTTTCAAGCTCTCACTTTAAAAAGACTTCTCTTTACTTGGCTGATACGAGCAGAACAAGCTCTGCTGGATACAATCTAAAAACAACCTGTGAGATTCACCAAACTGCAGAGGAAATATTAACAAACAAGTCATTTGGCTTGCAGGGAGGCAAATTGCTGAAAAGGAGACAGATGCAGTTTTCCCTCCATGAACCTGCGCATGCTGGCTCTTTTCTCACACAAATGAGTGTAAGTGTCTGTGTGTGTTTGTGTGCGTGTCTCTGTGTGTGGTGTAAGGCTTTGTGCTGCTGGTCACCGCCAAAACACAGCTGGTAGCAACTTTTCCCTCCTTCTCTCCCCAACCTCTCTTTCTCTCTCTTACCTGTTTCATCTGCAGTCCCTAAGACACACAGTGCCCCCGCTCTCTGTTTACATATAAACTTCTCTGTCAGTTCTCACCTTCATACACAGCTCTTCCCACTGACTGTGGAGTTGCTCCAGCTGCTTCTCCAGCAGAGCCGAGTCACTGGCCGTGACATACTGGGACAGGTCCGTCTTCATGTTGGCCAGTTCCTTCAATCCGATGGCCAAATGCTGCAGAGAGAGCTCAGTCTCCTGCATAACACACACAAGCATGCACACTTGAGCACCCGGTCAGATAGCCATGTACAAGTTGTGTGTGAACACGCTTCTCTCTTTTCGCTCTGACCGTCCAGATTAAAAGGATGTGGACGGGACAGGGGGAGGGTAGAAGGGGTAGAAAGGGGGAGGGGAGTGAAAGCATGGGGATATTAAATAAAGGAGGGGTGGGGGTAAACTCAGGGGTTCTCTGGTGGGATGGGGGTAGCTACTGATGAAATTGAAGTGTTCAGAAACTGGCTAGTTTTCAGACCAGTCCAGAAAACTGCAAATGATTTATTGGGATTTAAATGATAGGTTACTGTCATATAGGTGCCAATGGCATACATAGAGAGTTGTCAAATGTTCAGTGTCACAGCAATGACAAAACAGTTTCTGTTCTTCTGTTTCTTTTCAGTAAGTATATTATTTCAGTAAATTACACAATGTCCACTGCTGGCAACCCTCAGTACCTGTTTTTCTGCAGCATGTGGATCTGATTCTGAGAATTAATTTGCAGAGAACGAGGTCCTACTCTGTTAAGACAAAGAGTTTTTCAAAGACTGTTTCCGAAGCAGAGAAGGTGACTGTCCTTGGCGAAAGAAGCCGCAGTACTAAAATGTGAAAACCCTATTATCAGGAATGCAAGTGAAACCCTTGATAGTCCTTGATATATTAAAGCACAAATTTAAATGTATTTTCATGCATTAAAATCTAAATTGAATCTAAACAGAGTTAATCTTCTCTGCACTGACAGAACCAAAGGCCATATTTCTACATATTTGATCTTGATACACTTGTAAATTACAGACTGTGTGTTTTCTAGATAATTTAATGCTTTGGAAAAGTAGCAAACATGCACATGTATTATATATGGAGTTGCATTACTGTTGAAACTTTGTGAAGGCTGATTGCAATAAAACTATAATAAAGCTTAAAAGCTCTTTAACTGCTTTGATGAATAGAGGTAGATTTCATTTGCACAACTGAGTACAAAAGGTTCTATTATGTCTGGAAATCATACAGCATAGCAGCTCATTTTATTATCAAAAATTGCCTTCATTTCTTAAACAGTATGTTATGAAATGTATTTTCACTCCACTGTTAGAAAAGTGGAGCTCTGAAATACCCGCAGCAGTTTTCTACAATTTATATCCCTCTACTTTTCATACATTCACAAACACATGAAAACACATCCTTTACAATATTATATTAAATCACCTGGATAAGAGCGGAGTCCTCCGGTCTTTCACACGTCTGTTGTTTCATCTTTAACTCGTGCATTTCAGACACGATGTTGCTGATTCCATCCTGACACCGAGACCACATCTAGACAAGCAGCGTGACACAGAGCGGTCAGAGATCTCTGGAGTGTGCTTGAAAACACATCAATAAAATGCCTCAGAGAAGACAGGGACAGCTTTAACATGTTAAATTAACAGACACCAAATGTGCCTTCCAAAAATAAATTTAATGAACCTCATAAAAGGAAAAAACTCAGAATGTCATCAGTGTTCTTAGTTTTTTAACAGTCAAGCTTTCAGATGCTGTGATAAATCCTGAGTGAAAATTTTTTTTTTAAATGTTACAAAACCATAGCTCTTTGGGTCCTTAAAAATGTAATATATTATTCTGTATGATGTCTGCAGTAGTCAATTCTGTTTTTCTATCAATCTATGTGTGATCTGACCTTTAAAACGCTGTTTAGAGGGATTTCCCTTGTCCGGGTTGGATCCTGTTGAGCTTAAAGGGGTTAACACAACTTTGCCTGACCTCTCTCTGGTCACGAAACCAGTCAGATGTCATAATTAACACAGCTCACCCAACACAAATGTTAGGGTCTGAATATTCTAATAGTCAGAGAGCAAGCACGCTTAGCAGGACTTGACGAAAAATAATGAAAGGGTGTGCTCATGTATCTGTATTTTTAAAGGTATTTTTAAAGGTATTACTTGTAATATAAGATTAGGGTGGTATTTTGTTCGATGTCTGGTCTGTCTAGGTCTTACAGTAAAGCACTGAAGGAATGAAAGGGGCAGACACTGGCAACCAGCTGTCTCTGGATGTGGATCATGGAGAGATTTGAGTCGCTCTTTGATCCCTCTTGGCAGGAGCTCAGTGCCAGGGCAACACACCAGCCTGAGTGTGTGTGCGTGTGTGTATGTATGGGTTGGTTGGGATCAGGTCCTAGATATGGGTCATGCAAAGCAGACACCTCCTACTCCTTTGTTAGTGCACAGACACACTCTTTTTCTTGATTTTCCTGAAGGTGCAGTTTTCTAAATACTCAAAACATATCAGGCAGTGATATAAATGCAGTTTTAAGGTAAAACCTAATATGCTGTCTCTTGATTAAGCTGGAGAGTGGATGGTAAATGTTTATCTTGCCTTTTATATGTGTAGATTTTCTTTCTCACCTACATCTTTCCATGTTATGCAAAATATTTCCTTTGGTGTTGGAGCCTTGATACAACAGTTGAGGCAATACTTGTTCTATTTTAGAGAGCTACAAGTGTATGTTAGGAGTGTGGTAATAAAACGCACTCATTTTTGTTGTTTGTTATTTATTTTTTTAAATTTTACTTCCTGATACTTTCATTTGATCCTTTGGGTTAGGCTTGATTAGTTTAAATCAAATACAGCAGTTCATGCTGTATTAACATGTTGGGTATGATGTGTTGGGTGCCACAATCCAGTATATCAAGCTCAGCCACCAAAGGACACCTTGTGCATAAAACTGGCGAATGTCTTTGACAGAACAGCGAGAAATGATCCAAGTGAATGAGAACGACTTGCTCTGTCAGCGGCTATAAATCTGTGGGTTGGGCCCTCCTGGTGAGGCTATGGAGTAAAACTAAGCTGAATGAATATGATTCATGCAGTGAAAACCAATGGGAAGGAGTTTGCTGTGCTGACCTTTATTTCACCAAAGTTCAACTTATTCTTTATTGTTAATGATTGATAAAAACCTTTCACGCGGGTGGGCTTTTTTTTGTTAAAAGTGACACATGAATCTGTCTCCTGCAGTTCCCTGATGGTAGTGAATTCCCAGGAAATTATGGCAAATTGACCTCTATGTTTTCTGAATTTTCAGCTTTGGGTTTCTTGGGTCTTTCTGAACTGTATAAAGTCTTTTGACTATTAATCAAAACAGTGAGATTCAGATATGGATTTTACTCGTACACTTTTAAATAACTGATGATTCAGATATAGCATAAAAATGCTAAAAATTAAACACAGGCATGTTACCTCAACAGTGGTGTAAAGCATGTCTCTTCTTTCCCTCAGTAGTGATGTGGTTCGTTGCCAGGCTTCATCTATGGCCTGAAACTCTGACTGCAGTCGACTGTAACACTCTGAGTCCTTCATTGTTTCACACAGATGTTTTCCAGCCTTCAGTGTCTGGGTGTACACAGTGGAGTGCTGATCCAGAGACTCTGTGACACACTTTGAAAAAATGTGGGGAGAAATAGTCTTTAGGGTGAAACTTTTGAGTAAAAACATTAAAAACCTAAAACGTTAAGTTAATATAACTGATCTCCCTTTCAAAGCCCTCTTCTCATGCATCTCTGGGACTTCAGCTGCTCTAGATTGAAGTCCCTTTCTGTCCCCTTTTCCTTCATTCCTCTCTTCCACAGCATGGCTGTCACGTCTGCTGTGACCCCCAACTGGTCACAGAAGACGGCCGCCCCTCCCTGAGCCTAGTTTTGTTGGAGGTTTCTTCCTGTTAAAAGATCATTTTTTTCTTCCCACTGTTGCCAAAGTGCTTGCTTACAGGGGGTCATTTGATTGTTGGGGTTTTCTCTGTATCATTGCAGGGTCTTTACTTTACAATACAAAGCGCCTTGAGGCAACTATATAAAATAACACTGAGGTTAACTGAATTGAATTGTCTCTGTTGATTCTGGTTTTGAACACATAGACAAATGAGCTAAGCCTGGTGAGTACGGCTGGTTCATCAGCAAAGATTGTGTTGGTTTAGGCAAACAACAACAACTTTTGCATGCTGTCACACAATGGTATGGATTGCCATTCATACATGTCTTTTGCTGATGTACTCCCGCAGCCATAGGAGGAATTTCTAGTGCACAATCTCGTAAAAAATAACAATGAGTGTGCTCCTGGTAACACGCATGCCCTGATTCAGTGTCTGTGGGTTTGAGAACTGTGAAATCTTCATGAACGTAGCAAATCTCCCCACATTTTTATGGGTGGATTACTTAAACTTCATGGTTAGACTTTATATAGAAAAAACCATTTTTTCCCCCCACTGCATTGTAAAATACATTTTTATACTGACCTGGTAATCATCGACACAGTTCTGCAGCTGATCCACTGCACAGAGAAAGCGTCCAGTTGGGGGCAGCAAAGAGTCAGCGTCCCTCAACAACTTCCACAGATGTTTCAAACCATTCTTGTAGATTCTCCATTGGTGCAGCTGTTCCTTTGTTAAGGTCCGGCTTTGACCAGCCAGAGCCACGGAGCTGAACCAGCCATTCTTTAAACTGACCACTTGTGCCGTGAGCTCAGATCTGTACAAACCAACAAAATACAATTTCAGTTTTTGTGTGTCATTGGGTCCAAAGCAATCACCAAAAAGTAAAACCACATAAACAAATAAAATAAAATGGAGGTGATAAAAACTGTGTTACAGTGTGTCCACATACATACACACATAAAAACAAAAAGCATAAAATTTTACAACTAATGCAGCATAAGGACATCTCTGTCACAGCTGATTTATCTGCAATCTATAAATTACCAACTGCAAAATAAGTGGGATCTTAAAAATGTCTTCCAGCTGTGAGCAGCGGTTCCAGCAGCGAGGGAAAATTCCCTCTGGGTTCTTTCAAAATTCTGAAACCGTTCCAAGCTTCTCAAAGAATTCAAAGATGGATTCAAGGACATCGAGGAAAAATACAGCAGTTGTCTGCCATGCACACACACACAGTAATTTATTTTCAGTCAGTTTAAGACCTCAAAACAACCACCTCTCATTAGTCAAATCACCACCCCCATTTGTCTTTTGCAATGGATCCTTGCAGCTGTATTATTTCCCACACAAATCAAAAGGGTATGCACTCTACAAATATTTTCTTTTATGATTATACTTTGACCATTTAATGTCTCATGTATTTAAAGAAAATTCTACTGATACATTTATTATTTTATTACACTAGCAACAACAAATAAGCATTTTATGTAAAATAATTATATGCAAAGTATTTACTTCTAAGCCTTTTCTTGACTTATCCATCATTTACCTTTTCTCTCCTGTTTCTTTTTCCATGGATTTGATTGCATCACAGAGAAGATGCTGCAGAAGCTGATGTCCAACAATTATGTCAGCCTGAAGTCTCTGTGGGAGCAGAAAAGAGGGCACAATGTGATTCTTACATCACTCTTTATCTTTTTTTAAATAAACACTGTTTATGATTAAACATTTCAAAAGTGTAATAAAATTGTAATTACATTTCTTGCAGCATTACAGCTTTTCTTCAAAATAACATGAAAATTGCTCCAGTGCTGCAGCGATAAATGAAATTACTGGGTCGAGGAGGTCATTAGTTTGGCTTCAAAGTGAATTATCAAATTTTTCAAATAGTTACTTATAGGAGGTATAAAGATGATTATCAACTTTGCTGATTAAAATGAGCTAATAGAGCAGTTTTTACATAGTTTTTATAACTAAAAATGAATAAAACATATTCTACCTGATGGACAATCAGCATCTCTTGAAGGCTTGGATAACTCGGGTTTTTTCTGCACACTGCTTCCTGCTCCAGTTTCTCCTTGATCTGTGTCAATCTTCCACTCTTTTCCTGAAAACTCAGGGAACGCTGGCACTCATCCTGCAGTTCTCTAGGAAAGAAATGTAACATACATCAACATGCAAAGCTTTCTTTTACTACAGCGCAGAAAAAGAACACTCAGTGCATCCATTGTCTCCAGAAAATGACACAATAAGTTATTCCTCAGAAGAATTTGGCAATAGACAACAACACTACAAAAAACACCCCCACCTTCAGTTATGAGGCTTTATGTATCAGGACACAATAAAAATAATCTGGTCCATTGCAGAAATTAAAATTAAGTAACTATAAGCTCAAATTAATATATAACATATATAACATATAACATATATGGCATACACCATATATTACTCATTTAACAAAAATGTAATGAATTGCTGCATTAGTGCTTCCCAACAGACGCGGTGTAATATCTCTTGTTGTTCCTCAGAATCAGAATCTTTTATTGCCATTGTAGCAATCAAACACTGAACAACGAAACTGACGTGCAATTCTTACTTTCACAGTCAAAATAAAAATTAAGTAATTTTAATTTTATTTATTTTTAAAAGTGAGTTAAAATTGATAAAAGATAAAAGAGATTGTATTTAGCTAACCTTTACCCTGATAAGAATTATATTTACTGTGTTATAATATGTAAAACCTAAGAATAGAGGGTACACTTTCTGTTTATGATGATTGAACACTGCTATGTGATACATAAATATCTGAATTTGCCTGAAAAACTGTTAAATGTGCAGACAGCTACACATAGATTACTATCTTTGCTTTCTCGTGAACTGAACTTCCTCACCTGTCTGATGAACGAGTCATGACTTCGACCCACTCCCTGATAAGTACGTGCAGTCTCTCTGACTCCTGTTTGTTAAGATTCACGTGGCCACTCATGTCTCTGATGTCCAGCAATGATGGAAACAGACCACAGAGCTCCTGGAGTACCTGCTGCAAACCCAGGTATATTTGAAACAACTGTAGTTTAAGAGCATTTGTTAATAAAGTGTACAGGGATGTAGACAATAGTGAGTCCGACGAACCTTTACAGAGTCTGTGTTATCTTTGCCGGCCTTTAGTTTCTGCTGTAAGTCCTGCATCTGCTTTTTGAACACCTCCAGTTGGGCGTGAAATAGTTTACGTTGCTCTAAATCCTCCTGCACATTCAAAGAAATGTAACTGAGTATGTATAACAGTTTGAGTTTGAGAAAGTGTCCCTCTGCACTCAGTGTGACGATAATAAATTCTCATACGGTGGGAAGCTAGACTGAAAGAAAACTGCACAGGTAAAATATTTCACATAACTTCCCTCACCTCAACACTCCTCTTTTTCTCTGCAATTGCCTTGTTTAGCAACAGGATGCCACGCGACAGCAGTCTGGTTTCTGATCTTATTAAATTTGCAGGTAGTGGTTCTAGCTGGCCAATAAGAGGCTTGGATGCTGCTAAGACATCTCCCATGATGCTTTGCAGCTCTTCAGCAGCACCCTGCAACTTCTGGATAAAAGAACAAAAAACACAAAATTCTGATTTTTCATATTCATATATATCCATGTAGTGTGTTTAATTTTAAGCAGCAGCTTTAACAGAAAAACTTTTTAACCTTTCAAATTGTTTTCATCTAATTTATTTGAGGATTTTTTTTTTAAATAAAGCAGAAGATCAGAGCTTCTTTTTCTAACAAAATACACTTTTCTGTGTATTTTGAAGAAGAAAACCCCCAATATTAATAGCACCGCAAAAGCTTTTTGTTAAAAAAAAAAAAGAAAAAGAAAGAATTTCCAAATTAAACACGTAATACTGCATCAGAATTACGCACGAAGAGGGGACATCAGATGTATGAAACCTGAACAGACCACATTGGATATTTATGCCAGTAAATGCATGCTGCCTGTTCAGTTCCAAGAATAGAGGATCAGTCATTGAGAAAAACATTTAATTAAATTGTGTATGTAATTCGTGTACTCTCTAAACCAATGCCAGGTACAGGATGAGTCAAAGGGGGAATTTGATGGCTCTAAATACTGAGAATGGCAGATATGAAAAATAAGATCTATTAAATCCTAATAAGCTTATTTGCTTGCTCAAGATAACCTTTAATAATCCCAGAAATAGTTTCAATTCAACCACTTAAATTTATTCATGCTTTCAGATATTTGATCTACTCAGTCTTAAGCTACTTTAAAACCTTATGAAACAAATCCAATAACTTGAATTTTTTTATTATTATGACATAAATCACATTGTGGATAACAGTGGGTTTACTGCTAGAACTTCACACACGCATACTGAAGCATTACATAAGCGTATGAGGCAGCTGATTTCTGCTAACAACCTGTTCTGTATAGACAGTCTAGTAACAGCCCTAAACTCACCTTTACTGAGCCATCTATGGCTTGAGTGTTGTGTCCAGCTGAAAGTGATGACCTTGATAGCTCCTCCCACTCATGCTGCAGGTGTTTCTGCTGTGCAGAGCAGCTACAAGAGAGACGAGTGTATTCCTGCCAGACCAAAAGCGTCTCTTCTGTCTTTATGTTTTCCTCCTTTATCTCCTGCACTGTGTTCTGCCACCTGAGAAGGATGCAATGCTTGATTACTTTGCGGCTGTATAGTGCTAACATGCACAAAGTAAGACCATAGTTGCCTGATTTAGTTGACGATGTGTGCAACTGTAACATGTTTAGTTGTTAATTGAAATATTGCTGCGTGCACTGCAACGCAGGCCTCTGACCGTTTTTGTTCTCCTTCCACTTCATCACGTAGTGCCTGTGCCGCTCCATGATGGAGAGACCCTACAAGACTCTGACAGGATTTGTTCACAGCTGCCCAAAGTGCTTCTCCTTTTCCAGCCTCCTCCTGGAGTTGCTGTGGGACATAAAACACATTTCTTTTATATTCCTTCTTACTCTAAACTAAAGCTTAGAGACTGAAAAGCACTGACGGCTTGACATCTGTGAGTGCCTACATCTATTCTAAATCTGTCACAACTAGAATGAGGGGCTTTTAACTTCATATAGCTACAGCTGGTTGGTCAAAAACATTGTTTTTCTAAACTGTTGCTTTAACACTGGCAAATATATAAGGCTTTCAAGAACTGACATGTCAAACTAATTAATATGATAATTGTTAGAATGAAATACAACATGTGATTATTTTTCTTGTAGCTTTGTATGCACACAGTTGGATATAAAGGTTCACCAACAAGGCTTACCAGGAGGAAGTCCACGTATCCCTCTGCCTGCTTCAGCAAGAAGAGAGGAGCTTGTTGATGCTGAAAGGCACAGCGCACCCTGGTGGTGTGCAGAGTCACATCCCTCAGATCTCTGTGGAAACAACTCCACTTTTCCACAACCTGTTGAAGCGCAGGTCTCAGAGCTTTGATCTAGAAAGGCCGCCAGAAACAAGACCATTTATAAAGATAATTTATACTGTAGCTCAGTTCATCTGACATTTGGAATGATTTTTTGAGTACTCCATGCATTCTGTGCAGTTATTGAGCAACTTGTAAGACATATGACTCCACTAAGCACAATGTTTGGCATATGGTGCTGATCAGGGTGAGTTTATCAGAGCTTTGTTTGCTACGTCTGGAAAAAAGAATAAACCAAGTGAAAGAGTGGAAGGACATAAAGCCGAAACAATAAACTTGAAAACACTTTGCAGAGGGAAAATGCAAAACTGAGTGATGAGTCACTGTGGGTCTATCATGATAAGTGACCCCTTTGTGTATGGAAGTGTTACTCAAGCATAAAGCAATAACTTTACATGTTGTCCAAGGTGTTTCAGGCCGAAATACTTCTCATCATCTGCTCAGGACAGGATTTACAGCTTATAAAGCTTGTGTTTTAATATGCTGTAATCTAGCACTGAATTATAGTAAGACTGACTTTTACCTCTTGACTAAGATCCCGGCAAGCATGACTGATGCCCTCTGCCTCATTAGAAAAGGCAACATCACATGGGCGCTCCTGTTCCCTTTTATCGTACACATGTGTGGTTTTTAACTCTTGTAGAGCTGCAGCCACTTCCTTCACTCTACCCTCAAGAGCCTGACAAAAAAAAACACATTCTCAGATCAGACCAGAGTGGAGGGGATGATACTCTACAAAAGGCCCTCATCTCTTTGCTCCTGTTACTTTACCTCCCACTCCAGCAGAGCCTTATGAGCCAGAGTTTGGCTGGTGGGCTGTTTCCACTGATTCAGCTGCTTCTTCTGCTGCTCTATCCAGCCGTGGAGACACTGCAAACGCCTCTCCCTTTCTGCACAAGTGCGATGGATCTGCTCAGCGCCACAAATCTGATGAGAGAAAGCCAAACGGTGGATGAATCATGACAAGCAAAAAAGTCATGAAAAGTTATGTCTTTATAGCCGAGTTCGTGTTAAAAAATGTATTTTCTTGTTCCTGTTGCTGTAAAGTAATATAGATTTATGGCCTCTTTGGGGTTCCAGTGCCGATATAAATCACTGATGCAGCACACTATGAACTCACACACATATTTTTTACATAATAGCCTTTTATCAATGTCCAACTTGAAAAATCTGTTTGCATCAATAAAAATATGATAGATGGATAAACATAGAGGTTACAGTTGCATCAGATTAGTAGTAATCTGCCTGTTTTATTAGTTGCTGAGATAGAGACCTGACTTTCTAGCTCTCTCTGAAAGTGCAGCCACTGCAGCCTGGAGGCACCGAGTTCCTCTGCGAACGTTGTACGCTCAGAGCGGACTGCCTGGATGTCTGCCATCTGAGGCCTGGGCTGACACAGGAAATGAAGGAGGAGCTGCCCATTGGTCACAGCAGCTTTGAATGCCTAAAAAAACAACATAAAAAATGAATAAAACTACGCAAACCGAACCAAAAACCATGCTAGATTCTCCCCTGCTTGAATAGACCAACAAATCTGATTTAATGTAGATGCCTCTGTTGTGCCACTTTTTTTAACTTACATTTTTCATACCTTTCAGTCTTTGAAGAATTAAATCAGTACTGTTTTAGTGGTTTAAATTATAGTGCTTTTACTGCAGGATGTGATTCATAGATGTCACTGACATAACAGCAGAAAGAATAAGAGCCATATCGAGGAGAGAACAGTGAAATGCACCCTTTCAAGGAAAAAGCAACGTATAAATTTCAGATGCTCGCTTGTTGATTGTCAAACAAATTGATGGATGGGTTGCGTCAATTCAAAGTAAAGACTGGCACTGAAATAACCTTTCAAATATAACCAATTGAAATAGATGCAGAGGAAAAAGTGAAAACAGAGGTGGTTTAAGTACCTGGAAATTCTGCAGGATTTCAGTGACCTGAGCTGCACTGCTGGCCTTGAGGACTTTTTCTTTCTCCTGGTTCATGCAGTTCTTCATCTGTTTGAGCCAGTCCTCCAGATCAGAGAGAAGCTCCATCGATGGCTGTGCTGCCAGGAGACACTAAAAGGGGAAAAGATAATAAAGAAAGCAGGGAGGTTCACTTTACATGACATATATTCCTAACTTTAGTTAGTTTTTTTAGATTACTTCATATGATTTATCTAACAATGTAATTATATTTTTAAACATCTGCTCCATTACTATCTGACCTTTGTGCACATCCGCATTATTAAATCTTTTTTATCTTCTCTGTGATTGCCAAATTTTTAAACATCAGAATGATTATGAAGCCAAATATCTGGTTCCACTCTCTGGTGATAAATGCTCAGGAGAAATTGAATCGTGGCTGTCTTCTAGATTCATGGTCCTCCCTATCCTCACTCACCCTCATATAGATTTCAGCAGGGTTTAAGGTTGCACTCCCCTAACTGGAGAGGAGTTTTCAGTGCCCAATTATTTTTGAAAACCAACAGTACTTCAATAAATTGGAAACTGGGCCACTATAGAAACCACTAGAAAGGGGCTATTCATCTAACATTCATCTAACAGTTAGGGTCTTTTGAAAACATTCTGCACCTGTTGCAGCTGGTCTTGGGTTTTTGACATGTCAGAGGTCAGCTGGTTCCAGCTGTTCTCTAGTTGGGTAAGCTGAATTCTCAGTCCAGGGCAGTCAGCCTCCCTCAGCTGGAGGAGCTGAGCAGCATCCTTGGATGCCGAGGTCTTCAGTACAGACATACGTTCCACTTCCATGGAGAAATCCTGGGGACATGTTGAGGTTAACTAATATTAGAAAACAAATCAATATTGTCCAGCAGCCAGTTTAGACCCATATGTCCATCCATTACAAATTTGTGTTAATTTATTTGGACTTTTTGTAGGTGGTGTTTGCCCTTTCTAACTAAAGCTGGGGACAGGATTAAATATTATGTCATGTAAGGAAGCAAATTTTTATTAATTTCTTCATGATCATGTCATAGAATGCAATAAAGGGTTAGGGTTATGGTATCTGCTTATATCAACCTCGTATACCAAAGATTGTAGCGTTCTGTAACATTTTACAAATGCATTTTACGAAGTGCTTGAAAAAGACTTAAACCACAGGAACGATGAGGAATCATTTAATTAAAAAGCAAACTAGTAAGAAAAAGACAGATGTTAGGATGTTAGTGGCAGACTGCAGCGATTCTTTAACTAGGCTGTTATTAATCTTCTTTAGGTCAAAGGCTATTTGATGAGAACACAGAAAAGCCTTACCAGCAGCTTGATGAGATTACTTTGAACACACTCCTGACTCAGGTCAGAGAGATTTACCAGACCTGACAAAGTCTTCAGGTGTTTGTTGGCACCAGCCAGCCATTCACTCACCAAGTCAAAGTTGGAGTGGAATCTGTGGGGAGGATGGAAAAGCACATAGCTCAACCAGTGGGGCAGAACATGACTGTACCTTCATACAGAGTGAGGTAAGGACTTGGGCTTGGATCCACAAGTGATAAATAGGGCTTGTAAATGAGTGGGTTTTTTTTTCTGATGTCTGGGCTGTAGAATACATTCAATGAGAATATAAGGAACTTTCTGTACAACAGATTGTCGAATTGTTGCTGTAGGAACTCATATAGTAATTCTTTGCCTATGTCTGTTTTTCATTTGGCACGTTTTGTGTGGTCTGTGCTTCACTTTTTACTGACTAAGAGCCCAGGCAACATTTCTGAGCATAATTTAAAAAAAAAAACCTAACAACATGAATCCACTAAATGTTCTGTTCAGTCTGTGGAAAGAACATAAGTCACTCAGATATGGATTTCAGGATGCTCCTATAAAGTATGCTACAAAGTTATTTGTTTATATATTCTAGATCGTTTTTGCAGGTTGCTAGTTAAAGTGCTGTTAATATTCTTATTAAAAATTGCCATGGCAACTTTTGTGAATCCACTGACAAACATTTGACTAACAGTAATTAGTAGGGATGGGTATCGTTTAGGTTTTATCTGATACCGGTGCCAAATCGGTACTTTTGAAACGGTGCCGTTGCTCAAACGGTGCTCAAACCGGTGCTTAAAGGATGGAGAACACAAAATTGGTCCAAAAACCTCTCATGTTCAGCTGGTTTTTTGTAAAAAGATAACAATGTTAGCCTTTTCTGCAGCTATGGGGCATATATGGTATCACTCTTGGCTGGAAGCAGTGCTTAAACAATGGAAAAAACACAAACTTTATCCAAAAACCTCTCATGTTTAACTGTTTTCCACTTTTTCTTTGGTCATTTTAGCCTTTTTGGCCAGGGTGAAGGGAGTATCTGCCATCAAACAAGAGGACAGCCGCATGTAACTACAACGGCGTTTGCTAGTTCACCTTACTGCATTAATGTAATAACGTGGTTAGCCTACTCAACGTAAATTACACACGAACATTAAGCTACTCACGCAGAGAAGAACGGCTGCTGCTGCATCATCATCCTCATCATTTCTGCTACACTGGCAGGGCTAGGGGCCAGGACTCTCCTCTTCGGGGTTTTTGGGGGATATTGCTAACTCCGGGTCAGATAACAGGCAACCCACACACAGTAGATGCGCTCGGTGTGAGGTCTCGCAGCAAGCTATCATACGGCGCATTTCTCGGCTTTAAAAAAAACGCTATGCGTCGCCAGGTGTTTCATCGGATTTGAGGTGTTACCTCCTTTGACAGTATCACAGTATCAGCTTAAAGCACTTGTTGCAGGCTGCTGAGTTTGCATATTTTGCTGTGAAGTACAGCCAGACTTTTGACCGCTTCGCCTTGGGCTATCCTCAGAAACGTAAAATGATTGGCTAGAAGTGTGTCACAGCTCAGGAAAAAAAAGCACCGAAATAAAGCACTGAAATGTGCCATCATAGCACCGGACACCGGTACCCATCCCTAGTAATTAGTGGTTAACTTCACAATCAAATGATGGAACAATGAATCACTGTGGAAAGACCAAAGAAACACACACAATACCTATACTCTAAACATTTCACACAAGGCCATCAGGTTATACCAGGCTTCATTGTACTTTAGCTTACACACAAATCAATAGAAGACTAAAGACAGCTGGTTGTGAGGCACTTTTTCACATAGTAAAACTGAAAGGTTATGAAAGAACATCTTGTTAGGGAGGTCTAAGTTCTTTTTAACAACCTTTTAAAAAGCTCATGCTGGGTAGAAAGAGACTTTTGGCAGATATTTGAACAAAGAACAAATGAAGAAAAAAAAATCAGCAACATTTTTCATTCTGTGCAGGCAACAGTTTAAACTTTAGCCAGTAGATAATAAAGATCCCAGTGAGCCTGGATCACCTGATTTGGCTGTCCTGGATGTCTCTGCAGCGCTGAATCTCTTTCTCTGTTCGCCTGTAGGCATTCCTCCAACGCAGCTCCAGAGCGCCGCCTGTCTGATGGGTTGATGCAGCAAGCAGGGGCTCTGCCTGCAGCACCTTACCCTGATCCAGAATTGCTCCTAAAGTGGCTTTGTTGTCATCCAGCTGGACCAGTGTTTGCTAAGTGACAAGGAGACTTATCAGTGCTTATGCTTAGAATATCTGGAAACTCGATCTAATGCTCAAAGAGACACTTTAAAAGTCTGACGTGCAAAAATGATACGTGAAAGAGGTAGAGGACAGAAAATCAACAAGTTAATAGCAGATGCAAAAAAAATCATCTCTCATTCTCAGTGCCAATAAAGCAAAATACCACCTAAGCCTTCACTATGGTTGCAGCTCTCTTTATTTCACAGTTCACTCTTTATTACTGTCACTGTTAGCTTCTATTTTCCCATTTTCCCACCAGTATTTTAGCACCATTCGTTCCTTTGTCCTAAATTGACTCAAGTACCTTGGCTCCTCACTCTGTGTCACATACACACATTACTCATTACGATGTGACTGCAGTGAAGAAAAGAGCTCTCACAAATCCTAAAGAAGCTCATTATTCGGTTTCTGTTTAATTTATTGGGGGATGTATTTTCATCACAGTGATTTCAAGTCATGACGCACAGAGGCAGCTGATGGTACAAAACTATCACTTTAGTAATTAGTCTGTGGTGAAATATGCAGTACCAAATGAGATATAAAATCCTAAATAGATTGATGGTTGCTGTCAGCTTTTAGTTTAAATAAATTCTTAGTGTAAACTGGAGAGTCCTGTCCTACTGCTGCCTGTTCATGAAACAATACAACTTGACATAATGTTCAACTAAGATGAGATAAGATAAGATAAGAAGTACGTTATTTATCCCGAGTGAAATTCTTTTGTCATACACATGCTCAATGCAGCAAGAGAGACAGAGAAGCAGAGGAATACGATATACAATATGTACAACTATATAGTAATATACAGTAGGATAGTGCAAAATATAATATCAAATAACTGTAACAAGTAACAATATAACTATATCCTGAAAAATAAATAGCTTAGCTATCAGTGCAGGTGATTCTAAAAGTGACATAATATTGTGCAATCTTTTGTACTAACCATCTAACCAACTAACCATCTTTGTAGTTTATTGAGGGGCTTTCTGGAAAATACAGGAGACTAGAGCCCAGGATTCTTATTAAAAGAAGCACTTTCTTCTCTTTCTGTCTTTAAAACATTATAAAAAAGAAACCTTTTATGTTAACGTGAACTGATTTCTGTACGAATAATGAAAATAAACCTATCACACTAAAATGAGAAAACTAGCTCCTAGTGACAAACAAACAGATTAAGCTAAGGAGAAAGAAAAAAAGTAACAAAACAACTCTGACTTAGAGAAGTGAGAACAAAATATGTGAAGTGTGACAGGATGTACCTGGCAGGCATCTAGTCTGTGCTGCACTAACTCCTCCTCATCATCATCTCCCTCAGGCTCCCATCTGCTGATGAAGGCTTCAGACTCATCCAGCACTCTCCCCAATCGACCACAATTATCCTCCCAACGGGTCCATTCCTAGAGCAGAGCCAAATATAAATCCAAACCCCTACTTTGAAATTGAATCTATGAATGCATGTTTTTCCAGGAAAAATGAAACAAAAGTGCACATTTGTGAATGTATAAATTCATATGGCCTTCAGCAAATATGGGCTACAAACCTGAAGTCTCCTTTGAGAAGCCATTTCCTGTTCCAGAGCCTGTTGCTGCAGTGATTTGGCCCTGGCTTCCAGGTGTACCCGTTCATTCTCTTGACACTTGAGTGCTTCTGGCTCATGTTGGGATAGATACTGAACAAAAGCCATCTGGGACCTGAGGACCTGCAGAAGCTTCTATATCACCAAGAGACGAGCAAAGCGATGATCAATTAAATAAATGTGGCAACAAACTGGATGTGATTGAGGTCTAAATACTCGGGTGTCTAATGATTAATTAGTGGAGGTTGTGCTTGCAACATGGGGCTCTTTAAAAACCAGGAGTTTGCTTCATACTCTTGAAGTAATGTACCAAACTTAAATCTGCTCTTTGTCTGTGTTTTGAAGAACTTCCTGAAAGTGAGATACCTTGTGTGTGCAGAGAACAGCTTGAAGTTTGCTGCAGCTGTGAACCTGGCTCATCTTTCTCTCTCTTATGCATTCTTCACCCAGTTCCAGGAGCCGAGTTATCCCCTGAAGCAAGGACCTAGAACTGTGTTGCATCTTGGCCTTTTCCCCTGGACTTTCCCTCAGATGTCTGGCCAGCACACACTGCAGAGATACAGATGAGCAGCAGAATTTAAGAAGAATACCACTAACTTTTAAAATACAGATCCTACATCAGTAGCAACTACTAAGTCAGTGAAATGTAATCAGTTAACTATGGCATCCATATAAACTCAGTAAGCACTAATATGTCTGAATAATTGTCAGCAAACTCATTTGTCTGATATCATAACAACTGCCTGTAATGGATGCTTTTCTGTTATATTACTAGCATTTTAATTAGGCCTTCTCTAGTATTGTAACACTAGTGCTATTAATCATGCACACATACGCAGCAAAGCTGTGCAGCAGTGGTTACCTCCAAACTGGGACCATCCTTTAGATTTGGAAAGCCTTGACTCTGCCCAAGTTCAAACTCGTCCAGAAGACACAGCTGATTGGTGGAGATCTCCTATTGAAAGACACAAATAATATGTTAGCTTAAGTGCTGGAAGAAGTACTGAGGTTCTTCACCAACTCAAAATGACTGCATCACATACTTTACATGCAAACAGCTTGACGTTCGAAGTTTGCTATTAGTAATGAATGCTTGGTGTGTAAAATCTAAGCCTGTATGGTGGAAATTAATCAAATTACAAGAATAAAGCACCACAAAATAGGAACTACCTCAGAAACTATATGATGATTATAGTACTTAGAGTAGGAGTGATTTTACTGACATTTAAAAATACTTATACTAATATTCTGAATATTGAGTTACACTGCATAGCTTATGTTAAGATTCAATATTGAGGAAGGGTACAAGAGGTGATCGAAGAATAACCACACTGGTCCGGCCGGGTGAAGTCAAACGATGATTTTAATGAATACACGCGTGGGAAGACAACTCTGTACGCAGACAGGAAGTAGTCTTCGACTTAATCAAAGCATGAACAGATATTTTATAGCATCAGGGTTTGTTTACTGACGCCCCTTCATGCGTCACAGATACATTTTATACATAGATCAGATCAACATCATCATGACTTTTCACCTAGAAAATCATCTTCTATTTTCATGGCTAGCCCTTCCTGTCTACCTTTCAGTTCTTGTCTTGTTCCTCTTTCTTGCCGAGACACCAAGAGACGGTTCCTCTTTTACCAAGACAATTTTACAGTTACAGCCAAACATAACTAACCTCTCCTCTAAATAAATCTAATTTAAAGTGTGTGTGTGTGTTGACCTCACATGCTCTTTGTGTCACCTCTTCACCTACTGTCTGTGTCTCATCCTCAAATGCTCTTTCTCAATTCACCTGTTGCACTTCTGACCTTTTACCAGACCAGAAGCTCACTGAGACTATGTATATGTCTTCTACTAAATAAATGTTTTAATCAAGAACCTCTACTAAAACCTTAATATAAAATGATCTGATATATAAGTGTTTTGTAAGCATGTATTGCAATTCCTTCTATGGCTCCAAGTCACTTGCACAATAGATTGTCCGAACATCGCGCCGAACAAAGCTTCCGACCCCCAATTAATTGACCGAGCTCCAACTCTTTAATAAGCACAGATATGCATTGTGTATAAAATAGTCATAGCTGCTTAAGGCCTTCTTAAAGCTATCTGTTACATTGTTAAAGCCTCGTCTTAGCCTGCGGCTCAAAATAACTTCCTGCTTCTTTCTGCATACAACTTCCTGTCAGCCTGCAACTCAGTCTTTCTGAAAGAGACACTGTTTAAACCTTGGAATGCAATATCCATGCTGCAGATTATATTATTAATGCAATGACAATTATTTAACAATAGCAGTAAAATAATTTCCCTCCTCGACACTTACTAAAACATGTCAAAGCCCAGCAGTTTTAGTGACACAGTTTCTGCACAACCACAGACATGTAAAACATGTACTATTCACAGAGTCTGTTGTTTCTGAGTGCTACTGTAGAATTTGGGTTTTGCTGCAAGTAAAAATTGCATATTTGATCTAGTCCTGGGAAAGGATGGGAAAGGGGTCGACAGTGAGCTCTAATTTATTTCAAACCTTGCAAGGGTCCTTAAGGCCTGGATCTTCAATAAGCTGATTGTGGGAGGAGGTCAAGACCAGCTGAGCTGTATGAAGACAATCCTGAAGGCAGGTCAAACAGCTGTAAGCATCTGGTTCTTCCTTTGAAAGTTGAGGCCTGGTTTCTGACACTACTTTACTCATCAGTTCAGAGAGGGTCCCCAGCTCAGCTGATATACACTGCACACAAAAACACAAAAAAGGACAAACCGAAAGTAAAAATTCAACCCTGACATTCAATTTTACAGAGAGACAAAAAAAGATATAATAGTAATGGATAGATTCATTGGCCACTGCAACATCTATTCAAATGCTCCGGAAAGCAAATATCAAATCAGTTCACTCTTTATTACTGTCACCATTAGCTTCTATTTTCCCATTTTCCCACCAGTATTTTAGCACTATTCGTTCCTTTATCCCAGATTGACTCAAGTACCTTGGCTCCTCACTCTGTGTCACATACACACATTACTCCATCAGAAATGGGAAGAATGTGGCATGGTTGCGGTGGCAGACAGGCTGATCTAAAAATTTCAGAAACCGCTAATCTACTGGGTTTTTCCCACACAACCATCTTTAGGGTGTTACGAACTTGTATGTCCATGTGTTTGTTTGTGCAGGTGTTGTGTTTTTTCTATGTTAATTTAGCTGTGCCAGGGCCCTGTTCCGATTGGTGCGTGGATATACTGCCCCGGCGTGAGTGGATCCAGCTGGAGGACCCGCCCATTAAAAGGAGGCTGGAGTGCTACAGCGGGAGAGGTCCTCGCGTTTCTCCTCATCACCCAGCAGTAGTCCTGTGGTAGCCGCTGGCTGCAGTATACGCTTGACAGTTGTGGAAGTGGAGTGGGTAGGGGTGAGCTGCCGTTTCTTTTGATCACCCGTTTTCTCCTGTTTTGAGTTAGTTAAGGAGGTTAGACTCTGTCTTTATTTTTGACTTTGTTTTTGGTAAGGTCAGGGGTGCGGGATTTGTGTAGGTTTGTTTTGTTTATTGTTTTGGCCTTGGCTCACCCTGAAGTGTTGACACTCCCGTTTTGGTTCTCTTTATTCACATTGTAAATAAATCACCTCATATCTAACGGATTTGTTTCGTGTAACTGCTTGGGTCTTGGGGGGGAAGCGAGTGCCTCGCTCATGTTATGGCCTGGCCCTAGACGGGTCGTAACAAGGGTTTAAAGAGAACAGTCAGGAAAAAAAGAAAATATCCAGTGAACAGCAGTTCTGTGGATGAAAATGCCTTGTTGATGCAAGACATCAGAGGAGAATGGCTAGACTGCTTTAATAGATAGGAAAGCAACAGTAGCTCGCATAACCACTTGTTACACACAAAGTATGCAGATTTTGTTGCTGACCATGTCCATCCCTTTATGACTGCAATATACCTATCTATGATGGTAGATACCAGCAGGATAACGTGCCATGCGGCAAAGCTCAAATCATCTCAGACTAGTTTCTTGAACATGACTATGAGTTCGCTGCCCTCAAATGTCACAGTCATTAGCTCTGAATCCATGTGGGATCATACATTGTGGATGTGAAGTACGTGTGTAGCAGCTATGTGAGTAGATATGTGAAGAATAAAGGCAGCTCTGATGGCAAAAGGGAACTAACTGAACAGTCACCTCGTGCTGCAGCAGCCTCAGCTGAGGTTCATCTTCAACCGTGCCACCACAAGGCAACAGAAGGTCAGTCAAAGAATCGAGGCAGAGGAGGACCTGCTGTATAGCCTCGTAAAACTCCTCTTTCACACCTGGATGAGAACCATCAGTGGAGCTCACCTGGGAAAAAGCACAATCATCAGTTTAACTTACCACAGTTTTTTAAAGGTCAGATTCTCTGAATATTTTGGCTCATTCTTCTTAATTTGGTGATGTTTACTATTTACTACTATGCTATTCCTACATCCCAACCTGTTGATACTAATGTATAAACAGAGTTAGTAGATCTTATATTCCGTACCGAGATGAAAAACTGGACAAATTGTGTCTAGCATGTTATCTGATTGGATTTTGACTTGAATGACATGAAAAACTTTAAATATTTTCTATGAAAAGAACTGTCCTTAAAAATGGTGTTTTATGATTATAAAGACAAAGCTGCCAGGAAATAGCCAGTCAAGCCTTTTGGTAATTGCTTATTTTGTAGCCCTATTTAAAAAAAATCCATCTTTGTGCCTTCATGTGCTTGAAGTACTTTTCAGAAATACATCTGATTATTTCATTGAGCCTCAGTCCTCCATGTTAGTCAGTTATTTGTGAGAGAGCGTACTACCTGTGTATCTAGATCAATATACTTTCAGCAGGAACGCACTTAAAAAGTCTCTTTCTATTATACATACTATTTTTCTTAGCATAGTGATGGCCTCCTGTGTGTGCTGAAGAGCTGCACAAGTAGATCCAATTGACCTCGACGCCTCATCTGGAACCTAAACACAAAGAGAAAACTGAACTTAAGGTTTAACAGCAGGTGAAGGAAAAAGACAGAATGCAACAAGGGTGTAACTGAGCAGGGGCAGGAGTTACATCCCCTGCTTCATCCTTTCATATTCAGTAATATCGGATCCATAATTTTGCTTCCAGTAAAACAAAATCGGGTCTTTTAGCAGCAGAGGGAACGCTCATAATGATATTCTTTTGCTCATTGTGGGTCCTTTTTCATTGTGGAAGACAAGCAGCTTCACAGATATGAAAACAAAATGAGCAGTCTGACTGAATACTACAGATTCAAGCACTGAATGGTTATTTTCCTGTTTTCTTACCTTTTGTCTGTTCTCTGCATCTTCTCTGTTCTGGCTTTGATGGTTCTCCTTAACTTTTTTCAAAGTGGTAATTTTTTCAGTAATCTGGGAATGAAGGTGACTCCACCTTTGGCGCTTGGGGTTAACATTTTCATGTCCAGGCAAACTAGGGACCACAAAAAGTTTATGAGCCTTTGATATGCTGTGTAAAGAGGAGGTCCAAAACTAAAATACTACAACTGGAATTTTTACCTGATCGGCTCAACAGAAAACTGCTGGGATCCTCCCAAAAAACAACTGGTGCTGACTTCAGTTTGCTCCCTCAGTCTATCAAAAACATCCTGTTAAAACAAACAAAAAAGTTATTAATCTGGTAGTTTAAATACTAATTCTGCAAACTTAGTTTGTTTGCCTGTCTATTTGTAAGCAGTCTAGTGTCCACAGTTTTCAAGAGATCCTTTCAAATGTTGTGTGTTGGTCAAGGTCACACCAAATGTAAAAGTAAAAACTTTTTATTATCCACAATTTTTTATAGAAAGTCTCGAAACTTCACAACAATGGATCTTGGGGGACATGAGTTAGCGCCCAATGTCAAAGTTGACTTTGAGTTATTACTCCAAGTAAGATATATATGTATATTTATTGTTAAATTAAATGTCCATGAAACCATTTACTTAGGCTTAAATAACTTTGATCAACATCTCTTTGAATCTTCAGACAATTACCAGATCTGAATTGGGAGCTGTGGACAGCGACAGCTTCTCCTCCTCTATCAGCTCATCTGATGCTCTTCCAGCAGCAAATGGAGTTATCGGTCTTGAAGGAATCAGCCTTGTATCTTCCGCTCCAGCTGCTGCCTGAGGAGTGTTTGTGCGAGGGTCAGCATCAAAGGCTTTGTGTTTCGGTAAATCATGCTGGTGCACAGCAGCAGCTTTAAGCTGGCCTTTTGCTGCAGGGACGGCTGCAGTGTTTAGTGACTGAGCGGTCACAGATTCAAAGTTGATATCTAACTCAGGCTTTTCTGCACATTCAGAAGACTGATGAAGCATACCCTCCAGGACCTGAAAGACAAATGAAAGATGATACTAGAAATAACTACAACTTATGGTAGGTATATTAAGATTAGTTTAAAAAAATCTTATGAAAATGTTTATAAAAAAGAGCATATTATTGAAAGAAAAGACAATAAATACTCTTATATATCCAATATGAAACTGATTATTTACCTTCATATGTGACGGTGGCTTATGTTCTCCCATATCCTCCCTTTGCACTTCTGAAAGCTTGAGCGTGTCCTCAGGGTCCTAACATATTGGTTGTATGAATATACAAATGCAAACCAAATCCTTGCACAAACACATATAAATTACTCATGCTATTCTCATCCTGGGTGTGTGTATGAAAGGAAAGGTTTCTGAGGAGCAGCTGCTTCTGACAGCGACAGAGTGGGGTTATCAGCAAACACAATGACCTGCCTCACACAGCTCATTAAGAGCATGCAAAAATCTTCTGGTTTCTTCCACAGCACAGGAAAAAGATAAAGTATTAGTGCTAGAAATTGTGAACAGAATTACATCGAGGGGTCATTCCATGTCAGTTCACCAAATACCTACCACCTGATCATCTCAGATTCACCTGAAAAATTTTCAGGGAAAAAATATACTTTTTAATAGGAATTCTGCAAAATTTCAGGTCCCTGCTGTCATTATTTCTTTTGTCAAAATGAAGCAATTGAAAGAGAGATGGTGGGAGTGTTTTTAGATGTTTTTTAGCATCATCTCTGAGGGTCCATCTTAAAATTCTATTATGTAGAAAACTGCTTGAGCTACATCCTTCAATTTATTCAGGCTAAAAGAATCTGGCAGTATGGCTCGCAGGAGTGGAGCTCAGGTTTATATACTGTAGAAGGATGGATGCCTGAAATCACTATTTAGATGAATGATCTCTGACAACAGATGTGGAGACCTGTGGAAACCACAATTTAATATACAACACATATAATATCCTTTAAAAGAGTCCAAATCAAAGCCAATGTTTTCACTGATACTGATGCATGAATATGAGAAAAGAAACATTAGCATCCACTGTCAGTGTAATATTCCAGTTAATGTTTTTAGAAAGAACATGTTTCTCTTTTGTGACGATGTTCTCTCTCAATATGAGTTTTTGTAATACTCATATTTATGTACACCAGGCAAAGACTGTTTGATGTTTTACCCTGACAGCTGAGCAAGAAAAAAGTATCTGCACTGGGTGCCACTGCAATACATTCACTCACTAGCCAGTTAATTAGACACACCACTCCAACAGCTCTTTAACACAAATATCTAATCAGATAGTCACTTGGCAGAAACTTAATGAATATGAGCATGTAAATGTGATTAAGATGACCTCAAACTAGATATCAGAATATGGGAGAAAGTAGCTACACCCTTAATGATCCATATTCATACAGCCATAGAATCTTATAATTGCTTTAAAAAATTTGGACCAAGCTCAAGTAGTTTTCTTATCTTCATCCCTTGAACTAATTTCTTTTCAGAGAACTAAGTACAGCAAGGATGTGGATGTTATATAAAAAGAAATTAAGAATCATTATGTAATTTTTTTCAGGAAAATCTTTGATGGTCACTAATTTGATGAGATGATATGATGGATTGACCACAAGGAACAAATAAAGAAGGAATAATTAGAGTAGAGGAAGCCCAAGACATTCAGAGTTTCATTCCAAAGGACCTAAAATCCTGTGCATTTTTAGAAAATATTTGCTAAGTCTTACACGTTCTGCTGCTGTGGGTGTGTTACTTGAAATTCTGTCAGTGAGCTTAAATAATGAATGTGAAATTGTGGAATGAAACCAAAAAGACAGAGGTACCCAGAGACATGCTCTCATGTGATGTAATTACATCTGATTTACCTCTGGAATACTGCTTGTTAGTGTGTCAGAGGATGACGAGTGACAACTCTCGTCATCCTCATCTTCCTCTTCCTCTGAGTTAGACACCTCAAAAGCCCCCTGCTTTCAGTGATAAGGGTGGATATATGATCAAATTTGTGATTTAAAGGAAAACTGGAAGAAAACACTGCTTTTCTATCGACTCTCATCACTCTTCTTTATCTAACAACAATATCAGTAAATATTGAAGTTAAAGTTTTTATTAGCAGCAGTCACCATTTCATTACTCCTGCACTTTCATTCTATTTTTTGAGTTTTATCTGCAATTTTACAAATATAATTTTCTTTTTTGGATAAGGTTAGACCTCTTTAATTTAATCTCAAAACACAGTTATACAGCTTTTTAATACTGTAGTACAATAGTGAAATTCCCCCCTAAAACAAAGATTTTTGGACTTCCTTGAGCCTGATGAACAGCTCAGTATAATTATTTTATAGAGCTGTTGTAAGATCTAGCTTTTTTCATTTGAGGGAATTAGCCAAAATAAAGCCTATCTTATCGAAACAGCATTTTGAGACAGTAATCCATGCCTTTGTTACTTCTAGGCTGGATTATTGTAACGCACTTTATTTTAGGGTTAGTGATGCGTCCATTAGGCGCCTGCAGGTTGTGCAAAATGCTGCAGCACGTCTTTTAACTGGAACAAAAAAGTCTGAGCACATTACCCCAATTTTAATTTCACTCCACGGGCTACCTGTACATTTTAGGATTGTTTTTAAAATTCTCTTATTTGCGTTTAAATCTCTCGGAGCTACTACAACCATATACACCTGCCCGTTCCCTTAGGTCCGCCAATCAGCAGCTCCTTAAGGTACCGAAAACTAAGTATAAATTTAAAGGTGATCGTGCTTTTGCTGTAGTTGCTCCAAAGTTGTGGAATGATCTACCCTTGCATGTTAGGCAGGCCTCTTCTCTTTCTGAATTTAAAAGTCTTCTTAAAACATATTTATTCGCTGAAGTCTTTGGCATTGATTAGAGGGGTTGACTCAATTTGTTTTAACATGTTTCAATTTATTTTAGTTTTTAGTTATTTATTTTATTTTAACTTATCTCATTTTAATTTTCTTTACTTATGCTATTAGCATGTACAGCACTTTGTGAACTCTGGTTTTATGTTAAAGTGCTTTATAAATAAAGGTGGTATGGTATTTTTTTCTCACACAGGATTCTAACAGCAAGGTTCATCTAATCCCAGATAATAGAGTGAAGCGAGTGAATGGGGGATAGTCACTGCACTTGAATGATTCACCAGTTCTACCGGGTTTCTGAGCTCAAAGAACACTTTTAAATTTTGGCAATAAGAAGAAATCTTCTACATTGTGATTTGTTTTTCCTCTCCCAAAACAATTTGATCAAAAGCTGCTGAGAACTGCAAGCACAAAATGATTAGAAGAAGGTTTACTTCAATCACGACAGCAAAGAGCAAAGACCACACAAGTGTTATTTGATTTGTTTAGCTGGTTTAGTTATTTAGCTAAATGTTACCTGGACTAGATGTGTGTCCAGCTGTTGCATTTGTCCAGGAGTATGAGAGCCTGTTGTGATTGCAAGAATCGCACTTGTTTCTTCCTCTTCTCTGATCTTGTTCTAGGTTAGTCAAAGAGACGAGAACATTTAAGAAAGAATGGAAGCGGTGACAGAGGCTCATAAAAAAACAAATCCACTGTGTTGAAACAAGGATCCAGTTGGCGACAAGAATGAGTGTTGCTTCATACAGTAGTGCAACATTAAAGTATATCAGCAAAGTAAGGACAGCATCATAAGCACCTTTTGTTGGACCATTTTTTTCTTTTATAGCAGAACAAAATCTTTATTTTTGCCTGTGTGCTAGGATTCAGACATGCTGTACCTCGAGCAGAGAGGCTTGTTGCTGTGTGAGATGTTCCAGCTCCTCGAGTGACTGCAGGAGCAGCCTGGCTTTGGAGTAGACTTGAAGTCCTTCTTCTGCTCTTTGTGGGATGTGAAGCTCTCCTTTGCATTTTTCTAGATCTTCTAACATCCTCTGCATTGAGCACAAATTATCTTGGATCACCTGAAACACGTGTAAACTGTTAGTTTGACATTTTCCCCCATATATATGAGAGAGATAGCAGATAGGTTTAAGCATTCATCTATGCCACTGCCACTTCTTTACATTTACAAACATTTGTAGCTTAAACTGCTTTATATTTCACTGTATACATATTTACATGTTTCTAGTAAAGATTGAAAGAAATGCGCTGCATTTGTTTCTAAACTTCTTATTGAGAAATCTTCTGGTTGTCCTACGTGTTTTTATAACCACAGATCAATTTATACTCCAGTAGGTCTATTTTGTCTTCAAAAATCATCAAAGTGGACAAACTGCTTTTATTAACTGTGCTTCATACAAATGAACCAAGATGGTAAAATCAGACACACCCTTTAAATGAGTTGATCCAGGAACACTGAGCAGTGTAAATACAAGTGTTTTAATTACACCGATGTCATCTTTTATGTTGTATTTCATTCAATTTACTTCCTTGTAAATTGCTCTCAGTGCCATTCAGTTTAGTAATAACAGTAATATTACTATTATTATACCGGTACTACTGCGACCACACTAAACTATTTAAAAAAATAAATAAATCACTATCTAATTGCATTGCTGTACCTGTCTGTTGTGCAAATGTTCTGTCAGGGACATATTGGAGTCGTCCATGGAGGACAAAATTGTTCTGATTTTCAGCACATTTTTCTCCACAGTCTTAAGTTCAGCTTCCATGTCCTCCACCACCTGAAATGAAAATTGTCTTAGACATTTAGCTTTGTATGAACACTGTTGTATATGCCCACCATTATAACTAATGTTTATGACACTTTCTGCTGTCTGTACTGTAAATGCTTGCAATCTTCAAAAATCCAGCTACAATGCAAGTACAGAAATTCCACTCAATGTGCCCCAAACTGGAACACTTGATATCGCTAACAACCCAAAAGTCTGAAGTGTTAACATTCTTACTACAACAGCCTGCAAAAGCTGCTCCAGTGGCTCGAGGATGCTGCCTTGCATTTTGAGGACTTGTTGGTCGTTTTGCTCCAGCCTCTCCTCCTGGGCACTGATGTCACACACCGCAGAGATTTCACCCAGCACCAACCTGAAATCCTGCAGGTTCCCCCTGATCATCTCAGAGTCATCCAGGACCAGCTGTAGATCAGAAATTTAAATCTCATTTAAATTTAACAAGAAACATTTGTTAAAGGGAACCCCTTAGGTTTGTTTTTTAGATCAAAATGTTTATTCTTGGACTCTACTCGGGTAGCTTTGCATGAGTCACAGTTCAAAAATGATCTTTATTATCCTAAACTTCACCTTGGTACAGTACCTCAGTTTATCCAATGTCAAAGTCAAATTAAAGTTGTTTCCCACACCTTTAACATAATAAACATAGTAGATTGTATAGTTTTCTGATTTACTTTACTTACTTTACTTTTATTTGATTTTAATGTTATGTTGATATTTTATGACTTGTATATGCTGTTTCATTGCCATTGTGAGGCAATTTGTAAAGTTAATTTTGAAATATATAAGAAATATATACTATATTATTATACTATTATAGTACTTATACTACACTATAATATTGTTTGTGACCATGGAATGGCAATGCATTTTAATACAGGCCTAAATACAGAGGTTTACTGGAGGATACAATCTATGGATACATGTAGGAAAAAATGAAACTATAAAGACATGAAGATTACATAAAACAGATATAAACAAAAGAATTAAGTTAGCGTGCTTCTTCACTGACCTGCAGGGACTTTGCATGATTGTGGAGGCTTTTTGCTGTTGTGAATGAGCAGGGAGCACTGAGCCATGACTGGGCCTCACCTAACCAGCGGGTGGCGCTGTGCAGAATATCTTCTAACTCCTGAAGACACTTTGGGATCTAACATAAAAGACGATATATGGAAAATGAAGCATTCAGTCAAATGGAGTGGTAAGCTAAAATAAATTAAGCATATGTAGCCTACAAATGATTTGTATTTAATATATTTATATTGGTGAGCAGCAATAGTAGTGGCACTAGACCTTGCTGAGAAAGGTTGTACGCTGCTCAACCATCTGTGCTGCATCTTGGTAGAGCTGCTGGGGTTGTGTGAGCTGGTCAATAAGAAGCTGGGCTTGATCCGGCTGCTCTTCTGCAAGATCCTGCACCTCGCTCTCCAGGAGCATCAAGCTGCTGTGCCAGGCATCCAGCTCATCCCACACATGCTGAAGAACAAGACGGTAATGTGGATTAGCATTAGTTCTTAGGAATTTGTAGCTGTTTCATTTGGCTTGAATAAAATTGACAAACAGCTTGTGGAGGTCACTCAAAGTGGCTGGAAGTTGAAGAAAATCTGACTTTATCTTAGTCAGCTATACAACTTGTAACTTTTCAAATGAGATCTGAAGTTAAATAGTTACTCAAATTATAGCATACTTTATAAGTAAAGATAATAATGATAATAAGTAAAGAGCTGTGAATTCAAAGTTGAATTTCACAGTAAAAGACTGGTTCATCAGGTTCATTGCAACAACAAAACTCCCAAACGCAAACTAAACAACATGTATGCTGTGCAGTACAGTGAGGTGTGCCTGTAACTTTATATAGGAGAAACCAAAACAGCTACTGCACAAATATATGGCACAACACAGAAGAGGCACTTCAAAAAGACAAGACTCAGCTCTACAACTACACTTAATGGGTAAAGGTCACACTTTCGAGGATCCCAAAGACAGATAGTTTGAAAGAGGAGTAAAGGAACGACTATCACTGAACAGAGATGCAATGCAATCCTTAGATCCCTTCCCAGATGCTTCCCCACCCACTCACAACAGGTCACAAAAAAAGGTAGGGGAAGGTCTCACAGTGGTAATGATCCACATTTTTGTGAGTGAGAGGTGATGCATCTTTATAAATTTAAAGAAGTCTGGTTGGCTTTTTTTCAGACTGCTACTACTGATTTGGATGACTGAGAACCTACAAAAATACTATAAATGAAAGTGAGCGAGATCACTTTCTCTTCTTTCTTTGCCTCTGCACTAATTTGAATAATTTCAGCTGAGAACCTTTTGCATAATCTCACTGACAGATGGACACACAAACAGTCAGCACTGAAAATACAGAAAGTTTAAAAAGTTGTTAACAAGACATAATTAAACAGTGGGTTTATTTATTTTTCATACGTGGACACACAAGCAAACAGAAAACAAGGAATACACACACCTTCAGGACATTCTGAGCTTCACTGACTGTTGGACTTCTCTGCTCCAGTAATGCTTTCACCTTCTCCATGCCAGAACCCAACTCCAGCACTCTGCTAGCCAGCTTCTTAACGAGGCTGTTCTCTATGAGCTGTGTGACACATACACAAACACATTTGCACCAACGGACTTTAGCTTAAGATCATTTATCTGTCAGTAACAGATCTCAACAGTTTGAAATCAATTTTCTTGCCACCTTCTCTTCTGCTCTCTGCAGAGACATCTGGAGATCCTGTATTTGCTTGCCTATATCCACAGGAACCTCTGTGTATCGGCTCTGCACACTGTCTGTGATGCACTTAAGCTTGGTCTTCTGGGAAGACAACTCCTTTCTAAGCTCCTGTCAGTGTGGAAAGGACAAAAAATACAGGAATCAGACAGAGACTGGGAGTGTGGGTCAGACATTTAATACTCTACTCCCTCTACTCTACTGCACCCCTGATTTTTTACAAATGAGAGGACCTGGACAGAAGAGTACCTAAAAAAAACAGTTTAAATTGTGTAATTTGCAACTTGACTGTTATATAGCTTGAATTTCTCACTATAATGTGAACAACTTCAAATCTAACAGTCATAAGAAAGTAATATTTCATCATTTATGAATAATGACAATAATAAAGTTGGACATGTTAAACTCTTAAAGATGATTACTTGTTATTACATGCATATAAGAAGCCATATTATTGTTGTTTTTTAATATCTCTCTCTATAAAATCTCAAATACCAAGTTTCAAACATTAAAAGACGAAGCCCACCTGTCTTTCGCTTGGATTCAAACATGCTTCCAGTGCCGGAAGAATGAGAAACACGTGTTTCTGAATCTGTCCCATCTCTTCTTGAACTTGTCGTCTTTCTCTCTCCTCGGCCTGGGCTGCAGCTACAACCAGCAGGTTTCGTTCTTTTAAGCTGTGGGCAAAAAAGTATCTTCTCAGCATACTCGACATAAATAAATAATCACTTTCTAAATGTATATTAAAGAAGTCCCACCTCCTGACATTATCTTGGATCTTCACCAGCTTTTTGCCAATAGGCCCTGGGGAACTTGATAAGCTCAGGGCGTGCTCCAGTCGATGCTCCAGGGAGGCCAGGTCCTGCTGCTCCTGCTCCAAACCTGTCTGAAGGATCTCAGCCAGGGCGAGAAGCTCCTGTGGATCCTCTCCAGTGAAGTTCACAGTGGTGGGGTCTCGAACCTCCGCCTGAAGTCTGGCTAAAAAGCTGCAGCACTGCTCCATCTAAGAAAATCAAATTGAAGCATCAATATCTATGGATCACGTCTCTGTCTTTTTAATCAGAAAACAGTAAAAGTCATTTCACATACTAAGTTCTGGTTAGTGAAAAGCAAAAGTTTCAAAAGAGGTAAAAAATATTAATTCAGTTTTGATTTGCCATTTATTTGTTTTTTTTTAAATGTACGAAAGGCTTTATTGAGATTTAAACTTACGGTTGCAGTAATGTCTTTCCACTCCTCTCCTCTCTGCTCTATGCGTACCATCAGGAGGCCAACATCACGAAGTAATGACAACCAGTGCCTCCAGAGGGCACCAACCTCACCATCCTTTCCAACCCCACAACCCTGCATTGGACAAAGAGCTCTCAGGTCGTCTATCCTCCCAGCAAGACCGTGAAGATCTTCCATCAGAAGCTTGAAAATGTAATGAAAGTTAAAATTTAAAATCATGAAAGTCAAACAGATAATGAAATATTTTAAGTAGCCAAAGTCAGCTAGACTAGCACTGTCTTTCTTAAAGCATTTTTGCAAGCATGGCTAAACAGTTAACAATTCTATGCTGTCAAAGTGATTAAATGCCAGGTTCAAACAGATACAATACGTAGAGATAATGACATAAAGCTGACTCTAACCTACCTGAGCTCTTCTTTGTTGGGCAACACATTTGTCATATGATGTCACATGTTCTGCAGCACATTCTGAAAGCCTTTCCTCAAACTGTGAAAGATGTTGACAAATGTCTTTGTAGCACTTTTGGTGACTTTGTTGTCTCAATTCACACCTATGAGAACAAGAAATGTGAAGAAAATACATAAGACGCAAAGGTACAGAGATTTACATTTAGAAATTGAGAACAGCCAAGTACCTTTGCAAGGTCTCAAGCCTGAGCTGCGCCTGGGCCTCCAGTATGGCTCTTCCAACCATTAGCTGGCTGAGGATGTTGATGTGGAGCTGCTCGGTCTTTGGGAAGGAAAGGCAGGGTTCACGAGGTACCCGTTCAACAAGGTGGCAAATATGAGCGTGAAAACCTTTTTCAAGAGTTTCTAAAGCCTCTTGGGTCTGTCTTTGTTCCTCAGCGCAATCCAAAAACCCTCCAGTAGCTGACAAGAATGTTGCCTCAGCATTGTGTAGGAAGCCTATTGCTCCTTGAGCAGCCCAGTGATAATCTTTCAAGGAATCTCTAGCTTGTGATAGCATGACCTGTTGAACAGATGTTACACAATAAAGAAGAGTTTTTGAAAACACCCAAACATGAACCCAAAATATGAACTATATATGAAATATCTAAATAATTTAAGCTTACCATCTGCGAGTGACATTCTTGCATGACTGAATCTCGAAGTGAATATAGTTCCTTGTAGTTCCTCAGGTCAGTTTTTTCTTTCTGTCCCAGATTTTCCAAAACTCGCATCCCAGACTCCATACTTCGCCAAATGACCCAGTATCGTTGTAGTGCAATATCTATGGCTGTTTCTTCTGGACTGACTGGTTCAGTTCCTTCCAGCTCGACTCTTGTGCTTTCTAAGAGTTCTATATAAGCAGGAAGCTCTGAGTCAAACTGTAAACCTAGCAGGAGCTGAGCTTCTAGGTTTTTGATATCATCTGTGCCAAGAGTCTCCCAAGACTCCAAAGTATCAACTATATGATGAATCCTTTCCCTCTCTAAATGAAGAACAGATGGGTGCAACTCCTGAGCTATAACCTCCAGTTGATCTGTTGCTTCTTGACTTTGTGTTTTGACTAAAGGAATCTCAACGAGGACTGTTTGGCATAGTTTAAACCTCTCATCCACACCGAGTGCTTTGTTTTTGGCATTCTGGATTTGCTCTTTGACAATATCTTTAGATTCCTCCATTTGTGTCTTTAGGTGCAGAAACTTTTCTTGTTCAAAGGCACTTATGCTAAGAGCTTTGAACTGGTCTTCCAGTTCCCCGATAAAACACAGAACAGAGCTTCGCTTGGGCTCCAGGCAATGCTGAAGCTCCTGGATTTGACATTGATGCTCCATTAGCATGTGTTTCCATTGTGCAATCACTGAAAGGGTTTCTTGGGTCAAAGGGATCTTCAGCTGCTCTAGATCAGCAGAAATTTGCTTTAAACTAGCCTGAATGGAAGATAACTCTTCATCTGAAGTAGTGCACTCATGAATCAGCTCCTTTAATTCCCAGCTGGTGGCTTTCTCATGAGCTAGCAATCCATCTAATTCTGTCCAAAGGCCTGAAAGTCTGTTGACAAGATAGCGGCTCTCTGCTGGACTCAACCCTATGGCTATTTTCCTGCAACTTTCTGACATCACTTCCACCAGTTCTAGCTGGCTCTCTATATCCACTGTGGCTAATTCATGACTTTTCAGGTCGTTCTCTAGCTTTTTGAGGTCCACTTTTGAAATATTCTCAATGTGAGCGCAGGGGTTTCTTTTAGCATGCGCTTCTGCTAACCAGGCATCCATGCTAGCAAGCTCGCATAACAGTTTCTCTCTCTGTTTAAGATCTTTTTCCATGGTGTCAAGAACAAGATCCAAACTGTCAGCAATAGCTTCATAAAGGTCTTCTACTGTCCTCAACACTTGGTCACTTTCTTCATTTTCCATATTAGAGGCCAAGTCTTTCATCTCGTCAACTTGTACTCTCATCTTGGACTGTCTAGATAAAATATCAGCCTGAAATTTCCTCATTTCGACAATCTGAATACGAGCCTCCTCTGGGAAAAGAGCTAACTTTTTCCCAATAGAGATATGATTTTCTGCCTGCTTAGCCCATACAATCAAGTCTCGTAGCTGTTTGTTGATCTTAGTTGGAGAACTGTCACCACAGCTAAGTGTGACAGAATCTAGTTTCTTTTTGGTGACCCCGAGCAAGGAAGCCAATTCCTGAAGACTATGCTCGATTTCATCTTTCTCCTTCTCACCTAGAGAAAAATTGTTGAGAGCATCTGACTGGGACTGTAAATGTATGTAAAGCTGGTTATACAGTTTTAGGTCTGTGGTCAGACAAACACATTCCAAGGCACTTTTGCTGTTAAGGTTTTGACAGTCGGATTTCTGGAGAGCTTCGAGTTTGGCTTTTAGCTGTTCGGCTTCTTTCAAAAGAAGGGAGGATTGACAGGTGGAGTTGGAGGCATGCCGCAGAGCTCTTTTGATACTTCCTTTTAGAAGCCGCCATTCTTCCTGAACATTTCCAAGCTGACCAAGAAGAGCACCTGAACTTTCAGTGTCACTCAAGTGCACTGACAACTGTCTACTTAAGCGTAGCAAACCTTCCATCATAGCTTTCTTGTGTTCCATTGTTTGCAGGAGCACATGAAGCTTTTCAGCCTGTAGTGCACTGCTTCCCAAAGAGTGTCTAACGAAATCCAGAACAAAAAAACAACAATTAGTTAACAGTATCAAATGCCAAGTGCACAAAATCCAGCTCACAAGTTTACTCACAAGCTTGTTTTTTCCTCCTCAGCGGCTATAACCTCCAGAAAAGCTCTGGTGAGCTTCATCTGCTTGTGGTACTGTTTGACCTGCTCCAGTTGTGCTGCTTTGACCTGCACTGTGGCAGAAGCATCTAGCAGTGCTGCGCTCCATTGGCCTGCAGCACTGTTTAAGGCACTTGGTTCACAAGCCTTAGAGGCACCTGAGTTTTTTAAAGTAGCAACTTGTTCCTGCACAGTGCGCTGGTACTCCTGCAGTACACAGATGAGACATTTATAGATATTTGTGCATTTTTTAATTTTAACAAATCTGCATATTCTTGCAAGAAAGACATAAATACAACTAGAGTGTATACCTTTGCTTCCTCCAGTTGTTTGGTCATAGCTATGACACTGAGTTGGGCTGGTTGATATCGACATGCGAGAATCTTTTGAACAGTTCGTACCAACTGAATCTGTTGTTCACCAGGAGAAGACTTCAGACACCAGTTTAAATCTATATGTGGTGTTCTCTAAAAAAAAAAGAGCAATACAAGAGTTAGACACAAAAAATATTATGTTACAGAAAGTAATGTAAGTGAAAAAATAATATAAAATAGCTACATTTAAGTAATCCAGAATTGTTTACCACATTATACAGCTGGGAAAAATGGACTGAAGAATTATGTTTAAAAAAACATGTACTGAAAGGACATAGCTGTAATAACAGATAGGGCAGTGAAACCAAGAAAACCAAGAAACTGTGTATATATTGTAAAGACAGCAAATACAAACATTCAATATAAATTATCATAGCGATCTAGTTTAGTCTGGTTGGTTTACACTGTTATAACATTTATAACTTTTACCAGGGATCTTTGTGATTAATTATCATTGTCAATTTATAAACTATTTCAGCTTTCCGTGAACAAACACTCAAACTAGGATGATGGAAGCTAAAAAAAAATCCAACAGCTGTATATTGTGTGCAATTAGACTTCCTAACTACAAACAGGAAATCATTGTATCTCATAGATACTTCCTGTCAGTAGCATCAAGGGAACCCACAGGCATCAATCAAAACACTGCCTTTCTTATCTGCTCACTGTCCCATGCACTTGCTATTTTTAGACACATGCATCTGTACTGAAAATCACACAGAAAAAGTAAAAAATATATAGATGCATGTTATATTTCCATGCTATCTTGCTATGTATTATTTGCTAATGCAGATTTATGAGATTTATGACATAAATATAAACAGTAAAGCTCACTTAACTTTAATTCCCTCAGTCCGAATGTTTTGTTCTGACTTTTACAAGTAGCATTTATTAAATGTTCAGCACAGCAAGCCTACAGTAATGCAGTATGTTATTATAATTAAAACTGGTTGATACTCACATTTATTATGTTACTTCTTTCCACCACATTCTGGATATCAGAAAAAATATCCTGCATGGTGTGCTTTTCTTTTCCAGAGTTTGCCAGTCCACCTGGTGTCTCTTTAGAACCCAGATCAGCTGGTGAACCCGGGGCCGTCCTCTCAGGCTCCATGCTCTCTGGGATTTGACGCTGAAGACACAGAAGACAGGGGTGGTGTCACATTTTAGCTTTCTTCTTCCCACATGTTTGTCTGTGCATAATGACAGAACTTCCTGTTCTCTCCCTGCTCCACCAGTGCTAAATATTATTAAGTTTGACGGTAGCCCGGCGAGTCGGTACAGTTAACACAAGAATGTGCCTGAGAAATAAGCAGTCTGCCCTGGGGGACAAGGGCTCCTTTTATGCTCTCCTGCTAACTTCTTTTAGGAAATAAATGATTTGTTATAGCTTGCCTAGACAAGAAAACAAACACTAAAACAAGGCATGGGATGCTAGGTTACAAACAGGGAGGTGCTTTTTTAAAATATCTTGGACATGACTAAGGTGTATACCACCAGGAGGGTGGAGCTGAACGATGATATGAAAACATCCTGCACGTTTTATGTTTCTAGCACAATACAAAAGATAATTTTTTACACTCAAACACAAGCTTGCCTGAATGGCAAAATGTTATAATAACATTAATGTTCTCCAATGAAATGGTGCACAACCGGCAATGAGTGGTTGTAAATGTTTTGTGTATGACTTTATCAGTCTCTTGCATCATTTCAGAGGAATTCTACTCCACTCTCCTTTACAGCACTGCCTCAATTTCATTGAGGTTTCCATCCATTCATTTCTGCACAGTTCTCTTTAGGTCTTTTTGTTGTAGATTGGCTGCTGTGCTTGGGATCACTGTCCCGTTGCATAGGGCAGTTGTGGCCAAGCTTTAGCTGTTAGGCAGATGGCCTCATATTTGGCTCTAGAATACTTTTATTTACCAAAGATTTCACAGTTGAGTGAAAGAATGCAAGGTGCCCGGGTCCTTTGGCCCAAATCATCAGCCCTCCAATGTTGTGCTTGACAAATGATATGAGTTATTTGACAAATAACTGGTATGTGGTGCTTTGCATTATAGCCAAACATCTTTTGGTCTCATTAATCCAAAGGACATTGTTCCAGAAGTCTTGTGGTTTGTTCACATGCAGCTTTATAAACTTAAACTTTATAAACTCCTGGCATCATTTCCAAACAGGCCATACTTGTTTAGTCGTTTTTCTAATGTTATGTGATGAAATGTAACATGGTAAATAGACTGGTTCTTATGTAGCGCTTTTCTATTCTACCTGAGCACTTTACACAACATGTCTCATTCACACAAGCACTTTTTTCTATGCTTAAGTCTCTGCCTGATATTTAAACTCCAACGAATGCATCAGAGAACAACCTGGATTTAGTGTCTTGCCCTAGGATGTTAGCCATGCAAACTGGAGAAGTCAGGGATTAATCCACCAACTGTTAAGTAAGTATTAAGTATTACATGGTGTGACCTTTGATTGAATTTGCTGGTCCACTCTTGAGAAGTTGTTGCTACAGTTGCTACAGTACATTGTGTTAACACACACCTGAATGCTCCAGATGAGCAAAGTGCCCAAAACTTCTGCTTTTATAGCAGAGGTCACACTTGCTGGTGACCAGTTAATCAAGTGCATCCAATTATAAATAAACAACGTGGCTTTTATTTGTCCTTTTAATTTATGTGAAAACATTACGTGTGTGCTGAGTTTTCACAGAATTGCAGTCCTGTGAAAGTTATGACAAGGTCAGATGGTCAATGTGCTTGTGTAATAATCTGGGAACTTTGTAACTGACTGTTCTATTAAAAATGCTTTAATTATGCCGATAATGAAAACATCGAGTTGTCTTAAAAATATGATTCCAAGCCTGGTGTCAGTTTCATTTACACCTTTTTTCATCCTCTTGTCTGTCGTATCTAATGTCTTATCTTCTTTTGGAGCTGCTGCAAGCAGGGCACAGGCATGCAGCTGATATCACAAGAAAATCCCAAAAATCTTGTGGAGGCTTGCAAATGTGTGTACTTGCATGCTGCATAACTTTAGTGTGTGTAAAACACAGTGACAGCCAGTTTATTCGTTTCACTGTGAATTTCCCATAAAGAAGTTTGAAGGGATTTGAGCAAAATGGTGGCATTTGAATGGAAAGTGTGAAAAGAAAAAATGTATTTAAAGAACACAAATTCCCACTAAATTTAGGACAAACTTTTTTGATAACTTCACAGTTGCAAAATGTCAGAAACACAGCTTCTCTCTCCCACACACATATTCTCTAGCATTAAGGTAACATAGGGAAATAACAATGGTTGTTAAATGTCAAACAAGCTTCATGTAATTTTAGAAAAAAGGTACAGATGAATCACCTAGAAAGTCTGGGTTATTCATCATCAGGAAGTTCAAATGCAAATTAACACTTTTTATGGAAAGTTCCAGAGACTGTCAGCTTACAGATCACAGCATTAAGCAGCTCTGAATTTATTTACAGGTATTTACAGTCACTGACGCCTTCTAACTGCAAACAGGGGGAGTTCCAGTCTTTCCAGCCACCTGCTGGTTTACCACCTGCTATGCCAGAATTACAGCATCTAACCAAATTACCACTGATGATGATAAGTGAAAAAAAAATTAGAAAAACATAATGGCTTTTAATGCCTGTCTGTTAGAATATATATATATATATATATGTATATATATATATATATATATATATATATATATATATATATATATATATATATGTCGATTGCCTAGCTTCTTAGACATATTAAGTCCGGAAAGAGCAGAACTGTGAGGAAAAATCCAGTCAGTAAAATTTTCAAATGGCACCTACCTGTTCCTGTGTTACTCCCATGTCCTCTAGTGCTGCAGGCAACTTCCCCTCATTTTTGTCTTTTGGAAGCGAAGCAATGTCTCGTTTTACTGGCAATTCTGAAACTTTACATTCTGTGCTTTCAAATTCATTTGCTTCCTCTGTGTTTTCTCCCTTTGGCACCTCCTCATATGCTGCTTCTGTGTTACATACAGTGCTATCAGGTGTCACTTGTTTCTTGCCAGAAGCAAATATATGTGTGCCATTTAAGGCCTCCCCACTTTCCACAGAATCATCCACTGTGCTCTCTGTTTGCTCCCCAGAGTCACAGAAATCTGTTGTCTCCTCTAATTTGACATCTGGAAATGTTGTTTCTGCTGTCTGTGCACCAGCATGCTGATATTCAGCAACAGCGCAACATGATTTAGAGGATTTCGACACCTTGTTAAGCTTTAAACCATGGGTTTTGTGGTTTTCTCTGCATGGTAATTTGGCACTTGAACAGTTTGCTTCTTCCAAAACTGTATTCACTAACACCGAGGGGTTTGATTCAGGACTTGTACAAGAGTTTGGGAAGATAACCTCATCTGATCCAGCACTAATTAATGTGGTAAAGTGCCCTGACTTATTCTGAGGAAATGCTCTGCTGGAAACCTCTGCAGGCCTAGCATTAGAAAACTGTGTTTCCTGTGAATATCCGAGTAAATCAGGGCTGTTGGCTTTTTCACGTTTCTGCGTGTCGAATGGCTGCGGCTCAATGTCTAACACTATGGTAAATACCTTTGCTGGGCTACTTTTGACACATTTAGAGAAATTCTCCTTTTCTTGCACATCGGCGGCTGCCTCACAAGTCTCTGATTGTGCTTCAAATGTGCACTGTTGCAATCCTTTGTCTGATTCCTGACTGTTTGACGTCATAAAGACTTCAGTTTTCATCTCTGGGAATCCTGTACCTGAATATTGTGTGTTTTTTTCATCCGAGAACCTCGCTTCCTGGGAGCATAAACCAGAATTGTCCCTTTGCTGTATGTCCTGTGGGTCCATATCCAATACAACAGTGAACACGACACCATCGTCCTTACAGTGTTTTCCCTGAGCATTTGTATTTGCCTTGAATGTCTCCAATTGTGGTTCTAGATGATTAGACACAGTATGTTCAGAGGCAGTAGTGGGGAAGTTGTCTGGCTTTGTTGGTCGTAATTCTATCAAGGATGTGACACAGTGTGCTGAATCGATTGCTTTAGTGTTGTCTGCACCTACAGCTGAGAATTCTGAGACAGCGGTGAAGGTGGTGTCACTCTGCAATGGTGTGTTTTCTTCCTGAGCTATTAAGCTTTTGTTAAGCATAGGATGTGAGTCTGGCACTAATGCCCCTCTGTCATTTCCAGAAAGTGCCCTGAGTGCACGATTATCTTTTAACCCAAGATAAGACTTCAAGTGTAATTCTTGTGGTGTTAAGTGGTGAGATTCTAGCTGGGTCTTTAAAACATTGGGAGTTTCTGAACATGTGGCTAAGGCATCATCTTCAGTTTTTACCACGGCTGCTTGTTCTTGTTTTGTGGCATCGGCTTCCACATTTGAACCTCCTGATACTTCTGTATGAAGTTTGGTGCCTTTGGTTTGACTTTTGTTGTCATTCTGATTAGTTTCAGAGTTTTCCTGGCTGTGTGGTGCACAAGAGAAAGGCGAAGCTGTAAGACCCACTGCTGTAGTTTTATCACTTGATGCCAAATGAGGTGCTCCACTTTCATTTCTTAGACTGTCTTGTTCACTTCTGCTTGGCAAATCTTTGTTTTCCAGTTGCACATTGCCATGAACGCGAATGACCTTTGAAATAAACAATATTAAAAACAATAGTAATGTTATGGCCATAAATTCACCAAACTGTACATTTCTATGACAAGGGAGACACTCACCAGGTGTTTAGATTGGGTTTCAAGTGCAGACTGGCTTTCAGTGAGTGCACCTGAAGCATTTTTCTCCAGTTCCTGTGCCACATTTGTTCCCAGGCAATTAAGTAGAAAATCTTGCTCTGAGAGTACATTATAAAGTGCTTGTTGAAGCTGCAAACCTTCATCCAGAGCTCCCTGTGACAGCACAGACAGATACACAAGCTAAAAAAAAAAGAAGGGTAAAACAGAAACCACGCACTGCAAAAACATCTGGTTTAATCAAGATTCGTATCTTATCTAACTGTAAACTCTTATTGATCCCGATTGTTTTGGTTTGAGGTCACAGTGTGCCTTTTAAGACTGCTTAACCTCACCACGGGAGATCTCACTCACTGTAATTTTGCTTCTGTGTCAACAACAAGCGACAAGTCAAGGTGTTTTTTCCACCTGAATTACTTTTGTATTTCCCAATATGCTTATCCCCTAATCCATATGACAGAAGATGTACTGATCCGGTTCAGTTATAATACACTATCATTTAAGGAGACACTTTACTGATGCTAGAGAAACGAAAGATGACATGAAATATCAATTATGACAGGTGCACTGTAAATACACAGCAGGGAGAATACAGCAGCTTCAATACAGTGGTCAAACAGCCCAACCATGTCCTGTTATATTACAGCTGTAATAAAGTGTCGGTATTGTGGGGAGATATTGCAGGGAGATTTGCTGAGATGGAGAGTGCAGACAAACTGTTCGTTTAGACAAACATAACATTTATACAGAAATATTCAAGTGTTTTTCACATTCTTCACCATGCATGACTCTCTGAATACAAGAGGGTGCATATGTGGCAAAGAAGGCGTGTTAACACATATAGGTTCTATACATATACATTTTTGACCAAGGTGATGGTCAACACTGATGTTAGATGAGAAGCCCTGGCTTGCCGTCTCTGCTCTAATTCATCGCAAACGTGTTCTATCGGGTTGAAGCCATGATTCTGTACAGGCCAGTTCTTCCATGTCAGACTTGCTCATCCATGTCTTTATGGACCATGTAGACATGTTGGAACAGGAAGGGCCCATCCCCAAACTGTTCCTACAAGGTTAGGAGCATTAAATTGCCCAAAATATCTTGGTATTCCTAAGTAGTAAGAGTTCCTTTCATTGGAACTAAGAAGCCGAGCCCAACTTCTGAAAAACAACTCCACACCACAATCCTCCGTCCACCAATCACTCTCTCCATGTCTCCACTGCTCTAGAGCCCAGTTGCGGCATGCTTTACACCACTGCATCTGACCCTTTACATTGTGCTTGGTGATGTAAGGCTGATGTAAGGATGTTCTTGAGCTAATCCAAAGGCCACATGAAGTTTAAAGGTCTTTAGGATTGACTCTGCAGAAAGCTAGCGATCTCTGCGCACTATGCAGCATCTGCTAATTTCGTTCGAGGATATTACGTGTCCTACTACTTTGTGGATGAGTTGCTGTCATTCCCAATCACTTCATCTTTGTTACACCATGAACAGATAACTGGAATATTTAGTATTGTGGAAATTTCAAGACTATACATGTTGCATTCTGTCACAGTACCATGCTGAAATTCACTGAGCTCCTGAGAGCAAACCATTCTTTTACAAATGTTTGTAGAAGCAATCCGCATGCCTTGGTGCTTGATTTTATATACCTTTAGAAGTGAATGGAACACCTGAATTCAATGATTTGGATGGGTGAGTGAATACTTTTGGCTACTCACTCAGGCATTCATTTGCAGATTTTAAAAAACAAAAGGCAGACAACAAAAGGTTTACCTGTGCATATGAACCAAAGCTTACATTTGTTTTGAAACTTTTGTTTATTAATTAATTAATTTATTTATTTATTTATTCCATGTATCAGAAAAAAATACTGAACACGCTGAGCTTTACCTGGCTATGCGTTGATGGTTCAGCTTGTACTCTTTGGCACCACTCTTGCATCTGGTTGGTGAGCTCTCTCACTCTGTTTGCAGTGTTTTCTGCAAAATCCTGCTTCTTTTGCAAAAAAACAGACCTGAGGCTGGAGCGAGACCACAAGCAGTGAATGAGCCGTACAGTATTTAGAACGAGTGCATTTTCAAAATAACCCTCATATTCCCTCACATATTCAGAGGATGTGTAAACCCTCATATATCTTCACTGCAACAATACTGATGATGAACTAAGTCATGTTCACCATCAACCCAAGTTACGTTCTGCTTCAAATAGTGCAAGCTTCGCACAAGTCTTTTCTTGTTATCTGTTGGTAGGCCACTTTAATTGTTTTCTTGATACTAAATTAATATTTTCATCTTCATTTTACTTTGAGAGCAGTCTTAAAATCCCCAGAAATTTCTAAAAGTCAAAGTTAACAAATCATTTCTCACAATTAGCACTGCATATTCAGTTGATAAGATGAATAAATACAGGAATGATTAATTATTCCATTTTAGAATGAAGTAAAGCACCTGCCAAGGTCTTCAGAAATGGCACTGACAGTCAAAATGATATCTGCAGGAAGGGCTTCCTGTGTGCTGGTCGACTCTCTGGCCCTCTGCAGGTCTTCAGCTCTTGCTGCCAGCTCTGTCAGGCTGCTATCACAGCTCTGAGAGACACACAAGTCCTTCTGTTTAAATATTGTGAGCTGTCTTTTTCCAATTTTTATTTTTCAGATATATATCAACATTTTGAAGTATATGTTCATGTTACCTGTATCATACACCACTGTTGTTTCAGCTGGCTGATAACAGGCAAAGCTTCATGGGTATTGGAAAGATTGCAGACACCTTCAGCCAGGTCTTTAAGAGCTGTCTGCACATACAAGGCTTCTTTTTTAACTCGCTGAATGCTTTCATCACTGTTCACTTGAAGCTGTGCCAGAGTCTCTCTGATTTTACTCTCTAGTGCCCTCTTGTGGTTTTGAAGGTTGCTGACTTGTTGGGTGAGACTTATTTGGGCCTCAGCTGCTAAACTAACTGTGATGGAGTCCTTGAGAGTTACAAGCTGAAGAAGATCTTTTTCAGTGCCAGTTACTTCTTGTAGCAAAACCTAAAAACAGTGACAAAAAAACCCCAAAAACAGTGACTATAGGAGAAACCCCTGATAGATGATTACATTTTTGCATATCCAACATTTCTTCAGTGTAAATTCTTTTTTAATATTGTTAAACAATGGTTTTTTTAAATGTAAGAGCTTGTACACAGCTCATCTGGTTTGTTTACTTAATGCATCTCACCTCCAGAGCTGCTATGTCAGTGTTTGTTCCTGCTGAGTTTTCTTTCTGGCCTTGACAGGCTGATATCCTTTCCTGTAGGGACATCAATTTGTGGCAACAGCGCTGCAGCAAGTGGCCAAATTGTTCCTCGTTACTCGCACCTTCCTCAAGGCGGGAACACACTCCCTGTGGATGATAGAGGTAAAACAAGCCACACTCAGAAGGCTTACACACAAATAGACTGAAACACAACCCATTAACTGACCACACGTCATGCTCCAAAAGTGTTCATATCACATTATGATAAAGTGGATGAAACACAACCTGCTGCTGTATGTATTGTGACTTTAATGCCAGAGTCCTGGCCCAAAGGAAATGAGCAACCCCTGGTAACACTGTCTATCACACAAGGAAAATAAGAAATGAATGAATGATGCTAATGTACATTTAATTTATCCCTATCATGTCATATTATACTACAAGAGCATAGAATTTAAAAAAGAAAAAATAAGTAAACAAATAAAACTCTTTACTCTGAACTCTGAGAAGTAAAGTTAGGTCCATAATTCGCTGCACAAAGACAGTTCTTGTAGGTGATTTTTAATCAAACAGCCAAGATTTTATTCAGACTTTCAGCTGTAGCAGCAGACGTAATATCTGAAATACATTCAAAATATTGACTTTCAGTTTTATAGCTTTCTTTTCTTTCATCTTCAAAGAGATGTCAGCACGAGTGAAGGAGGTCATTATTATGCAGAAAAACCAAAATAAACCTATTAGAGAGACAGCAAAAACTGTAGGAACGGACAAATTAGCAAGCTGGTAAATTCTTAAAAAGAATGAATGCACTGACCAGCTCAGCCACACCAAAAGTCCTGAAACACCACGTAAGAAAACTCAAGTACATGATGACAGAATTACTGTCAACATCTTCAAATCAAGTCAACAACACAATCAAGAAGAAAGACATATCATTGTCAACCAGTAAAACCTGCCTGCATGAATGGAAATGCAGAAGGTTTACAGCAAAGGGCAAAGGACTGGTTACACTGAAGAACATCAATAGTAGGAAGACCAGATTAGACTTTGCCAGAAATCATCTAAAAGAGACAGAACAGTCCTGAAAACGATTTTTTTTGGACAGATGAATGCAAGATTAAGTTGTACCAGAGTGACACAAAGAGGAAAGTATGGAGGAGAGAAACAGCTCGTGATCTGAAGCATACCACATTATCTCTGGTCTGATGGTGAAGGGGGCGTTATAGCATGGGCTGGCAGTGGAACCAGGGCACTAGTGTTTATTGATGATGTGACTGATGATAGAAGCATTAGGATGGATTGTGAACTGTACATGAGTATACTCTCTGCTCAGATTCAGACAAATGCTGCAAAACTGATCAGGCACAGTTTCACAGCGCAAATTGACAATGATCCAAAGCATACAGCAAAAGCAACAAAAGAGTTTCTCAAGGGCAAGGAATTGGATATTCTTCAATGGCCAAGTCAGCCACCTGATAAGACAGAAGGCAGAAAGACCCACAAACAAGCAACAGCTGAGAGTGGCAGCAGTAAACAGGAAGAGCATTTTATTGGAGGAAACAGCATTTGGTGAGTTCTAGACTTCAGGCGCTTCTGTTTGTTTTTCTAATTATTCTTCAGCCTCTAACACATAGAGCACTGTATATAAAATTGGCTGCAAATCCCAAATAATATGATTTTCCCCCCTGAACTTTTGGTTTTAAAGTGGAAACTCATTGATTGTTTTTATGATTTTTTTTTTTATTTAAACTCCACTGCAGTGGCAAAACTACAAACACTGTGACAAAAAATTTATCTTGTGATCTTACCACATCGTTACCACCTAACAATGTGCAAATAGTGTTAGCTCAGAGACATTGTTGAATAGACATCAGTTAACTATTATAAGTGTAATTTTACCTTTAGTTCTGCCATCAGTGTTGACCAGTGGGTGTAAAGCAGATCCCAGGAAGAATCTTTCCAGATGCTGTCTCTGGTTTGCTCAATCAGCTCATTTCTCCTCTTAGACAGGCTGCTAAGCATTAACTGCAAGGATTCAGTTTCCTCCTGCAGTTGAAGGGCAAGACGGCATCCTTGTTTACGCTCAGCTGTGCCAGGACAGGGAAATAAAGTGGGAAGCTGATCTTTTTGGCGCTGCAGCACTTCCACTTTGTGGCAAAGCTCCCTCCTTTGGTCCAGGTAAAAACAAGTGACCTCTGGATCAGCTTTTAGAGCGCTTAAGAACAATAAGAACAAGAGATTAGAACCATTTCTGACTAAAACTGGACCATGAAAATTATTTAGTTAAATCCCAGGATTTATAGCTGTTATTATGTAATGTGTAATAATTTTACTGCTTAGTTTCATTAGATATTAGATTCAGGAAAGGTCCACCTGTTTTAAACGGACTGAGTCTATTATCGTGCTTTTCTACTCTCCCTCAGCACTCGAAGCACTTTATACAACATGCCACATGACCCTTTCACACAAGCACTTTCTTCTATGCTTTTAGGTGCTTTCTAGGTAACATTCATACGCATTTATATTCTAATAGATGCATCAGAGAGCAACTTGGGGTTAGCATCTTTCCCAAGGATATTTGGCATGCAGATTGGAGGATCGAACCACCAACCTTCTGATCAGTAGATGACCCGCTCTACCTCACTCACCTGTAATACGGTTCAACTGACTGCAAAGTCTCCCGCCACTTCTCCTCTGCTCTCTGAACAGTGTCCTGAACTTCCCTCTTCAGGTCATCTTCATTCAACACCCTGTGGCACAGACCATCTCCAGTAACTCTGAGCTCTTCCAGGCGAGCCTCCCCCTCTAACTCGGCACTCAACACTGCCTGCAATGGATTTTGTAGGGTTTACAAGTCAGTATGTAACCTTAGTAAAACAAAAAAGCAGTTATAAAAAATCTCCAGGATTCTGCCTGTATGACAGATACTGTCAGCTTTGAGACACACATATAGATTCCAGAAAGTTCCCTGAATCTAACATCAGCTCTGCACAGCAAATGTACACTCCTTAGTTTTGAACAAGTTGGAACAAATGTAGAGAAAAAGAAAGCACCTACATCACGCCCTCATGTGACATTACACACAACTGTAGGCACACCCACGTCACAATCACTTATATGAGAGTAAGAAGATTTGTTGTTCAATATTCCACAAGCAATCAAGCCTTTCTGTCACCTCTCCACACAGGTACTTAGCACATGCATGTATGTATGATACAGAGCATACTTTCTTATAAAATGCGCTAAATAAAATCTGTGATCTAAATGACATAGTGAAACTGAGTATCTTAGTATGTGCAGGCAACATTTTCTTACTTGAGCACAGTGAAGTTTTTGCTCTAATGGAGTCTGAATCCAGCGGCTTTCAGCAAGTGGAGAGTCTACAGCTTGTCTCAGATCACTGATCCATGATTGTGTGGACTTGAATAAAGCCTGAAACACCTCGATTTCCTCCCTCAGAGAGGAATGCGTCTCCTTACAGTCACCTTGTATTTTAATGTGTGAGTTGTTGTATCGTTCCAACAGCTTTTTACTGTTCTCCACCACCGCCAGCTGCTGAAGGTTGCTTCTTTGTAAAGATGACACAAGCTGACTGAGGAGCTCTGTCCTCACCCTGCAGAGAAATCAAAGCTGTAAATGCTAATAATGGGGTCAAATCTAATGTTTCCATGCTAGAGTCAAAGCACACTGAAGTGGTAGATACTACTGTGTGGACTTCTGTGTGTGATATTAAGCTGATAAAAAATAAAAGTGATAGTAGTTCATCAGCATTACATCATTGCATTTTTTAAATTAAAAAATTTACTCCAGCTCGAATATAAAATATATGTAAAACAAGTGCTTTTTATCTACAATATAACAGACCTTTGCGTAATTAAAACACACATGGAGTAAAGAATGAGTCACCTGACAAAACAATACACAGTTTCCAAGATTCCTGACACTTTGGTGAGCATTAGTCAAAATCACAGCACTGAACACTTGCATGTTTTTTTTTAGGTTTGTTTGTCTTTACTGTCACTCTGCTATTCTCACGTTTTCACATTTCTGCCTGATATGTAGCACTGGCAGCACTGTCACTTTCCATCCTTCAAAAGTCTAAAGTAAACACATCAGCCTCCATATCTTTATTTGTAATCAGGAACCTCCAACATATTAAAATATGTGTGAATTTAAAATACATTGGAATACTTCAACAATAATATCAATACTGCTCATATGTATTGTTGTAAATAAAAAAATAAAACAGTCAGGTAAATGTTTAAAGCATATTTTCAATTATACTGCAAAGTATACATATACTATATGTTATCAGGCAGTATATACGGGCCATGAACACATACAAGTTGTTGCAAATCTACATTGAGAGTGACACACCTTCAGGAGAAAGGTTTACCTTTGTTGAAGCGCTTCTTCTTCCAGAAGACTTTGATCCTCTTCCTTTGCTGTTTTTTCCTCAGCAGCATGAAGCCACTGCTCCAGATGGTCCCTCTCTATTTGCAGCCTGAAACACACAAACAGCATAAATACGTCCCATGTGCATACCACAAACACATTAATTTGCTCAATGCTCAATGCTATACGTTCAAACGACATTACAGTGAAAAAATGGTTCTGCCACATAATTCATGACTGACTCAGGAAACCAGACGAACCTGTTTTGATGTCTTTCTTCTCTTTGGTTTAAGCACTGTGACTCTGTAAGACTTTTTCTGCTTACAGCTGTTTTACGTACAGAGTAAGAGCAAATTTGACTGGATGGTAAATTTCAAGGATGACTCTGATGAGCGATTAATTTTTTTTGTTTTGTTTCTAAATCCCCCAAAAGATCGAACCTTAGTAATAATAGGAAAACAAACTGAGGCCAAATGATGATCATTTTATCTTCTGGTCTGAGACGTAGGTCATTGTTGGCATAATAACAGCAATAAAAAACTTCCTCTGGAAATTTTCAGGCACAAGGATTGAAAAGCAGCCAATGTCTAAAGTAAAACTTTGAAAGTCTTGAAAAGTGACTCAAGATTATTGCACAACACTGCACAAGCATGCACTGTTTTCAAAATGTTTGGCACAACAATATTACTCTTAAACAAACTTCCTAATATAATTTATTTCCTGTTTTCTTTATGACAATTCCATCCATCCATTTCCGCTTATCCTTTTCAGGATCGCGGGGGGCACTGAAGCCTATCCCAGCTTTCTTAGTCCAAGAGGCAGGGTACACTTTGTACAGGTCGCCAGTCAACACACAGGGACAGACAACCATTCGCACATTCACACCTAGTGACAATTTGGATTATCCAATTAACCTATCCCCACAAGCTGCATGTCTTTGGACCGTGGGAGGAAGCCGGAGTACCCGGAGGGAACCCACGCAAACACGGGGAGAACATGCAAACTTCACACAGAAAGACCCCGGCCTGATGTTGGAATTGAACTCAGGACCTTCTTGCTGTGCGGCAACAGTGCTAACCACCGTGCCACCGTGCTGCCCTATGACAATTCCATGATGACAAATTGTCAAGTCACCAAGCACGTGTTAGACAAAAATTCCTGCCCAGCAGCTCTCTTAAGTTTGCTTACATGCCACATTAATGAGTGGAGGCTTCAATTTCCTTTTCATTGTAGATGCATGTATCTGTACACATTACACAACACAGATGCACCGCAACACTGTTCTGTATGTGATGTCTATTACCTGTCCAGATCACGCATATTCCTCTCAGTCTGTTCTTCTACTTCAGAGAAGAGCTGATGGGTCTTTCTGACTTTTTCCTGTAGCTGGATCCCTTCCACGGATAGACTCTGTAAGCTATCTGGACCTGTAATAGAGGCCAAGACATGCACGTCCTCCAACAAGCTCTCTGCCTGCTCATCCTGGGACTGGAGCTGCTGACACAACTCCTGCAACAGATAAAAGACAATGCTAATTTGATATTATCTTGTATCTATTGGTGTGTTTTATGTGTTTTCATTATTTCATATGTCTTATTTAAGCCCTTACCTTAAGTTTTGCAAGCACGTCTGCAACATCAGGACCACAAAGAGTAAGGAGGGAGTTTTCAATCTTCTGCAGGGAGTTGAAACACTCTTCCATCCTCCCAGTGATTTGCCCTTTAGTAATCACCATCTGCTTGTAAACATCCTCAGCTTCAGAAACGAGCTCCTTCAACTGCTCTATCTTCTTCCTCATCTGGGTTCCTACCACCTTGACAAATCAAAATGAATCATAAGAACTGATGAGCAAAAAACCCTTTGTAATAGTGAAAATGACTAAACAACTGAAAATGTAATCTAGATTCAAGCAGGAAATAAGTTCACAATTTCAAACAAAACTTGGGACATATTTCATTCAAAGTAGATCATATGAAAACATAGAAAACACATCAAATGTTTAACTCTTTCCTGCCTGGATGCCTACTGGGGGGTAACCCTTGTTTCTCTTTTTGAAACTGAGAGTTTTCTGTCATATTTCAGGCCTGCCTCCGCAGTAAAGAGACTGGGTGTGCATCAGAGATTAGTGAGGGTTACCTCTGTCTATACAACGTTCTAAGGCTACGCTTGGAAAAATCAGGTCTTATTCTAATGGTCATCAAACCACATCTGAAAAAAAGTTGTGACAGGGCCATGTTCACCATTGTGTAGGATCCCCTCTTCTTTAACTTTTCCAACCTTCTTTTGCCCCATCACAACTTATTTTTAGATGTGTTCCTTATTTAAACATTTGATGTGTTTTCTTTGTGTGAAAAAAGATAAGGTGTTGCATTTTGTCTACATTTTACACAGTCAAATATTTCTGGAAGTGAAACAAAAAACCAAAACTACTTTGTTTGTCTTTATTTCCGTCTAAATAAAGAAAATAACACCAGAGGAACAATGCCTACCTGAAGCTCCGGAGGGGACTCTGCGCTCTGAAGCAGTGTCTGAATCTCAGTGGCTCTACGGTGGAAATGCTGTATACTTTCCTCTTGAAGCACAATCTCATTCTGGTAACAGTGCGAGTGAGGTAAACATCATTATAGTTTAACTTTGAGATCATAACATAACTGAATGATACACAAGAGCTCCGTTTTACCTGTAGTGTCTTGATGTCATCCTCACACTGAAAGGACGGGCACTGAGCAAACACAGCTACTTTATCGCTGGTCCAGCGCTCCACTTCTGACCCCTGCTGAAGGACCCCGTCCCACAGAGTCAAGGCTAGATGTAGGTTTTCAAGGCAGGACTCTGTTCTTTCTGATAACTGCAAATAAGTTAAATATCAGCAAAGTTAACAACCTAGACCTACAATAATATGCATCTTTATCTATCTCATTTAAGATCAGCAACATTCGAAAATAATAGGAAATAATAGGAAATTGGGTGTAGTCAGGTTAATGTATATTATTACAAAAACCTATTATTTCAATTACAATGTCAAATAATCAAGCACAAAGGTTAAACAAGCGCTTTTGTGTTTTGCTGTAGCTTTGCTATTTTTTATCTTGTTAGAAACAGCTGCCCTCTCATTTCTGAAAAGCGATCATTTTGCACCAGGTTCTGCCTCTTAGTATCCTCTTTTCCCTTAGATTGCTTTTACAGTTACATCCTCACATCACAAGCTCTTCTTGGAGAATGCAACAGATTGAATGTGATATCACTGGAGTTAAAAAATAACTTTCATATCACAAAAAGAATAAGTCAAACCTCCAAAGTTATGGAAAATAAATCTTTTTAAAACAAAACATGCAAAAAAAAAAAGACAAAACTAATTTTTTTTAAAAGACAAAGTTAACAGTGTAAAGTGGATAAGCTTACATCCAGCCAGTGATCCATGACAGCATCAGCTTCGCTCTCAAATGGGATGCATGTGCATTCTGGTATCTGCCGTAGGTGAGTGTGAAGCTGTCTGCAGACACTGCGGACCTCCTCTATACCATCTCCAAGGCTGTTCAGCTCTGCTTTTGTTTCCTGGACCTTTAAAACCACAGACACACAAAAATATGGATTATGCCTAAATGATAAGTTTTCAGCACAAAGAGAAAAGTCAATGCTGTGATATCTTTGTGTTCATTAGTCAAGCTTAACAGTGTGACTTACCTTAGTGTGTAGTCTCTGCAGTTTTTCTTTCCCCATGTAGGAGGTTTTTTCACTCACAGCGCTTTCTGCTCGCTGCAGTGTCGCGCTCAGCTTACCACGAATGCTCTGAAACCTCTTCAGCAGCTCTGTTAGGACACCACACTGCTCCAGTCTGTATGTGACCCATAACACAACACAGAAAAGCTCAGCAGAGTAACACAACTACGAAAGAGCTGCAGAAACAATCAAAGTTACAAACGTTAATAACCACACACTACGCTGGATTTTACTTTTGAGTTACAGCCTTTGTTGCCTCCTCCCAGAGATCCTCCACCTCTCTGTTTTGACTCTCATCAGGGATTTCTGACCGTGACGATGCACCTCGTACGTACTGCACTTCAGAGAGGAGGTCAGCGAGGTGACTTTCCAACTCTGTCAAGGTACGTGTCCTGCAGATAACAAAACAGGATATGGAGAGAAGAAGCTACTGACATTCTGAAAGAATTTAGGAGTTATTATTGTATGGAGCCTCCAGCTACTTATAGAAATAGCAAAAGCTGACCTTTGTATAAAAGTTAGTCAATATTAATCTGCCCATTAGTGTACCATAAAATCTGCTATTATTATAACTTAGAGATTATTGGAAACCTTTGGGATGATGCGTTTGTTTTGATGAGTGTTTAGATGTTTTTCTGGTAGTGTGGATCATGTTGGATATTTTTGATACGCCACTTAAATTAAAGAAAATAAAAGTACGTTGTTGTACCTGTGTTGCAGAGCAGGCAGAGTGGGCTCCTGCAGGCTCAGCTCCTCAGCTGCCTTCTTTGTCTCCCTCAGTGTTGCTAACAGGTTTGCTCTCCTCCGAACCAAATTCTCCATTTTTTCTCCGTCTTTCTTAACCTGGGTGGTTCTTCCCATTTGTCTCTGGTCTTTAGTTTCTAGGAGATCTTCTCGAGGTCTCCATGCTTGAGTCTTGTGCTCTTCCTCCACTTGAGTCTCTCCTTCCAGCTTACGCCTTTTGGCCTCCAAACCTGACTCCTCATCTGGCTCACTTGAAGTGGGATCTTCTTGCATGTCCTGTTGCTGTAGGGAAGCATTACCAGACTTTGTCTGACATGTCTCCACAGTTTTAGATTTCTCGTCGTCCTGTATGTTCCGTTTTTCTGGGAGAATTATAGCTTTTGCTCCCCATTTTTCCATCTCCACAACATGTACTGTGATGCATTTCACCACATCCTGACATGTTGCAAGTGCACCATCCATGGTCAGGCTAATCCCCACTGCCTTTAAATTACTGTCCACAGAATCAGATTGCTCAGTAGCAGCCTGCAACCTCTGCATTGTTGCATCCAATGAAGGTTTCTCCTGCTCCCAGTCTGCCTCATGTTTCTGCTTGCTCAGGTCTTGGTTTGCCAGCACAGTTTGGATCTCAGTCTTGACTTCTCTCACTGTGGTCAGGAAGTGATCCAGAGCACAAACAGTTGACTGAACTTTCTCCAGTTGCTGTCTGAGCTGCTTGAAATGATGGATGCTAATGTGGAGGCCCCTGCAGAGGGATGAGGCGGATGTGGCTTCTGGCCCCTGACTTTCCTCTTTGGTGCTTTTTTCTGTTAGCATCCTCATTCCAGCCTGCAGCCTGTTGTCCATCTCCTATTCAAGAGACCAGGGATTCAAAATAATATTATACTCTTCATATCATAAGCACTAATTGTTTGAGCACATGGTTTTAAACCTATACCTTTAAATCATGTAATATTGTTGAATCAGCCAAAGTCAGAGAACAGATATCCACAGGCTGTCCGGTTATCTGGTTAAGTTGTTGTGTGATCAGCGTCTTCTGGTCATCTGCAGACTTCATCAGGTCAGCAATGTTCTCCAGAGATGCCATTCTGACCCAAACACAAAGCAGAAGCAAAACTGAAAAATTTTGCCCTTTGTGAAATAGTCCAAGGAATTTGTGATAGTGGTTGTGGTACTAGGTAGTATAGCCACTGTGTTTGCACTAACTTGCCATTAGGGCTACCTTAACTCATTCACTGCCAGCCATTTTCAAATGGCTGTCAGTGAAACACAACAAGACTTGCACCACATTTTTGTCTCACTGCGCAATCCCTTACGTGCGCAAACCCTGCACCTCCTTGCAGGTCTACTTTTACTGCTGGTGGGCTTCAGTTCAACTTACGTTGACTGCCATTGGCGTCTATAGACGTCAATGGCAGTCAACGTAAGATTTTCAATTGACGTCTATAGACGTCAATGGCAGTGAATGAGTTAAGAACGTTGTGTCAAACATGCTAATACTGCTGTAAATCTGTTAGCATTTAACAGTCTTTCAACAAGAACGCTGTAAACACTGAACAAACTAAACTAAATGGAGCAACTTATCACTAACTGCATACTTCCACAAACAAACCATATGTCCCACAGACCATATGTCAGTTCATGCAGCCTAGTAGAGTGCATGCACATATAAACACATGCATATAATATCTGTTTTCATGTAGTAGTTGCTTTATATCTCTTTAGCTTCAACATTAACACCCGATTTCTGCATATGCTCTGTGTTGTTACTGTAAAATAAACTTAAAGTAAGTCTTTAAATGGGCAAGAAAGTAGCTACTTTAATTTAAAATTGTCTAATATTTGCAAGGAAAGCACTAACTGTATGAAACGCACATTAAAATTGCTAATTTTTTTATTTAAGAGGGTAGCTGCACCTGGTCTGTAGGCACACTTGTTGTTCTCTCCACTGCTGATTCAGATACCCCTGCTCTCGTTCCACTTCACTCCAACCCTCCTCCCTGGTCATCGGCTGGGCAAACTGGGAAAACTGGGTATACTGGAGCTCAACATCAAACCAAAGTGCTTCTGTCTCTTCTTTCAAGGTCTGTTGAGGTGAAACATGTTTATGAAACAATCACAGCAATAATATTTTAAGTCAAAAGTTAGAGCTTACAAATAAATTCATGCTTAACAATTGTAAAAACATTCTAGTATGTAGAAGACCACAGTTAAGACATAATAATGAACACATATGTAAGAGTAGGACTTTAAAATGAGAATTCTGGTAAAAGTAAGTGCTCAAACTTGCCTGTAGATGCTTCTTTTGGTTCTGCAGGGCAAGGATAGAGACTGGATCTGGGATAAATGACTCCAAAAGTAGCTTGTTCTCCTGAAGCTGAGATTTAAATGCTGAGCAGAGCTTTCTATAACTTGAGAGAGATTTACACATTGTTTCATTACTAAAATTTCTGAGACTGACTGGGAAGTAAATATGATGCAAAATCAGTGACGTCTAGTAAATCTTACTAGCATATTAGTATTTTACAAGCTGTCAGTTCTAAAAACAACACCAATGTGTAATAAAGTGGGATAGTGACGCATACCTCTCCTGCACTTCCTGTTCAGAGGGATGTTCTTTTTGAGATGGAGCAGCTGGCTCTGGGATGATGGTCCACTGTGCTTCCTGCTTGGTCTCCACCGTGTTGCTCCTAACAACTGCCTGCGAGGTGAGAGAGTTGCATAGTAACAGTCCAGTAAAGAAAAGAGGAAAAGATGGAGCAGTGAGCCTATCCAATTACCAAGGATTAGCACTCTGCAGCCGGTGCTTTTCCTTGTCCAGCCAATAAAACTGCTGAATTGGTTTCTGGCTAGGAAGGTTTCTTTAAATGAACAAAGTAAATGACATTTAATAGAGTTATTAATGTTTTACCTCTGTAGTCTGCTGCATTTTTTATGAACTGTCAGATATTCAAATATTAATGTCTGCAAGCTCTTCCAGAATGAAACTGTTCATTTATAGTGCCTACTGTAATTTAGAGCAATTTTGTGACTGTAAAATATAATTTTGTAATCTAGGTTCATAGTCCTGGAGCTGGGATTGGTATACAATAGATTTTCTAATACAGTACTATTAGCTGCATAAACATTTTGTCACTATGAAATATAGCATTATATACAAAGATTCTCTTTCTTGGTGTTTTCAAATTATGAAAAATCATGCAGAAAAGAATACACCAGCTGAGTCTGAGTCATGGTGGCACACTGCTAGCACTGTCCACATTCAAAAACACTGGACACCACATCACAGTTTCTTCTTAGTCAGAGTCTGGACAAAACACAGAATGACTGAAATACCCATCCATCCTTTTTCTCTTGCTGTTCTGGATCATGTTCATGTACTATGGCTTTTTCTCTAATTCTTTGTATAACAGAGTCCCAAATTTGGGAGGTTTGTGGTTGTAAATCGTGTAGAATATTAGAATTAGTTATAAAATCGCAATTCAAAGCTAGCGGCTGATCAAATAAAAGGAGATAGTCATCATTTAAAATACAGTCTTGCTATTGCTATGACAAAAGATATCTGTACACAAAAAGTAGTCATAGATTTGCAGTGTTGTTTCATTCCTGCTGTCTAATCCATAGACCCACCACCAAGTCTGGCCAATTTTCACATCTTTCAGTTCAGATTCCACTCTGATTAGCATCCTAAACAAAACTTTTGAATAAATATTTTAATAACAAATCTAATTTTCTTGCAATTCAACATTTATCTTTGTGTTCCTAGATTTAATTTTTGAATTTAAATATCTTGACTTGATTGCATAAAAAAAACAATAACTCCATATTACTAGTTTTATTCTCAGAGCTCACAAAGTACCAAAACATAGAATTGAGAAACTGAAGAAAAACAAAATTGAAGCAGATCAGTGATGTAATCTGAGCATACCTGTGCATGAGTTTGGATTTGCTGACTGCTCTCTGCGTAGTGCAGTAGATGGGCTTTCAGCAGCTGCTCTTTGGCTCGAAGTGAAGGCTTTGGATTTTGTTCTGACCTGCCGTCTCTGTTTTTTGTCAGGTGGACCTCACTCTCTGTTGGGACTTCCTGAACTTTCAGTTTGAGGATATCACCATGAGGCTGCACTGACACAACATGAGAAACGGGCGCGAGGTCTTCATGTGGGCTGTCATCGCTTTGTTTCTGTGGGAGATTGTTGCTCGGCTGTGTGTTGGCCGACACGTCAGTCGCGCTCAGTGGGGCGTCTCCCCCAGGCTGCCGTCCCCTGCTGAGATAAGAAATGTTTATCGGGGGGATGTCAGGGGCAGCCAGTTCGAACCGCTCATTCAAACAGACATCTGATTAAGATTAATAGACCGGAAGGATTACAGAGTGACAATTGTAAATAAGAAACGGTCTTCTTCAAGTAAATCGCTTTGAATTCAAGTCACAATTCTAATAACTTGAAAAATGATTTAAGGGTAAGTTCAAACGCAACAAGATTCTAATCAAGTTCTGTCTAATTTAGGCAAATAGAGTTTTCACAATCTAAATTAGACCTTCTTCCTGCAATTTTAACTTCCTTTTGAGTCTGAGCTTCCTTTGTGAAACCCAGAGGAATTTCATCAGTGTTGCCCGTGTCTAACTTTCAGCAAACTTACAAAGAAAACTACCAAGCCGATAGGCATGAACATTGTTGGAGAAATGGCACCACTTTCTTTGAAACTGCAAAATAGGGCCTCGCCTTTGTAGTTTTCAAATCAAACAGAGCATCAAACTGAAAATTATTTCTAGATGTAGGAAATAAAAGTCTGACAATAATGATTAAAACAGTTTCCATTAAAGAAAAAGGCAAATCTAACAAAAGGTCACATTGAAGAACATTTCTGATTTCTGTTTCTTTCTTAACGTTAGCGTTTTCAGACCTGTTAGCTGGGACTGCAGCATCCCTTGGTTGTGTTTCCTCTACTTCATCTGACTCGCTCAGCTGGTCTGTAGCGAGGCAGGAGGATTTCTTTGGCGTCAGTGTTTCGCACAGCTCTCTGAGGGATTCAACACGTTCCTCAATAGATGCGGCTCCCTCAGTGACAGCCTGGGAGAAATATGAGCTCCTGAGAAGCTGAAGGCAAATCTTTCTTTCTACAGTAATTTGACCATCTGCCAGGCAGATACAAACACAGCACAGTCCCATGTTAATACTATGTTAGAGACAAGTACCTGCTGCTGCTGCAAAGAATCATCGTCAGTCTGGTCAGTGTGGACAGTGTTAGTATGCGTTTCACACTGCACGACAGAAAATGACTGCTTCCCTTCTCTGATCTTTGACCACAAGATCGGAATAAAAGCAGCCATTTCTCTGCGTGCATCCTGTGCATGACAAAAGCAAGCAGAAAAAATTTTAACCAAAGTTTTTAGGAAAAAAATAGAATATATCAAATTTATCAGATTAATTTGTGAAGACGCTCACACACAAAAAGATTCTTGAAAAGTCCAAAACAAATCCTGTATGACTGGATCGTATTTGACCTATTATTACGTGTTATTTTCCACTATATAAAAACATTCACTGTTTTATGCCTATGACCAAAAAGCAAACCAAAAGAATATCACAGAATGACTTCATTATAACTGAGATGTAGTCTGTTTCTTTTAACACTAGAATAAATATAATCCCCTTTTAGGTAGTGATACTGATTATAATGCAAAGTAAGAAAGATCTACATGTGCTTGTGAATGATTTAGGTATTTGGTTCAGGTCTTTACATTAGATTTAACTCTGAATAAAAATGACTGGATCAGTCAGTCAATTACAGACTATGTGTGCAGTTCCTGTCATACCTCCCACTGATTTCTCACTGAGTCAGAGAGGAGCATCAAGTCCTGGAGCTGGGATCCAGAGCAGAAAGCCCCAAAACCTTCCACTGCACAAAGGAACTCTTCGAGCATGGCAGGCTGCAGAATTTTTAAAGCTTTCTGCACAGAAAGACATATAGCTGTAAAGAGATGCACAAACGATACTGGTAGCAACACAAATCAAAATACCAGAGACCTTGAAAGAAAGTGTTTGAATTATGAATATTCAGGCACGTTTCAAGGCCTTGGTGTTTCAGCACTGAAAGCATCTAAATTATATTAAAGCCTCTGTTTTAAACATTTAATAAGCAACAATTGGGTGGATTTCTGCCTTTAAACTCACCTTGAAATGTTGTCAAAGTAATAAACCGAGAAAATAATAAGCAAATCAGCTGTGTGATCACTAGTAATTCAATTACATTTGTTGATTTGAGTCAAAAAACTGAAGTGACAGTTGAAAACATCTGTTAAAGATAGTGACGGCCTTCTTAATTTGTTCTGTGATGTTTGGTAGCGTACCTGTTTCTTCTTGGCTTCCGACTCTGAAATCTCTTTGCCACCAAATAACTTCATCGCTTGCTGGATGCGTCCCTGCAGACGAAACCGGGCCTTCTCCAGCCTGCTTCTCGCCATTGACTGGGCTTTTGAATGGACTTCCCTGTGGACCATAACTGGTGGTTGTGGAGGTTTACTGCTCTGTATAGAGCTCGGTCCTGTGTTCTTGTGCTTGGTTTGAAATTGGCAAGGTAAACTTCCTCCATATTTAGCGGGAACTGGACTCTCTGAAAACTTTCCCTTAATAGAAGTTTGAGTCGTAGCAGGTAGCGGCTGATCATTTTCACTGAAACTTGAAGCTAGGGGATGTGATTTAGAAAATGACTGTGGCTGGATCAAAAGCTTAGATTCAGCTTCTTTTGCAGATTGAAGAAAATGAGATTGAATATAAGTTACAGGTGGGTAACTGGTGACTATTTTGGGTGTAATAATATCTTTTTCATCATGTAATTTTCCCTGGAGATCTCTTGTCCTTTGTTGAGGAGTGGAAGCTGAAAGCTGATTTGAGTGCTGAGATTGGAGCATGATGTTCCCAATGTTCTCTACATGTTTGCTTCTGGCCACAACTAATAACCCAATCTCAGGCTGTTTCTTTGTCCGAAAGATTGTTTCAACGGCTGGTTGATTCTTAGGAAATTCACCAACTTCCTGCTTATACCCAAGAGAACTAAACATCCCCAGAATGTCCTAAAAAATGCAAAGCATACAAATGAATAAAAGGGACTATTATGGGACTGAAAAAAAGTTATTACATCTATTGTTTTACTTTACCTGGCAGTAGGGGACTGCTTCTGTGACCCTGTCCTTCAGGCTAGAGGTGCTGAGGTGCTGCAGAGGAGAGGTTTTCTGTAGTATTGCAACAAGGCCTTGAAGATCCTGTTCCTCGGTTTTAACCTGGTTTGCCAGCTGGAAGCCTCGAGAGATTAGCCCCTGGAAGTGTTAAAGTGTGTATTGAATTTAACAGCTTCATATATGCTTTATATTTTCCCTCTCTAACAAAACGCCTAATTAGAAACAACATGAAGCTTTGGTTTGCTGACTTTTGCTGTAGGCTCCATTGTAGGGTGTCCTCTGTGACTTTTTTCCTTTAGGTGATTGTAACAGTCCATCGCATCAGTGCTCCAATGATCCAGCTCAGCCAGACCACCTTCCAGCCTGGATGCAGCCTGCTGCAGCTCCCCACAGGCCCCCTCTGCTTCAACAAGCATCTACAGTACAAATAAACAGTCAGACTGTTCTTTGTTTGCTATAATTCAACATAGGAGAACTGGACTCTAGTAAATTTGCACAATGTTTGCCTGTGCGCTGATTTAATATTCTAGGAATATTAAAGAGAATTTCCCTGCATCTCAGTGAGCATCCTACCTGTGGGAGAGTTTTCTGGATCTTTTCAAAGTAGCTTGTTTGAAAGTCGGGAGAAGAGCTAAGAGATGACACGTTCACTTCTGCCATCTTTTTACTCAGTAACTGAAATATTATAAAGTATGAGACAGTAGCTCAAATAACAAAAAGATTTGTTTGTTTATTTATTATTTACTGATCAATTCAGCCTTTTGAAATTTTACTAACCTGTAATTTCTGTCTGATAGCCTTTAGTGGCACTGAGGCCACCTCAAGTGGCTGTCTGAGGAGCAGGCTGGCCTCCTGGGTCATTGAATGCACCATTTGAAGACATGATGCACCACTACAGGGCTCTGATGATACCTCCTAAAAGACAAAATCTTTATGTCTAACACGCTCCTTTATTTTTAATGTCTCCTTATGTCAAATACAAAATAACAAACAGAACTAGACCTGCATAAAAGACATATTGTTAATAGATGAATACTTACAAACATAGCCTTCTTCATGTATTCAGCCCACTGAATGTTGACTTTGCTCAACTGTTCGACCAGACTGAGACTGACTGACGTTTCCGTCACTTCTATGAGATAGTTCCCTGCCTCATTTAATTGAGCTTGACGTGAAGTCCACTCACTAACATCCTACAGTATCCAAGTATTTTAAAAAGCAAAGAAAAACCAGCAACAATGAGGATATTTTGAAATCATTTTTTTAAATGATGATGATAGGAGAAGAAAGGAGATTTTTAAGTTACACAACAGTTACTACAGGACAAACAGGGTAAAGTTACCTGTGTTGCAGCTGGGGACTGAATTCGTTTCTCCTGCGCCAGCCACGCCTGTAGAGAAGCAAGGTTTTTGTTGTACGTCTCCCATGCACACAAAACTCTCTCCATGGTACCCCTAGTAGCAGTCACAGCCTGTTTGACCATTTCAACTTCACTCTCTGCTTCCTTCACCTGACGAGTAACAAGCTGGAAATTTTCGCCTGGGGTGTGAAAAGTGTGTGAAAGTCAAATCTCGTCTTAAAAAAAACCCTAATTACTTGATTACATTTCTATTGAGTTCATGACAATATGATTTTATGTTTACTCCATACTTAGCGCTGCTTTGCTGGTATAAACATTCGCCTTCTCCTTCAGGGTGTGCAGAGCGCTTGTCAGAGTGAAAAGCAGGTCTTGATGCTCAATTGTTTCCTAGAAAACAAATCACAGAAAATAATAATTTTTTGTTTCCTTTTTGTCTTTCAGGAAGAATTTGATCCCAAATGACTCACTGGATATATCCTATTTAAATTGTAAGGGCCTGGCCTTGAAGTAACATGTAATAGAATATATGCCATTCACTGTTAGTCATCAGTGGAATTAGTAATAGAAGCTTTTACATATTACTCTCTCAGATATACACTCACATGCCAGTCCTGCAGAAGAACATGTGTGGTCTCCTGAGACCTGTAGGGTGTTTTCCAGGACTGGACCTTGGCACCGATCTGGCTCAGGAGGTCCAGGATGGTGTGACGGGACTCCTGGTATTCCAGCTTGATCCCTCGATACTTGGTTGAGACCCGAATGCTGGTTAAACTGTTTGAAAATTAAGATGCAAACAAACTGCTTTTTTCTTTTCAAACACAAGACTTGGAGATTTGTGCCTTTAAACCTGCATATAGTGATAAAAAAATCATAATACATTCAATAATTATAGGATTTTAACAATTGGGTCACATACCGTTTTCTTATCTCATCAAACTTTTCAAGGGGGACCACTATGTTCCCCGAGTCGTCCATGTTGTGATAAGTCTCAAGAATATTGACATAATGGCCCATTTCTTTATTTATATTCTGAAAAGTGAAAAAACACAGTAAACAAGATTTTTAAGCTTTAATCTGAATAATGTTGCTCTTCAGAGTTTCAGGACACTGTTATCAAGTTTTGTCACAAGATCACATTTTCTTTCTTTGTATGTAGCTTCAACACAAATGAACCTTTAGGCTATCCTGCTGAGCTCTTGCTTCTTTAGCGGCATCTGAATGGTCTTTCACTTTCCCTGCGTCTTCTGCAAGCCCTGCCTCTGCACGCTGCAGCCATGCAACAACAGAGTCCAGAGGAGGAGGAAGACTCAGGTCCAAGTCTGCTTTACACCTCTGCAGCTGCAGAACGACACACATATACAAACAACTTGATATGAGCAATCTGCTTCACTAAAACGAGCAGTTTTCTATACTGACGACTTTCCGTAAATATTAAAATAATGTGGCGTTATTGTTACGTGACTCTTCACTGTTCCTGTTAATGCTACAGTGTAAAATCACTGACAGTTGTTGTTTGATGGAAAGAGATGCTATAGCATGAGTGAGTTCATGTGCGGGGTTATTGACCCCGTGAAGCATAATGTAGTACAGCAAAACTGTTCAATAAAAAGCCCCTTTCTGCTTGGGGTAGAACAGCAGGCTCAACCTCTGTTGTAAAGATTCCTCAGCTCACCACAATATTTTAAAATAATGTCCCCACAAATGTCCCCAACAGCTTAACAAAAAAATACCAAGGTTAAAAACTAAAACCCTGAATGTAACCTTGCTTCTTATTATGCAAAAATACATTTCCTGACCTCTTCCTCCAGTTGATCCCACGCTGTCCTGAGAAAACACTGCTGCTGACTCAGCTCAGGGCGGCGTCTTAGGGCAGCCAGGAGGGTCATCACTGGTCTCCGTTGCTCAGTGAAAGAGCCACCGAGGCTCTGAAGCACCTGATAAATCAAACATGATAACTCCTTAACCTTACAACCTACACACGCTGAACATGTAATTTAATCCTTAATACTGCATTACCTGATATTTTTCAGCATAACTTGAGTTCTCTGCAGCCTTCCATGAATCTGACAGTTCCTGATAGGCTTGTTCCAGCCAGCATGTCACTTGCTGTGCTCGTTCACTTGGAGAAACCTAAATTTTCATAACCAAAGCTGTCAGTAACGACCATTGCAGTGTTAGAATAAGTTGTCAGGGCCACGCGATCAAGCAGTTCATGCCATTACACGAGACTTAGACAGTTATGAACATTAATAAGTACCATTATTTAATAGAGAAAAGAAAGACTTCCGTAACAAAAGTGACAGAGTGTTAAAGGATTCATTGTGTACCTCGTGTACTGGTGAGACAGCAATTGCTGGAGTAAAGTGTGCAGGCAGAGTCTCAGGTGAGCAAAAGGAGGGCTGGGCCAAAGGGAACAGCTATAGCACCACCACCAGATCAAACCATGAAAAACAGTATTGAAAGGAGGAGGACAGAAAGATGGTTGACCACCCTTACATTCATGAAGGTTCTTGTAGAAGACCAAAAGACAGCAGGATGTGCTGAAAAAATGAGAAATGTGATCTCATCGCTAACCTGGAGGTGGTCATCAGGTGCTGGCATGTCGCTGGAGTATTGCAGAAATTGGGCCACATAGGTCATGATAGACTTTTCATCAGGACTGCTAACATCAACATCTGAGGTGAAAGGCAATGAGAACAATTTGATTCAAAATTCTCCCATTAGTTTGCTTTTGTTTTCTTTTTTGTATAATACTCAAGTTTTCAAGTTTGCCTATTGCAGAATCAAAGCTTAGTTTGGGGGGGGGGGGTTGTTTTGTTTTTTTTAATCAATCTAAACCTTTTGGAGTCATTCCTGAGAAAAGGTCATCATATTATCCAGAATTACAACAAATATCACTGTGAAATGCCCCCTAACATTTTATCAGACTCACCCTGAGGTTCCAGCAGGCGGGGTATATGCAGCTCTTGCTCAGCAAGGTGAAATGCTTCTTCCAGGTTCTCCTGGTTGCTTCTGGATTGGACCAGTGAGAGATCAACCAACTGAGGCCTGAGAGAAGACAGGATGGCCAGGAAGACCTCTCCACTTCTCCAGCTTGACTTAAAGTCCTTCACATTAACAGAGCAATGAACTCTAGAAAGAGGAAGACAAGGTCCACAACCTTTAGATGACTAACGCATTGATCACTTAGATGGATCGCACTGAGAAGATTAAAAAATGACAAAAAAGAATATTATTAATCATTAAAAACTCAAGATACCAGTGTAAAAAAAATGGTTACAGCATAAACATTGTAAATATTAAAATTTATACAATATAAAGAAAAACCCTCACTTTTTGCATTGGTCCCTGACCCACATGAGCAGGGCCTTCTTGGCAGATACACGGAAACGTCTGTGGAGCGGTGATGTCCGACCTGCGGGGACTGGACTAGCTGGAACAGGGCTGCCGGACCAGGAGTCCAGGCTGGAGAGAGAGTCGAGGGAGGAATGACGCGAGCTAAAGGAGAGCGCACTGGCCAGCTCCTCAATCTAAAACAAACAGAGATGGTAAACATATTGTGCATTAACTGATCAATACCTTCATAAAGTTAAACTTAGAATCAGTGCAAGGATTTTTAAACAACTGTGATAAATCTTAACATGTTTTGTTAAGATGTCCTGCCATTAGTATCTGAGTAATGCTTCATTCCACTGTACTCACGTGACAGTGGAGTATGACGGTCCATACGAGGCCTAGGATGATGGACGGCCGCCCATCTATGATATCTGGGATGTTAATGTTCACCAGTTTGACCTGAAGCACACCGAACAACAGCGGCAAAAGCATTAAACACACTACAGACACACATATATTATATTGTAATGTTTTTCAGTGTGCAAACGTACATTTTTTTTCTTGAGAAATTTTAATGCCGTCTCAATATTGGCCCTCTGCTGGAAAACCCCACGACCTTTTTGTCTTTTCTATAATGACAGTGGCAGACAATTCTCAATATCAGTTATGCCATTTTATCTTCCCAATAGTTGTCTTCACATAAGGAGAAAATTAGAATTTATTCATTTCACTGATGTTAAAACTCACCATCATCTGGCCACTCATCACCTCCAGCAGGTCGAGCAGCTTTGACCCATCTCTGAGATCACAAAATAGGTCTGACACAAATGAGGGCGGGCTTCCCTGTAGCAATGCACAAAATATAGTTTTACTGATTTTATCTGCACAATGTAGCAAAGTAAACAAGCAGGTGTGTTTGTATAAAAGCTATTTCCTGTTTTTAGAACCACAGAAATACGCAGTGAGTTTAAGCTGACAGTGACACCTAAAGTTGAATTACGTATATTATTTTATATAATTTTGCAATTATAATAAAATCTTTGATCTAAACAACTCTTGGTCACACTGGGTGTTAAACTGAATGATAATTATAGAAAAGAGAATTTTTTTAGTGCTTCCATGTGTCAAAGAAGCTGATGAAAATATCATTTCTGACCTTAACTGACATCAAGTGCAGCAGGAAGCACAAAGGTTAATAGAAGTTGTCTTCTTCATTGGGCAATGTCCAAAGTGTGTATGCCACTTTTTATTGCACAGTAACTTGAAAATTTACATGCTACACACAAAATATACAGCACGAACCAAGCTGATCCACATTTTAATGTTTTGAAGCTGCAATGCGTTTATATAAAAGCATTTTCTTGTTCACAGTGGCAAACACTGACCTCTACGTATAAAGGAAGTACCTCGGGTTTGCTAGTTTTGATTTCGGCTTGGAGCACAGTCATGTGGACATGAGCTGCCTCGGTTCATGTTACATGTTGTTCAGCTCTACTGAGCACTATTTATACCCCAGACTGGTGTCAGCAGCTCAAGGTCTCTTTCCCATGAGATCCATGAGTTGCTTCCCTGCTCTCACCAGTGAGTCAGCATGTTACGCTCTCCAGCTAACATGCAGCTAACCTTTCAACCACAGCATGAAGTCATGTTAATCTGTATTGCTGATAAAGCATCTGCAACATTTACTTTTTGACTGTTTATGTCGCATAAAAAAGTGCATTGAGGACAAGCAATGCAATTTGCTGTTTTCTTTGTACATGTATTATGCAGATGGCATGCCTAGAAGTATATATACCATTTTCACCAATTTCCTAACTACTATAGTCTTTAAACATCCATATTCCCAACCAAACTGTTAATAAAGCACCAGGAATTACTTTAAAAGCAAGGATTTGTCAGTTATTTGGCACTACCTCAAGCATAAAATATCTCAAATTTGAATTTACAGCTGCATAGTCTTCCTGCAGTTTGCCATTCCCTTTGCTAAACAAATAAATATAGTTAAATTCATTGTGCACCTTACACAGATATAACACCTTAACATACCTTAGCAAGTTGAGCATTTATCCAGTTGGTGAATGTCCTTTTCTGAATCTGTTCATGCTCCACTGTTAGGGAAATATAGATAGAAATTGTTGATAGAATGTATAGATTTCTTTGATTAGAACAGTACTTAAGTATTAGACACTAAAAAGAGATACTGTTATGCTAAAGAGAAATGAAAACACAGTCAAGCTGGCTGATTTATGCAAAAGCTTCACTCAAACGCAGCAAAAGCCTCAAAAGTGTCTAGTTCTGTTCTTGTCTCTAGGTCTGTGTGAGCCATCAGTTTTAACACCTAATGCACTAAATGCACAATATCAACAAATACATTACGGCGTATTCCCCAAAGCACCATTATTATTATTCCTTTACTGTCCATATCAGGATCATGCTGATGTAACGTCCATAACAAAGCTGTAGTTTATAACTGCAAAGGGACCTTTGTTGTGAGTTACAATCACGAGGAGGTCATAAACTACTCACCGACATCAGAAAAAGAGAAACATTTTTGACCCTCCATTCTTATAATGAATAATTAACAAACCCATGAATAATGATTTTAGGTGTCCACAACATAAAGCTTCTGCCTTGGCCACCGGATAATCCTGGTGTCAAAAGCTTCTTCTTTAAGCTAAAGACATGCTAAATGCTAGGATCTCCCTAACAGATGGGACAGCTTCCAAGTCACAGTCATAGATACTGGGGCATGCGCACACACACACGCAGAGCAAATATACACACAGGAACATTCACAGTAACAACAAATGCCCAGACTGACACATGTACGCACACACAGAGTGAGATATTTTGGATCAAATGATGCTTGATGCGCACAAGAACACATCCTAAACTCCCACTGCCAAACCTTTGCACTTTTTACTGTAAATAACATCAGACTGCTTTCCTACAGTAATCAGAAAATGAAGAAAAGCATGAAATTATCAGGGAGTAGTTGCCTGTTTCCATCTCAAGTCTAACCACAATAAGTTACATAACAGTCAACGAGACCCGAAAGCAAGCTGTTGACAGTAGCCTTAAGGAAATATAATATATTGATATTTTGTCTGACAGAAACAAAAAAGCCCACAGACACTTGTTTTGGACTCGTTTCCTGGTATCAATTTTGACCAAGAATCTGAGCAACTAATGCTTCTGTTTGTTTAAGAGCTTGCCAAAACAGGCCACTCCCGAGCATTTGAAACACTGAACTCCACCCACCTCACCTGGCATTGGCGGCATAAAGGCGTCACCACATTAACGCCTGAAGCCCTCATTGGATTTTTTTCCTTTTTTAAATCCCTGGATTTAGTTGGTTACAGCTCTGGAACTCTAAGGCCTAAATGAACCACCTTGGACTCTACAGAAAGCGAAACTTGCGAGAATTTTAAAATACAGTAATTCCCCTGTATGTAATTTTCTTATCACAAGACAACAGTGAGGTTTTCACTTTCACCAAATCAAAACTTCCTGTTCTCAGTTCATTTTTGAGTAGGCATTAGCTAAATATGCTTTTCCAGGTCAAATCACAGTGATTGAGGCAAATGTTTACAAGTGATTCTGAGTTTAAGGCGTGGGCATATGAGCAGCACTGATTACATCACAACTAATTTGGTATAATATGCGGTTTACACATGTAGAAACTTGAGGTTTCCATTGCACATACATAGGAAATGGGAGAAATCTTGTATCCAGTAGTTAAACTTCGAATCTGAAAACAATACTTGCTTATTTATAGATGTTTTGATCAGATTAATGAATGGAGTCATATTAGTTTTTTCTTCAACTGAGACACAATTACAAAGACTAAGCGATCCTGACGTAGACCCTGATGAAGAGTCTTGTTTTTCAATTGTTGCCAGTCTACTCATAGAATAACTTTAACTACAATTTTACTTGAAAACAGAACTGGTTTCTGCAGTTATACCCCTTGTGGGATCAGCTATCAAGGCCATGCAACCTTTGGTAAATGATGTGTAAGATTTTGGTGATATTTTTAGTATCAATGCTGAGTGACTCTATGATGTACTATTTGCCATGATGCTCACACACTGCTTATATGCGTGTTTTGGTACATAGCTGATATCAAATATTCCTAGATGCAAATAAATGGAGACAAAACAGATAAGAAAAAAAGCATAGTGTTTCTTCCTTTTTAAAATGGGCATGAGTCACATACACATAATTTATTTGGGAAATTAAAACAGAGTCAATAATAATTGGAGTTCTCTTGATAAAAGGTGAAGTTTAATGCAGACTTGATGGTGTGGATCAAATGAAGCCGAGCAGATAGATTGCTTTTATTGAAAGGTTATTTGTCATGAATCTTCAAAGTAAAAGACTAAGACGCAGATTATCTTCTGAACTGGGGTAGTGAAAGTGCTGTGGTCTGCGTGTGTTTTATTATACAGCTTTAAAAAAAATACGCCTACACTAGAAAAACGTGAGCACAACATTAAACACTTTCTAAGCACGATTCAGTCTTCGGGCTGGAGTTGTGCTTTTCACACTTTCACTTTCATTACACTTTTAGAACTGGAATGCTAACTTCACAAGTAACTGTGATGGAAAATAAAGTGAAGCAGAATTTTTTTATCTATGCAATTTTGTAATGTTTCTCCAAAATTATTGGTCTTTAATGAGTAGCTGATCTCAGAGAGTTGCTCACCACCACAGTGACTCCCTGCGACAGCACATCACATGTCACAACATCTATGTAAGTGCAAAAATAGCCTGACCTTGGAGAAGCATGTGCACATTGTCGATGTCCAGTGGAATCCCTCCATCGCCTTCTTCTGCTTCACCTGAAGCCATGCAGTCTCCGCAGCAGAGCCCAGAATTGACTTCAGGAAAGTCTAGGAGAAAAATATTAGTAAATCATCTGCTCGGGGGGAAGACCGCAACACTGAGGTTTTTCTTCTAAAACATTTTTCTACTCACTGGTTAGTCATGTTAGGAACACACCTATCCACACCCTTGCTTTTCTGCAGGCAGACAGGCTCAGGCACACACTCTCTGAGCTGAAAAAAGTAAAAACTCTGGCGTCCATAATGAGCTACCAACACACTGCCATAGTGTGGACATACAAAAATAGATGACCTGGTCACAAATCTTTAACATACCTGTAAGCAGGGCTGTAGTCACTGCAGACAGCTACTGCAGGGCATGGCAGTGAAGAACCCAGATGAGAGTTAAGAGTGTACAATAAATCTCCTCAGCTGTGTCCTTTGAATATGGCAAAACAGTGTTGAGTGTCTTCAAATAGGATATGGCCTTTAGTGCTCATAAATGAAACAAGGTGCTTTGCTTGTTGGTGGGAGAGAACAGCAAAGAGTGGAAAGTCCCGCCCTGTCTGGCTGTATAAGCAAATCATTTACGCAGACTCTCAGACAAACCCAGCAGCCTTTGGCTACAAAACAATCAAACACTGTAAAATCGTAAGGTGAGCTTCTTTAGTGTTCAGCTCTATTTATTAAAGCAAATAATTGTATTTCAGGAATCAAAAGTGCTTCTACTTAAATATTTTTTATAGGACAGCTGGGAATCACTAGGAAAGTAGTGTCATTCCAACAGTGAGCAGTGAATAATCTTTCTCATCAGGTTTCATATTGAGTGTAAAACACATGGATGACCGGGAGAAGCACAGTTACAAAATTTCTGACCTGAAAAGAATAATCACCATATCGTGAGCTAAAATATCTCATTGCTTGTTATTTACTTGTCTCACCTAAAGAGAAGGTAGGAGTTTTGAATGGGAGAACATGATACACAATGCCATTTTTACCCTTGAGAGAGGTGCCAGTGTTTTATTTGTTATTTCACTATGGTGAGCAGTGGAAAGTCTTTGTGCCCCGGCAGCTGCACCCTTACCTCAAATTCCCACCTGTTATGGCTGTGGCAGAAAAAGGTAATGTTTGAAAGCGGAGCAGGCTTTAAGGTTTATCTGCTATTCTTTAGCTAAACGCAGACAAGGTACACTTTGAGAGTTAAAATTTAAAGTTAGGAAGTTAGTCTTCCAGCTCAGTACGCTGACTTTTAACACTTATAAGTTGCTGTCTACTTAAACCCATGGGTTGTCAAGAACTCAAACGCAAAGAAACCGAGCCAACTGTTAGCATTTGATCTTATCTTAAAACATACTTCTGGCTTACCAAGCAATAATCAACTGATTATGAATATTCAATTCAGTTCAATTCCATTCTGTTTTATTTAGACAGCACCAAATCACAACAACAGTTGCCTCAAGGCACTTTATAATGTAAGGTAGACCCTACAATAATACATACAGAGAGACACCCAACAATCATATGATCCCCTATGAGCAAGTACTTTGGCGACAGTGGGAAGGAAAAACTCCCTTTTAACAGGAAGAAACCTGCGGCAGAACCAGGCTCGGGGAGGGGCAGCCATCTGCTGCGACCAGTTGGGCTGAGAGAAGGAAGACAGGATAAAAGGCGTGCTGTGGAAGAAAGCTAGAGATTAATAACAAGTATGATTCAGTGCAGAGAGGTCTAATTACACATAGTGAGTGAGAAAGGTGACTGAAGAGGAAATAGTGAATGCAAGAAATAGTCAATATGAGGCTAGACTTGCAATTGCAATGCAAAAAGTACACTTTGCAGTCCATACCACTTATTTTAAATATTTAGTTACACATTACTGCAGACCTTAAAAAGATAAATCTACTAGAAAAAATATACAATAACATATAGATAAACTATTACTATAGATACTGTATAACTAGATATATATATTATAGATCTTTTACACGTCACAGTCTACCTGAGTATCAATGCTGACCATGTCCACCCCTTTATGATCACAGTGTACCCATGGCTGCTTTCAGCAGGAAAATGCACCGTGTCACAAAGCTTAGTTTGTCTCAAACTGGTCCCTCCATTCGGTGGCACTACGGAGCAAAAACGTACCGGAAGTACTACGCTGTTGAAAGTAGAAGAAGCTTTCCCCCACGACTTTGACGTTTAGCAGCAGCGCTGTCTTGACCTTCCTTCTGCAGCGTGACAAACTAAAATGTAAGGGTGGATTTCATTTTTATTTAGCAAGGTTACTTTAACGATAACATAACAACACTCAGTGCATCACGATAGGTATTTAAAATAAAGCTGGATGACTAACTGTGGACATGTATGCTGCCTTTCCAGGTGTTTCTTGCTAGCTAGCGTCTTGCTAAGGCTAGTTGGCGTTCTTTGTAGTTCTACAGAAAAGATGCTAATCTGTCCGTCACGGGCCGTTTTATTGAATGAAATAGTTAGCTTCTCGCGCTAAGCTGTTATTTATTTACGTGTAAACTTTCTCTTTTTTCTCGTATTAGCGACATGTATGTATTTATTATTACACGTAACGGGTAACTAAAAGCTTGCTAGCAGGCAGGTCGGTATCAGCAGGGACATTAACCCAACAAGTCAGTTAATCAGTAGTATAATAAAGTTTAGAAAAATGTTTCTTTAACGCATCTTTTCTTTGGTGGCCATAGTCATCAGATAGACCTCCGTGTTGAGGGTCAAGGTGTCACTCTGTGCGAATTAATTTCTGATTAACTGGCTTCTGAGAGTTAGCTATAGTCGAAATTGGTGCTGACTGAATGTTAGTTTAGTGTTCATGCAGCTTCGGGTTAGATATTCAGATTATGCAAGGTGGTTTTTTGTTTGTTTGTTTGTTTGTTTGTTTTTGTTTTTTGAGGATTTTAACAGAGGACCTGTAATTTCATACTTTGCTGCTGCTTCCTCCTTCAGATGGCTGGACGTGCGTTTGCAAGCTGGTGGTCCCTGATGAGCCCTTACTACACTAAGGCATACCAAGAGATGTGGGCTGGTGTTGGCATCATGACATACCTGTACTACAAAGTTTCCTATGGGGGTGAGTTCAAAACTTCATTATTATTATTATTTATAACATTATATTAGATGTGCAGATAAAATATGACATGCAAACTTAAAATGACCCTTTGAACCTGTATTGTAACTGCCTTTTTTTTTTTTAGTAAACAGACTGATTGAAACAACCTGTTAGGCATCAGTCTGCAGTTTCTATGCCAAAATCTTCAAATTAATATTTGCTTTTGTGTGATTTGTGAGGTGCTTTCATACAGTCTCTTAATTGCAATTTGTATTTTACTGCTATGTGAATGCTTTGGTCCTTTATTGAAAAGCTGTTAGTAAAAAATCATTAAAGTATTACTGACAATCTAGATGGGTTGTTTCATTGTATTTGTTAAACAAATCTTTTTGGTTTTCTGTCATCTCAGGCAAGAAGAAGGCTGTGAAGGACAGTAAGTACTAACTTATTTTACCAATACTATAATTCAAGTTCAAGAAATGTGACTTTAAGTGTGGTGACATAAGTTTGTCTGCAGTGCTGGGAGCTATACCAAATCGCCACTGAGCTTTGTAAGCACTATGTGGCATTTATTTTTATTCAGTAATGCTTAACAAGAATATTAAATGTATTGGCTATTTTAATTGCCAGATTATCTTGATATTTCCATCTTAAGACGCATAATACAACATAAAATATACCATGACAGTCTCTAAAAATCTTTGTGACAAAGATGAGTTATGGTAAATGGCCTGTATTTGTATAGCGTATTTGTATAAGGACCCCAAAGCGCTTTACACATCCACACATTCACACACACATTCACACACTGGTGATGGCAAGCTACGTTGTAGCCACAGCCACCCTGGGGCGCACTGACAGAGGCGAGGCTGCCGGACACTGGCGCCACCGGGCCCTCTGACCACCACCAGTAGGCAACGGGTGAAGTGTCTTGCCCAAGGACACAACAACCAAGACTGTCCAAGCCGGGGCTCGAACCGGCAACCTTCCAATTACAAGGCGAACTCACAACTCTTGAGCCACGATCGCCAACCCATTGTTAAATTCATTAAAATGAATATTCCCATTCACAGGCCACCATACATATATTTAAAATGAAGCTGTAAATTAGTTAATCTGGTTAGTTTGTGAAAAGCACACAATTACAGCTTTAACCAAGAACATCTGTACCATAAAGTGGTGCAAAAACGCAGATTCAGACTTACTCAGAATGAGCTGTATATAAGAAAATGGCTTAAAGTTGCTGTTAGTGACCACTGTCATATTTAGAATAGAGGAAATATTTGTGAATGTGTAAATGTAATGAAAAATCTGATTTAGACTTGATCTGAGATTCAGTGGTAGAGCAATGAACATGATCTGTACCACTCTGGAAAAAGTCAAGTTATTCTGTTAGATGGTGTGCTGTTGCATGTGTTTACCTCCAGATGTCACTAGCGGGTTACTTGGACAATCTTGTTATTTCTTGGTGATATTTGTTGCTGCAATATATTGACTGTAATCTCATCTTGCATGGTTGGACAGGACTTACTGACTTTTACTGATTAAACATTTTCCTCTCTTTATTTTTTTTCCCCCAGAGCCCCACCATTGAGCTTTCCACCATGCAGACCAACCCTCCACCTGTTGTGAAATAATACCCCCCAATCCAGAGGCTCAGCTTCATATTAGAATTTTTGTTAATATGGAACAAATAAAGTTGTTTTCCTCAACTTTGGTTAATTTGGCTTTCTCTCTCTATCTCTCTCTCTCTCTCTCTCTTTCTCTCTCTATCTCTCTCTCTCTCTCTCTTTTCATAAAGCAACAGCACTAGATTTTCTTTTTCCTGTGGTGACCGTAGACACACAAAGACTAACCAAAATAAGATCACAATCAAGAAGGGTATATAAATGATCCTTAAGCTCTTCTCTGAACAAAACCATGAGAAGACTTAAGTGTCTGCACTGTTTTTAAATAAAAAGGCCTCTTGATGATTACATTGAGGTCAATACATTCTTAAAAGTATACAAGTGGGACTAGTTTATTCACATTGTTGTTGATGCTTTGTAATACAAATATTGCAAGTCCACCAACTATATTGAGCTTGCATTGCTTTATGGTTAGACTCTAAATTCAAAATGAACTATGAACTGTCACATCCCAATTAAGGTTTTACATTATTTAGTCAGGCTTGTACTGTTTTGGACAGTTGTATCCTTTTGCACTTTAGTGTTTCCTTTTGGAAGGAGGAGGGGAAAAGCTGGGAATAAGTGAGCTATTTATAGCCAGTGAATCGCAGTTTGGGTTTGCATTTTAACTAACTGAATTGGGAATAAGTTGCAGCACTACTATATTTGGCAATGAGTGGGTGTTAAGAGTGGTCAGTCATTCTTGGAAACCAGGAATCTCGGTTTTTGATGTGCTGAGGTCACTTGATAAAGCTAAGAACTTACAATTGTATATCCAGCATTGGTTACATTATTCTTGTGAAGTCCACACTCATCTGTTCAGCTGCACAGTGAATTGTAGCATCATGACTGATGTGTTGACAAAAAATCAATAGGAAATAAATAGGTTTGTGTGTACAGTTATGTTCAGTGAACTGAATGAGTTGACTGGAGTCCTGCCTCGGGCCACAAATTAAGTGCTGTGTGAGGAAGTGTGGCGTCTTTTTGGCTGGTGATGAAATTAATGCATACAGCTGTTTAAAAAAAGTTATGAACGTTATGATCATTTTGGAGGTTTGTGCTGCAGTTAACATACAAGCAAACTCTAGGAGACTATTACAGCAATACTGAAGCCCACAGCCTTGATGATGGCAGTACTTACTGCAGTGCTGCTGAATTAGACTATATTGTTTTAAGACAGATGTGCCCAACGAGATGCCAAGGGAGTGTATATCATTACAGTAAATGACAGGCTGTGGATGAGGTCTATCTGTGGCCAAAGGCTTTTGGGTATTGAAAATGAATCTGCAGCTGACGAAAACCAGACCTAATGCTTGCCAAAGGTCCCTGCTTCTAACATCATGTACCACCTACACGGTTTAACCTCAGCGGACAAAGTGATGTAATAAATAAAGTGGAAAAACACGAGTTACAAACCAGGACAGTCAGAGTGGACATCGGCGCATTTCACCTCCTTTCTGATCATTTTGAGTCCTACTACTAGTTTGACTGGGTTTCGGATTCACTTGTATATGAGGGTGGTGGTGGACAAACAGTGGCTGATAGAGGGGGAGAATGAACGAGAGAGGGCTCGCGCTCCCTCCCTCCCCCTCTCTCCTCTCGAGCGCACCGACTGTGACTCCGCTCCCTCTCTCCTACATTCAAACATGGCGAAACTCTTTGCCATTATACCACCACCGTCACCCTCACCTTTCTCCAGTCCATCGCTGTCATCACCACCAACGCCATCACCATCTTCGCCACCATCGTCACCGTTATCTCCGGTAGCGTGATGACCCGCGAGGATGGAGAAGTTGTCGGCGAGCCTGTCGGAGATCACTTGGAGCCCGTTGGCGCTGCCGCTGGACGCGGTGGTCAGCAAGTTCCGTCTGCCCACTCTGGTCCGCCTGGCCCACGGTAAGAGACATAAACCTGCTTCACTGGGTGATTTTACCTCCGACACGACCATAAGAAACTTTTTACACTTTTTTTGTTGTTGAATTCTTTTGCCAACTGTTGTTAGTTAACGCTGAGGCTCCTTATCACTACAATTATCGTAACCGTGACGCTAGTGAAGAAAAATGATGACGAGTAATGAAGAAAAGGGTGAAAATATAAATAAAGTGTGTTTGTGGGAAGCTTTAGAGTATAACGTTCGGTGGGGTTTAAAACAAGTGTCCAAATTTAATGGAGAACGTGTGAAGTGCTTTAATGGCATCAAGGTCGGCAGAAAAAAATACCTTTTCCGGTTTTAACTTTCAAAATAAATGTTCACATTCGTCAGCGCGTTTAGTAAGAGGGAAAACTTGAAATGCAAAAAACTGTAAGCAGCTAACTTGAGCAAAACCAACAAATCTATGAGCACAACGAATTGAATTACTCTTTAATTTAGGCAGATGTTTTGTATAGATGAGTGCAATAGAGCAGATTAAAATAAATGAATTTAAAAGAAAAACATTGGCTTTTAAATAAAAACAGTATAAATAAAAAAATGTGTTTTACTGGTCTGCTAATATTAAAATGCGATTACAGTAAACTTCTCTAAACTTAAGGCACTACAGATTAGTAGAGGATATATTACATGCTCAACATACGCTTTCATTTACATGTCCAGTATATTATATCTTTGTTACGTTGCTCATGTCTATGTCACAAAAATAAATAAATAAGTACATACATCAATGGTAATACGGGATTAAGAGTTAATAGGTTTTATTGTTGATCCCAGTCGCCAGTGCCAGGTTCTTGCTCTTACTTTGAAACCAATCTGATGGTGTTTCCGTTAATATTTTAGTTCAGACTGGCCACCTTGATACACCCGCTGCACCCGTGCCGCACTAGTTCACTGACACGGGCAAGACGCGTTTTAACGTTAGTGTCAAGTTTTCTATTAATTTCTCATGTTTTTCGTTGCCAGCGTGATCCTTCACGTTCACCTTCACCAGATTCGGTGTCTTTAATTTGGAAACGGGCGACGGGTGTCGTGGCCAAAGTTGTTCCAGTCTCAGCGAGGCCTGGAAAGCAACAAAGTATCTGTTGTGCTGTTGAAGTGCTGCTCAATTCTATTCATATGCAAATGCTGTAATCTGTCGGCGAATGTAGTGAATACTAACGAGAAGCAACTCTGGAGAAGAAAAAAACCCTCCAAGTTTCCCCGCTGCACAAAAGCGCGCACCCGAAGCCGTGTCACAGTCCCGGAAAAATTACGCACCTTACTCCCGGCAGCGCGCCTGAACATCGCATAGAGAGACCTCCCGTAGGTGTTTATTAACTGCACTGTAGTTACCCCACTCGTGATGCCTCCCTTTTTGCATATCCAGCCAGCCCAGATGGTAGTTAGTTATTTACAGCAGGGCATGATGACAGCTCCGTTTCAGGGCAGCGTCAACAAACAACTACAGTGTTTATCCATATGGTGTGTGTGTGTGTGTGTGTGTGTGTGTGTGTGTGTGTGTGTGTGTGTGTGTGTGTGTGTGTTTTCTCCGGCAAGAGTGGGTAAAGATGTAATTGAGTGTGATGGGCTGCAATATGAACGCTGCAGACTGCAAATTAAATAGCCACCCAACTGACTGCATTGAGGCTACACAAGGAAAGTTTTCAACCTGTCTGACTCCCTTAGAATATATCAGAGTGGTTAGTAGTGGAAGTGTTTGTGGGGTTTGTCTCAGAACCTAGAAAAAAATAAATGGGTATAACACTTCTCCTAAATTGAAAGGAAACTTCAAAAAGGCATTTATCACAGACCCTTTCAAAGCTCCCTCCCAACTAAAGAAATACCTAGGTGCAAAAATCAAAGTTTAAAACAAAACAGTGGCCCAAACATTGAGGTTTTGAACAGGGAGAAATGTTAAGATAACAGAGAATTACTACATCCTCAGGCAAGAGCGATATAAGACATACTAACATCACAGTTTAGTACGAAGCATTGAATTGGAATGAGCAAAACTTCCTGAAGAAAGCTAACATTGTTTCAGTAGATAATGTGCTTTATTTCTTCCAAGTATCCTTTTCTGTGTTTATAGTCAGCCATCTATCAACATGATTGTTTGACTCAAAGGCTTGGGAGTAACATTGTGTTGCGTGATTGAATTGTACTGCTGTGCTATCAGCAGAAATCAATGCCACTGTGCTACACAGCTCTTGTGAAAGCCGGACTGCCCTGTTTGTGTGTTTGTGTATGGGGGCTGTGTAATTGTAGGTTGCCAGTTGCATAGCAGGGTCCTGATGAGTAGGTTAGCGGGGGGTGATCCATCACTGATTGTGGTAATTATGTGTGCTTTTTACGAGGGTGTTTTAATGTTTTCCACTGCTGAGTTGCTAAGTGTGACCTTAGAATTGAGAAACCTGAGACTTGCACACTATTTGCCTATTCCTTTCTGAGTGTGTGTTTGTTTGCTGCAGGTGAATGTGTGGAGGGTCTGTCAGAGGACGATGTGGTGCTCTTACACTCCTGCCGTCAGTGGACCACAGTGACGGCCCACAGCTTAGAGGAGGGTCACTATGTAATTGGTCCCAAAATTGACATCCCTCTGCAGTATCAGGGTGAGCATGCATCTGCACATACACTTTGCTTTTATACATCAGCGGGGAGAAAACCTTTGTCCTAAATATATAGATTTTCCCTAAAATGTTCATTTGCTGCAGGAGTAAAAAACAGGTCAAGAATTTCTACAGGATTCTTTTTCTCTGAAAGCATCTACAAACAAAATAGCTGTGGATCAATAAGCTGAAAGTTCAATATGTTATTTTCTTTGTGTTGTTCCTTCAAATCTTATAATACCATTTAATTAAAGTGTTAAGATTTAATTAAGCTTAATATACAGTACTGTGCAAAAGTCTTGAGTCTCGAGTCCTATTTTAACTTTCTTCTCATCTTTTAAAGTTGTCTTGAGCAGTAGTTCTTCAGGCTGTCTGAAGATTTTTCAAAGCTTTTCTTTGGAAATTGGCTGTTTTTCACTCATTGTCAGTCTCTTCCTTGTAGCTGGCTATTTCCTGAGAATTCTTTTGATTGTTAAGCCACTTAACACTGACCTATGAATCATTCAAAGATCAAAAGGCACCTCAACTCCACGAATGGACCAGTGTTGTGTCTACACATAACAGACAACTTAGCAAAGAACCAAAGCAGCCTGTCACCAAAATGCATTATTTGTTACAGTTTCTTCAGTTATATCTATGCAAAATTCTACAGATAACACATTTTGAGAGATATAAAATAGCACTTTTGCACTAAAAAGGTTATTTTCAAAGTACTGCTAGCTGAAAATTTGGCATATCACAGCATGGTGTGTACAGGCAAGAAAAATTATAGCAGATGAACCACACCTGAAAGTCATGTCCATGAGAAATAGGAAACAAATCTAGCAAACACCTGACTTGGGACCTGAGATGTGCATCTGCACAGTCTACTGTTTGCTGAGGCCTCATCAGAAATGGTCTCAATGGAAGGGTGGCGGTCAAGAAGCCATTCTTAGAAGGGAAACAGGGAGAAAAGGTTAAGAAAAGAACTGGACTAAAAATCAGTGGCAACAGATCTTATGGAGTGACGAATCCAAACTTGTGGAGAGTGGAGGAGGTCAGGAGCAAGCAACAAAGATTGTCTAGAACCATCTGTAAAACATGATGTCTCTGTCCTGGTTTTGGGCTGCATTTCAGTCCGTGTTGTTCAGCATCTTGTCAAAATTGACGGAATCATGAATGCAGAAAAGCACAATCAGATTTTGAGCCACCGTGCAATACCATCTGCAAAGCATCCGATTGGCAACAGCTTCATTTTTCAGCATGATAGTATTTACAAACACATTATTGCCAACCAAGTAAAAACATACCTGTATTTAAAAAAAAAGACCAGTGTCTCAAGACTTTTGCGCAATACTCACTATGACTGCATCCTGTGTTTGACACAACACAGTTTGCCAGCATGCTCTAGGGATAAATTGTGCAGCTGTATTTCTACTTAAGAACAGCTTCAAGCACAGTGCTCAGTAGTTTTTTTCCTACATCTATCAAGAAATAAAAAAGTTTCACATAATTGTCATAAACGAACTGAATTTATATTAATAACGACCCTCCCCAACTCCTCCCTCCAGGGTTGATTGGAAACTTCCCTTCTTTGTGTGTTATGTCAGTAAAAACCACTCCTTATTAATGTGAGGTAATTCATAATTAATAATAGAATTGCTGATGCTCCAGTTCATTCAGGAGAGTTCACACTCTTGTTCAAGAAAATGAAAACACCTTGAAACACACAAACCTTCCCCTGACCCTGTTAGTACCAGTAGAAATGTTAGCGGACATCCTACACTTTCCAATCTATTCCAGTAATTCTGTCAGTTTTCTGCTAAGTAATAAAAAAATAACACAATAATCTGGAGCCATTAATTTAACTTTTATTCTTCAAATCTATCAGAGTACCTCTAAACGAATTACAAACTAAAATAATCAGTTATTTAATTTATACTGGGTCTTGGTGTAGTCAAGCTATTCTTAGCTCCTCCCCATTTCAAAACAACTTTTATCTGATTGGTTGTCCCTCACAAACAGAATGTTTAAAAGAGAGATGTGCGGGGGTCATCTTTTGACATTCAGAGCCTTGTGCCTGAGGTGGCCATATTATGGACATCCACGCACTCTGATATTATACAGATCCAAAAGTTGAAATACTCTAAACAAGTTTACTTAAACCAGAGATTTCGTCCCTCATTATGCAGTATAAAACTTTTCCTATCCTTAATATGATCATCTGCCATTGTAACAGACAGGGAATGAATAAAAGCATAATAGAATCTCTTTGCGGAGGAGTTGCGTACTTTAAACTCTTAATGTACAGATGAGCACATCTTCTACTACCACCTTCATTCACACATTCACTCGTGTACCATGTGACCTTGTCTGACTCCAGTTGTCCATTGACTCGCGTCTTCCTGCTGAATGAGTCTAGCCAGCATGACCTCACCGGAGCTCATCCCCACCATCCCATTGTTCCGACTCTCAACCCAGTCACATTATTCTCAGTGTAACTGGATCTTAATGCCTTCTCTCCATTGCTTCCTCCACTGATGGAGTGCTGATGTCACCTCACGCTACAACATTTGGCTGGGAGGGGGGAGTATGTTGAGATCATTCAGCATTTCATATCTGAAACACGTGACAGCTAGTATTTCCCAGAGATTAGAAACACAGAAAGTAATAAAATAGCAAATATATATATATTACCAAGTAGAATAAAGAATGCCCAATAAAGGTAACAACGATTCACTAGTTTGTTCAGTTTCTTTGTTTTTTAAACTTATTTTATTGGTTTAGTGTTGAGATTGGATTGAAAGCTATAAATTATAATACGCACAATAAAGGCAAGCTTTTGTTTTATTCTTATATTCATGAATGCTTATTAAAGATGGTGAAATATTTTAATTAATAAGGTCAGCTTAAGTCCTGTGAGCCAAAGAGCTCCGGCTTCAGACTCAGCTCAGGCTTTTTCTTTTCACTCTTGGCTCTGCATGATGTCATGGAGAGGGGATATCCTTCCTATAGTCATAACTAAGGAGGTGCAAGGCTCATTAAAGGATAAATGGGAATTACTTTGGACTGACTGTTTAAAGCTGCTCTAGTAAACTCCTAGATGTATAAATAAATAAATCTATGCAGAGTCGGAGATATGCAGATTTTTTTCAACTTAATGGCATTGTTCATTAGCATTGGTTATTTTTTCCAACGTTTCTGTTTATATCCGTTTTAATGTAGAACTTTTGGGGTGTTATCAGTATAAACAGGAAAGATCTGTATAGCCTCTTGTAAGCTCAAAAAGTGGTTAATATTAATGCCTAATTTCAGGATCTGGGAGAGTGAGTTGTTCTTTTATGTTCTCACTCCCAGCGGGTAACGGCCCTCAATTAATTGCTTGAATAATCAGAAGACAGTCTTTTATATGACTTGACTTTCACATTGTAGTCTTAGGCAGAGCTCTGACAAAAATCAACACACAACAAACAGACTGTATTGTCTGCTTCTCCCAGCCAGCTGTGACCCCCTATTTTTCTCTTTTCCTCTTGCAAGAATTGCACAAAGTAATGTTGCCCCTCTCTCTTCTTCACTACACTAAACACAGCAACAATGGACAAACTCAACCAAAGGTCCCTTGCTTACATTCAGTGGGTTTAGAGCCCTTGTTGTGGCCAGTCAGCTCATCCGTGCAGTTCAAACATAAAAGTTCTGGCCACGGAGAAAAGCTGATTAAAACATGCTGTGTGCTTCCAAGATTTAATTAAAAAGGAGTATCTGTCCAGCTTTAAAGATAGAAGGCTGCAGCTCCATAATTCTTTTAGTGACCTATTCTGGCTGTAATCCTTGACTTTACTTGTGTTGTTTTGTTTGTTTGTTTGCAATAAATATAGTTGTTTCTTATTTGTGTCTAATCAGTTTGCAATCGTGAAAAAGTGTGTTCGTAATCAAAGAGTGGTTTTTTATGTGATGAAATCAAATAGGAGACCCTGAAGCAAATCATCAGCCTGACATCCTCTTTACTTAATGATGCATTCCAACAGATCCGAAAAAGACGCATTTACATGAACGCATCCTTTTAGCACTACTTTTGTGTCCCTTTAAATATGTTAGATGAGTTGCTTTGGAATCACAGGCCATCGTCTGTGATGAGCTAATGTCTGTGTGATGACTTCATACAGGAAGTCTAAATAAGCGTAGGATGAGTGCAATATAGGTTTCCCCGTGGGGATGGACAACAGGATGCGTCCCTCCTTCTTCTCCTCCCTGCTTGTCTGCATCCTCGTCTACCCATCACTGAGAGGCTGGGATGACAGAGGACAGAAAAGCTGAATGATCACTTATCATGAATGGGATTAAGGGAAGCAACTGAGGCTGCAACCACCCTTGTAAGGTGGACCCAGTGGCCAAAAGCCTTATGTGGAAGCCTTTACAAATACCAGCCTGCTTTATCATATAGCAAGAGCAGCTTTTTAATATGACGTCACATCTGTGTTCTGTTGCCTATCAGCGACATTTGGAATCTCACTTTTGACTAAATATACATTTCCAGAATTGAGCAGGGCTTTGTTTAGGTTGGTGGTAAACCTTGTTTTATTTCCAACTCCTACTCTTTGAGGGGGTGGTGGGTTGTGTTGAAAAGTGGGATTTTGCTGGTATTGTTAGGTGGGTGGAAGCTCCTTATCCTAGGGGCTCATTTTGAATTGGAAAGTGGGGGGTGGAAGAAAAAGAGAATGAGAGAGCTTCTGGCGTAGATGATGGTGGAGTTTGGTATTCTACTCTGTCTACCAGACAAAAAAACCCAAAAAACCCCCCAAAAAACTTCTCTTGTTCATTCAAACTCTGACTCTGTGAAAAGAAGGAGGATCCTCGAAAGGATGTAGTCGTTCCATTGCAGTCTGATAAACTGGCCAAGAGGAGCAAAGCATTTAAAATGTCCTTTGAACAATGTCGGTTTGGTTTACGGGCTGTTAAATGACTCTTTTCAATGTTGAAAAGAGGCAAAAAGGCAAAAAAAAAATATTTACAGCTTCAACAGCACAAAACTTAAGTTCAGGAGGGTGAAAGATTTACAGACGAGGGGATGAGCAAGGGACAGAAAGAGTCAAAGAGAGAGAGGGATGAGTTTGTGTGTGTGCGTGACAGTGTATGTGTAAGTGTCTCCATGGTGATGTGTCTCTGCTCTGCGTGAGAATGGGGGTCCTTTATTCGTTACTGTGGCAACCCAGTCGGCTGTCGATTGGGAAAGAGCTGGTGCCAGGTCATAGGTCACCGAGGTGTCTTTATATTCCTCTGCTGCAGATGTGTGTGCTTTTATAGTGAAACTATAAGCAGCCGAAAAAGAACTTTTCACCCGCTCTTTTTCCCCGCCTCTGGCTTTTTCCTAACTCGCTCTCCCCTTCCACTCTTCTCTTCCTACCTCTTTTCACTGTTTCTCTTCTCCCATCTCTCAACATAATCTTCTTCTGTCCTCTCTCTCATTTCCTTTGCCACTCTTCACCCCTTTCTTTCCTCCTGTATCACACCGATCTTCTCTATAGGCAAATTCAAGTTGCTGGATGAAGACCGGGACGTCAGGGATCCAGTCCAGTATTTCTCTAGTGTGGAGGAGGTTGCTGGTGCCTTTCCAGACCGAGTTTTTGTCATGGAGACGATCACTTTCAGTGTCAAAGTAAGGCACGCCTATAATGAATTTCCACTTCAGCTTTGCCCTATTTACCACCACAGCAAAAACGTGTTTGAAAGAAAGCGAACAGACACTGAATAGACAATAAAGACAGCTTTAAGCATTAAGATTTGGTCAAAACTGAAAGGTGAAAAGCCTTCTTCTAAGGTGTTTGAAAAGTGAAGGGACACTCTTCCTTCTCAACATTTCTGCAACCTCCTCAGACTGTGCACTCGAAGTGGATGCTTGAAGTGTGGCTGTCTGATCACAGTCATTTCATATCTAAATATGTTATAACAAATGAAAAAACAAAGGCAAGGATGTTTGTATTACTGAAACAAAAACTAGGTGTAAAACATGAAATGGTGGGTGAAATCTAGTTGCATTGAAGTTTTCCATAATAGCCTCAAAAGAGGACTTTTCACTTTTGTTTAACCAAATTTAGATATAGACTTCTTTTTTCGAGGCCATGATTGGCTGACGAGAATTTGGTCCAAAAAAAAAGGTCCATGGATGGGGAGTGGCTTTTAACTACAGGTAGTTAACTAACCACAACAGTACTTTTATAGTAATTAATCCCTGAGTCATGCAATATCTTATACACATATACATCCATGTCTGTGTTGCAGGTTGTTTCAGGGGAATTTAGTGAAGACAGTGAGCCCTACAGTTTCACTCTGCAGGCTGGAGATGAGCTGTCGCTCATGGGGAAAGCAGAGCTTCTCTGTGCCACTCCCTCAAAGGAAAAGACGGGACTGAGCGCGCTTCTTAGACGACTAGGAAAGACTCCCAGAAGTAAGTCAGGCTGAACTATTGAGCTGTAAAGTTATGAAGCGCCGTTTCAGTTGTAGAACATGCACACGAGAACGAGGAAAACAAAAGCACTGGCAGAACTGAAGGTTGCTGAAGTTCATTCCTTTTTTTTTTTTTGAAGAATACCAGTCAGCCGCAACATTTAAGCCTCCTGCCTAATATTGTTTAGGTGTCCTTCATGCCGCAAAAGACAGCTTTGACCTGTCGCAGCATGGACACAGGTTCCCTGGGGCTGTTCGTTGGCAGAAGATCTTATGGGTCCTGTGGATTGCAGGGTAGGGCCTTGATGAGTCCTGCGGATTGGGAGTCCAGACCCGGCAGTGAACACATTGGACTCTTTGTGTGGTCCTAGAGCCATTCTCGAGCATTTTTTACAGCGTGGCTGGGCACATTGTCCTGCTAGTGGAGGTCACTTGTGTTGAAGATATCCTGTTGCTATTGGTGGGTGGGAGGGGGTGGTATTTGGCGCATGTGAAAATAACTTTCAGAACCCAGAGTTTCCCAGCAGAACATTGCGCTGTAACAAGAAGATCAAAGGTATTCACTTCACATTGAAATCTGTGGATTTGTGGTTCAAACATAGACATTTTTGAAAAAGTTAAAATTGTATTATTGTTGTGTTAGGACTGATCCACCCGTGAACTCCTAAATATCTTCTTTGTCTCTTCAGGTAAAACGCCCTGCCTGGTCTGCATGAACCATCGCACCAATCAAAGTGTCAGTTTGCCCTTTGGCTGCCGTGGACGCTTCTGCACACGCTCTCCACTGGAGCAAGGCATGCTGGGGGGGGAGCACACGGTGCGCAGCATCATCGAGAGAGTCCGCCTCCCCGTCAACGTGTCTGTGCCGTCGAGGCCGCCACGAAACCCCTACGACCGTCACGCAGTACGAGAGGGCCACCGCTACAAGCTGCTCAACATAGTCAGCAAGACGGTGGTGCTCTGCATGGTTCTCCGCCATCAGGAAGTCTCCCCCTCCCACTTTTTGTTGCTGCGTTGCATGCCCCGGTTTAATGTGGCCGAGGCCTCCGTGCACAAAGCAGCATTGGAGAGCCTTCTTCTGCGACATGCATTTGACCCAGATGCCTACTCTCGTGCTGTTAGAGAAACTCGGCCAGAATTGGAGTGTATGACTGAGGAGTGTGTGAGCCCACGGCGCTCTCGCGTGTGCGTGTCGAGCCAGGACTCATTGGCACCGGCACTGCAGCGTCTCTCAATGTGCGGGTATGTTGGTGGAGTCTCAGACAGCGTATCTCAGCGCTGCAGGGACTCCCTTGGAGAGCGGCTAGGGGAGGGGCCAGGTGAGGAGAGGGAGTATGTGACTCCTGAATGGACTGAGGGTGAAATGAGGACCGCTGAGGAAATCCCTTATGAGGAACTCTGGACCAATCAAAATGCAGAGGGCTTAGGAAAGGAGCCAAACCTCATATCCTTCCATTCATCTTCCTCACTGGATGGTTCTCTTGGTACCGTGGTGACAAGAGTGTCTACCCCGCCACCTGTACCTCCAAAATCTGATGCTGTGAGTTGCAGTCCTTGCCTCCCATCCATCTTCTCGTTCTTCAGTCTGTCATCCTTCTTATCTGTCCACAGTAGCATCCGGCTGTTAAAAGTCAGGATGGCTGCCTTGAATTATTCATACACAACAGCTCTTAAACCCCACTGATACACTCAACGCAAATACAAGCGCACACTGACTGTAATGCACACTGACTGGAAATGCTGCAATACACCACCCTTACTCTTATAGCACATACAGATATACATAGATAGATAGAGATACATAAGCTGGTCAGCCTCAACATAAAAACCACGTACACAGTGTTGTGTAAGCCTATTTGTGCTGCCAAAATGGCTCTAACCTGTTTCTCCATAGACATGGGATCCCTTAAGATGTCCTAGAACAAAGGTAGTGGATCCTCTGGGAATGTTCTGGCACATTACACAGCTCAGATTGGGATCTGTCATGTCTGGATAACCAGTCAGTGTCTTTGTATTTTTTCCATGTTCTCGAGGAGTTTTTGCAGTGTTTCGGGGAGGATTGTTCTTTTAGGAGAAACCACTATCATCAGTTCCACATTGCCATGGGAGCTGTTATTGACCTGGGTTGGTCGTACGTGTCTACTTATCTCCATCAATGTAAGGACCCAGGATTTCCAAGCAGAACTAGAGAGAATCAGTGCTGTCGTTCACTTCACTCATTAGTGGTTTTTAGGTTGTGGCTGATTATTTCTAATGAATTGAACCGAAAGCTAAAGCTATTAAGACTGCTGAAGCTTTTTAATGTGATTGCTATAAATCAGCACTACAACTCCTAGGAGAAATTTCTTAAACATATAGAGCATTTCAGTTTTTTAATATTATAAGGATTACTTGGATTATGGATTATTGTGTGAATTAACTTGCTGAGACCAGAAGAAAAAAATCTGTCTGAAAATAACCAAAGGAAATTAATTTCCACAGACTTGATTGGCATGGTTGTTTTAGTTTGCTCTTTTTAATATCATATGCAGCAAGGTCCTAACTTCAATAGCAGAGTGGTTATTCAGCAGCTAAGCCCTAGTCTTTCCTAAGCTAGCATGTGTCATTGATTTTCTCTCTTTAAATAACATAGAAATTCAAAGATGTGTGACTAACACATTACCTTTACTGTAAATGGACTGATCATGCTTCCATGCATAGTCACCCCTTCAAGTTCCCATTTGGAGCCAGGAAATCTCCCATTAAAGTCTCATTGACTGGCTCCATCAGAGTTCCCAGGGTTTGGCTTGACATTGAGTTACAGAAAAGTCTGAGAAGGTCATACCTAGGAATTTTTTTTCTTCAGAAAATAAGCGTTGCAGGTGATATATTGTTAGCTTTCTTTGTACATTTTTGTGAATTTGTGGTATTTTTTACTTTTGCTTTTGGTGAGACCAAATAACTGTTGTTCTACTGATTACAAATGAATTAATCACCTCTACTGTTTTCGCCTAAATGCTGCTGTACAGCAAAAATGCAGACTTGCCTTAAAATATTCCTTTTGTAGCGCATAATGAAATTTATAACGTGCATTACATGATGTATAATGAAATTTACTAGATTAATTTTAACACTCAAACTGGTGCAAGTCAGGCTTTATGTAGACTATAAAGGTTCTTTTTTAATATGGTAATGCATTTTCTGTACAGCTCTAGTGTTGACCTTAAAGCTGGGGGTCGACCAGCACTTCCATGAATTAAAACATCTCTTTTTTCTTGTCTTTTTAAAGAGGAAATGGTGTCCTATTGAAAACGATGTTGTTTTACCTAGTGAGCTGTTTCACATTTCTAAGAGTCTTCCCAGGCAATGGTGTCCATGTGTAACTGTGTATGTTGTTTGTAAAGCGCACATTTTCATGCTTTTGTTTTGTTTAACTTTTTTTCCCTTTTAAAGTGAGGGCAGCGGAACAGAAAGGTTTGTGTGGGTGTTGACGTCTCCTCTGCAACTGGATTATACCCTGTCACACATAGCGTTCTCCTGATATTTAGCCTGCCAAGACACTGTGTGTGTGTGTGTGTGTGTGTGTGTGTGTGTGTGTGTGTGTGTGTGTGTGTGTGTGTGTGTGTGTGTGTGTGTGTATCTAGATGCTGCTACTGTGTGTAAGGACTTTGTTTGAGTTGTAAAGGTCACAAAGTTTGACATTTACTATGTGTTGCACGCACACACTTGCACAAAGCCTCCTGAGAAGTCTATTTTTAAGATTAACCTTTTTTTATTTGGCTGTTGTGTGTGTTATTGTTATGCTTATGTTTCTGTGTGTGTGGTTTGTGCTTGCAGGTGAGAGAGGAGTGTCGCTATTTGATCGCCCCTCCAGTTCCCCCTCGTTGCTCCAAAGGAGGCTCCATCTCCAGTCCAGCTCCCAGCCCTCCTGTTCCACCTCGCTTCCCCAAAACGTCCACCTCCCCGAGACCAAACATCTCCTTTTACTCCTCTGGACTACAGGACAGGTACAGTATAAAACACGTAATGTGTAAATCCTTATTTTGACATACTGGTATCATTTTAGAGAGGATTGAAAGCCTTTTCTGGTTTCACTGCTTGACATGATTGATTACACGAAAAGGGAGAGAATGAAGTTCCTCGAGTTCCAAACTACTGCAAGAGTCCAAATACTGTAGCTTCAAACAGAGCTACTGCAATGGCTGTTTCCAAATAAATTGCAATGAAAAATGTCCAAAAGATATGGATGTAGACACCCATTAGTTTGTGGACTTCTATTTTCAAGTCTCAAGTTTAGATTGTTTTTTCCTTAGTGCAACCCACCTGACGAGCAATAATATTTGTCTGATAAGTCACCAACATGCGGGGAAGTCTTTTTTTTTTTGGCTGCATTTTTCAGCTCTGAAAGGTTACTGCTTACAGATTTCCCGTTCTTGCCCTTTAAAGAAGATTATAAGGTATATGGAAAGAAAGTATGGGAAGGTTATCTAATCTGAACTGACAGAAGCACAGAAAGCAATGCCATTTTACAATATGAAGCTCCATATTGATTGTTTGCTTGTTCTATAAATAGACGATATATGGAATGATACATTTTTTATGAATTGACAGCAAGCTAAGGAGAATTTTTCAGCAGGTAGCTGCTGGAACTTGAAATATGGTCATTTAAATACTTTTGTAAATATGATATGTAGCTGATATGTAACATTTCCATTTTCTCTGTCTTGTCCCAGTTGCTCCCCCTCCCCCGATGCCTCCCTCTACTGTTACCCGTGCTCTTGGGGTGACTGCTCTGCCCCTAATCCTACTAGTCCTGAGCCTGTCTCTGGCATCCCTACAGACAACACAGCCAATCCTCAGCCTGCACAAGCCACCTGGGCAGAGCCATGGGTGGATTCCTTCACTTCCTCTGGACTTCGACTCAGACCGCCACCCCCACAGAGTCGATTTGCTCCCTTTGGGGCGTTGAACCCCTTCAACCGCCAGTCCCCTTGTCCCTCGCCTGAGCCTGCTCCCAATTCCACAACAGATTCTTCCAGAGGCGCGGAGGGTGGTGGGACATCAACAGGAGTCCCTGAGGGGTTGTCCCCGCTCCCTGACCCTACCTGGCGACCTCCCGCTGACCTGTCTGCTCTGTCATTGGAGGAAGTCTCAGCTTGCCTGCGGTTTATTGGCCTATCAGAGGCAGCGGTGTCCGTGTTCCAAAGGGAGCGAATCGATGGCAGCTTGCTGGTGCAGCTGACTGAAGATATCTTGTCACATGACTTCCACCTGAGCCGACTCCATGTGACCAAGATCACACAATTCATACAGGGCTGGAGGCCCAAAATCTAATATACACACTGTCCTGAGAATGTGCCTGTTGGCTGCTGAGCCTCCCTGAATGTGCCTTCCACTGTGACCAACTGGCTGCTGAGCCCAATGAATGAAACTGAAGGAAACAACGCCACACTGTGGTCAAACTGTAGAATTGACACTTGACTGGCTCTAATGCTCAAAGTCAGACTGACATGTTTCCTGTCTGAATCACAGTCTGGCACTACTTTACTAACAAATGGCTACAACAGAGAGCTCCAGGATAAAAGTGCCCTCTTTGGAACTTAAAGTCTGATTTAAACAATGTGTGGCGTTCACACCGTTCAACTTAGAATTTGATATGCAGGGGAAATTTCTATCATTTTACTTTAAATGAGATTTGATGAATGAACAGAATTTCAGCACTTTTTAGACACTTTATTTAGTCATCAATAGGTGTTAAATTAATTTCAAGACAAGGTAATTTAAGGAATTGTAACATTTTGACCCTATACAGGTCATTTAGACATCCTTCTTTATTCACTGAGTTTCAGTGGAATGTAATTGGCACAGATAAAGTGGGAGGTTGTTGTAAATTAAAACTACCTTCAAAAGAACAATGAGGAAAATATGAAAAATATCAGACCTCTGAGCAGTCATTGACAAAATTACTGAGGTTTTGGACTGATTTTTTTTTGGTACAGGTCAGTCTATGCTTCGGGAGGGATGATATTTTTATTAACAGTCCCTTTAAAGGTAACAATGAGTGTTATAGTAAAACTCAGAAATGGAGTTGTAAGAGTACCTCAGATTTCTCATCCACATAGATTGATCAAAGTCCTACAATATCAGGAATTGTCACCACTCAGTTTCCTTGGAAAGCTAATATTTCTGCCACTACCTTTGCTGCCTTTTTCACCCACTGTTTTAGATCCATCTGTGAGTGCTTTGTTTCTGTTATAATCTCTTGTAACATCTGCAGATGACCTAAAATAAAGACAGAAAAGCAACAGCGAGAGAGACAGGGGAGAATTCTTCATTGAACTTGCTCCACCTGGCCGAGCATGAGGTTATCAGCACAAACCTCATCTTCAGATAGCAGACATTAGAAACTGATAATGAATGTAGTCGAATTTTGTAATAAGTTAACACAGCTACTCTTTGCTTTTCTACATAGCATAAAAAAGCCCAAGTTATTAAGTCTTGGACAGAACAGCTGTGAAGTTTGTTCAATGAATTAAAAAGAAACTCACATAAAAATGTATAATAAATAAACAAAAAAAAATTCTACCTAAAATCACTGAGTCAGAAAAATGATAATAAGCACAACACTTCAGTTTCTCTTCTTAGAGCATTAAAAATGAGATGTTTTTACTAGAGATGGACCGATCCGATATTACGTATCGGTATCGGTCCGATACTGACCTAAATTACTGGATCGGATATCGGAGAAAAATAAAAAATGTAATCCGGTCCATTAAATATCACGAAAGCACCTCACAAAACTTGCAACAGGCCGTAACTCACCTCAGAACGTTAGCACGTCGGAGCAGTATGCATCACGTGATAGAGCGGCTGTGGCATGCGGGACCTGTTGGTGGTATGGTTGAGCATTTGGAGCTTCGCTAGCAACCCGGCATTTCATCTCCGACAAAGTTATCCCCGAGAGAAGTAAAGCAAGTGTGTAAGTCCATCTCTGAATGTTTGTAAAGCATTCCTGCGTTAAGCTTAACGAGCGACTGCCTCTCGCTCTCCGGCTGCTACTTCAATCATGAAACTGCTTAACGATCAGCTGATCGGCTTTTCTGTCGCGAGTCCGTGTCTCTTGTTTGTTTTTGGCCCACTTTGCACCAGAAAGAGGAAACCAGCGGCTGAACAACAGCAGCACGTTTAAGCTTGATCAGCTGTTGTTAGAATGTATTTAATATTACTTTCTACTCGAGGATCTTTTTCTACGTAGCTGACGGCTGTAACTGTGCAGGGGCGCATCTAGCAAAGTTTAGCCAGGGGGGCCGATAGGGCATGAACAGGGAAAAGGGGGCACAAAGACATACTTTTCTTTCTTATTCTCATTTAAAATGTCTCGCTTTTAATTATTTAATATTTATCTGAATCTTACACCCAAAGTTTTAATCTGATGTAAAATGAATAGAAGTCCATTACTGTATATAGTGACTATTAAGTCTAATATATATACCCTAGTAAGCTATAGTACTTTTTCCTTTGGGAAGGTACCATCTGTGCAGTCTGCAATTTTGTTGAAGAAAGATGTTGAATCTATTTAATATTTCTTGAAAAATAATTGATTTCCGTGCATTTTTTTTCACACTGCATCAAATTAAGGTTGATTACGTCGATTAAGCATCATGAGGTGGAGCGTGAGGGGTGGTTCCCTATTTTTTATTTATTTATTTTTGTTGTTGCTGGGAGTTGGAACCCTATTAGTTAGGTTGCTTAATATTTATGCTAAGTACTCTTTAAAATACCAGAATAGGGAGGATGGTGTAGGTTTAAGTTTATTAGATTGATCAGTATTGCTGAACTATGAAATATTTTTTTTTGCATACAGGTATAACAGAATAGCTTTAGTGTAGTTGTTGTTTTAAACTTGAGTATGAACTTATACAAAATGCAGCAAGATATTTAAAAAACAGTTTTGTTGATTAAAAAACACTATATCGGATTCATATCGGTATCGGCAGATATCCAAATTTATGATATCGGTATCGGACATAAAAAAGTGGTATCGTGCCATCTCTAGTTTTTACACCTTGGTATTCAGAAGTATTAATTCTTTGTAGCATAGATTCAACAAGGTGCTGGAAAATTTGGCTTACATTGACATGATTTGTTGACTACACATCTGTGATGTGAATCTCCTTTTTCACCACATGCCAAAAATGCCATCTGAGTACAGCAAACTCATTGGTGTGTTCAAAAACCACAGTTTGAAGTTTTTATCCTGTTGGAATTAGCCATCAGATTAATACACTGTGCCCATAAAGGCATAGACATGGTCAGCAATGTTGCTATTAAGGTTATCCCCTACACCATTACACCACCAGCAGGAGCCTGAGAAGTTGTTATGAGCCAGGATAGATTCATGCTTTCATGTTTATGCAAATTCTGACCCTGCCATCTGAATGTCACAGCAGAAATTGAGATTCAGGCAGAGTTTTTTCAGCCTTTTGTTATCCAATTTTGGTGAGCCCATATAAACTGTAGCCTGAGTTTCATTTTAGCTGACACCTACTGCTGTAGCCCATCTGCTTAAATGTTCGACTTGTTGTGCGTTCAGGGGTTTTCTTCTGTGTACTTTGGTTGTAATGAGTTGTTACATGAGTTATTGTTGGTTTCCTGTCAGCTTGAAGCATTCTGGTTGTTCTCGGACCTCTGGCACCAAACAAGGCAACTGCTGCTTAGTAGATATTTTCCCTTTAAAAAAAACAACACTACTCTGTAAATCCTAGAGATGGTTGTGTGGCAAAAATCCCAATAGATCAGTTTCTGAAATACCCAAACCAGCCCATCTGGCACCAACAATCATGCCACATTTAGAGTCACTTTAATCATCTTCCTTCCATATTCTGATGCTCAATTTAAAGTTCAGGAGGTCATCTTTGCTATGTTTACATGCATAAATACACTAAGTTCCTGTCATGTGGTTGACTAGATATTTGTGTTACTGAGCCGTTGAACAAATCTGCTAATGTACAAATCTGCTGAGAGAGGGGCAGATGCCCCCCGGCCCCAAACTAGATCTCTGCTCTTACCTGTGTGTTCTATTTGAGGGGTGTATCCTGAGGACAGTATTGTAATATAACTGGCTACACTGAGGGCAATCACAAAGCAAGATCATCCAAATGATCCAAATAACTGACAATGCAATTTATGTTGTTGTGAATCACTACCTGTAATTTTTTTTACTATTATCCCCAGATTTGATGGGTTTCAGCCAGGGCAAAAGCTGAAGTAAAGTTTCACTCTGATCTACTACACTCATGTAATACTGATCTACTCTGCAATCTTGTAACTACAAAGCCACTGAAGAAATAAAGGAGAGATCAAAAAAATAAACCGAATGACACCTGATGTTTTAATGCAACCTTCACTTTTTATTTTGGTTGTTGGGAGTTTGAGTTAACACTGGTGCCAGATAGAATCCAGATAGCTGCAACATCTGGGCTTCATTTGGTCATGTTGCGGGCCAAAATGGGTTATGGCTAATTTAGCATAGGTCAGGGGAGGTTGGACACATTACCACAATTTGTATAAAAAAATATAAATAAATTAAAAGAAAGAAAACACCCCAAAAAGATGAAAAGAAAAAGTTTGGTGGTCACACCCACTTGAGCCATAACACATAATACATGAAAGTATCACTTTCTGATTATATAAATGATGTAAGCGGAAATCTGTAAAGCTGGTAGATAGTTATAATAGACCATTTGGTCTCCTAGAAATGTTGTTTATAGTTATACAATTATTTTTTAATAGCAGCTTATTTTCATAAATGAGCTGTTACCTTATTCTGAAATCTTTCCTTGGATTATTTTAGGTTGATTCCTTTAGTTTGATCTTAGAAGACATATTTGCTGCTCTAACAGTTCAGACATACCAAAGGGGGGACTACTAGTCCCTCTCTCAAAACGCTAAGTTGTTTTTAGTATTGAAGCAGGGAGGGGGATGATTGGTAAAACCTTTTGCTGGGGTCTTTGGTGTGGTCTAGTAGAAGCTGGCAGGGTGTAAACTGGTTTCCATAAACATCCTCAAAACGTTTCATGAGGCTCACAAGGCGCTCTGCACCAAATGTGTCAACAAATCTGAACGGACCTGATAAATGTAGGAATAACAAAAGGTCGATTAGCACCAACACAATCGATAACCATCAGTTTACTAATATAAATATCTAGTTCAAAAGTATACAAATGTTGGAGACATACCACCGTGCATGGGAGGAAACCCATATCCAAACACTGCTCCAATGTCTCCTTCTAGAGGGCTTTGTATTATTCCCTCCTGGAGACACATTAACGACTCGTTTATGCAGCGAGACAGCAGCCGGTACTGCATGTCGTATTCTGAAGAACTGCAGCAAACACATAACTTCAGAGAGACAGATCAGAACAGGGCAATTAGTAGATCAGACAAGAGGCTGTTTTCTTACATTGCAGAGGGAGCAGTCACTTGATGGTTCTTGAGAATTTCTTCTACTTCAGGATTCACACTCTTAGTCTTTCCATAGAGAAAGAATCCTTTTCCAGATTTACAACCTATAATTTAAAAATAAAGCATTAGAATCGTGTTTGTGTGAATGGTAAGCTGATCCTCAAACGTGTTCCTCAGTCTTAGAAACCTGTGCCCTTACAGGGTTAGATTTTAGAAATCAGGTAGCAAGATAAATCCATTTTTGATTATATTAAAGTCACCATTTTAGGGTAACAGTTCCTGTTATAGAAAAATTCATCTCAATGATATTCTTAACCCTTAATATTTAAACTAAGTCTGCCCTAAGACAGCTGGGATAGGCTCCAGCCCAAGAAGTCATAAATTGGAACACACTTCAGCATCATCTCCTTAGCTAAGGCAGAACACAAACATCACTTTTATCAGCAGTTAACAAATGTGTCCATTGTAACCTCTCTTTCTTCTTAGGAGTTCATGGTAGAGTCCATTTGACTTTTCTGAATGTAAAACTGATGTAGGTAGACAATGTCTGACTTTACATTTGACCACTCAAAATGCAATTCATTTAAAAAAATTTAATGTCTTTGATATGCTGCTTTAAGGTGGTGATGAGTCTCAAAGCGAAGTCAGAGAACAGAATGAAAATCCATAAAAGAATCAAATCAAATAGTAAAAATCAGTAATATCACTAATGCAATCGGAATCGCTAAATTCTCATCAATTCCAATACTTCGGCATGAGTGCGTGACAAATTAGTAGTGAGTGATAATGCCCCTATTTTAATGTGAAATGTTTTAACCTTTGAGGCCTTTTTCCAACATGGTCTTGACAATCTCCAGGCTTCCTCCTTCATAACGGGAACCGAAGGCTTTGCACAGCATCTAAATCCAACAATAAACACAGAATACAAAATCCCATCTGTCCCAAAAATCTAAATCAACAAAGTAAGTGAAAGATTACCTCTGAAATATGTAATCCTATGTCAACACCGACTTCATCAGTGACTGCGAAAGGTCCGACATTAAAACCAAAGCTTGTTGCCAGGAAATCGCTTTTTGTTGCGGTCACACCTTCCTGTGGAACAAAATGTGGGTTATTTTAAAGCAAATGTAAAAAGATAAAAATAAATGCTTTAAATAATTACTGGGACCTGATGCTCAACCATTTCTTTAGCAGGGAAAAATTGGCAACACTATTATTTCTCCAAGTCTTTGATTACCTGAAGAAGTCTCAGAGACTCCATAAGCAAGCAACC